GGATACCATCCAAACATCACCGTTCGGCCCGAGGTCGATATGAAGTCTGACCTAGCTAGAGACTTCGTCGTCAACCTCGATGAACTCCACGCTTTCCTTCGAGAGGAAATCCTTCTAGCTCAATCTCGTTACAAGAAACAAGCTGACAGGAAAAGAATCTCGCACCCGGAGTTCCCGATCGGCTCCGAAGTATTTGTTCTTGCTAAGCATATTCGCTCTACTCGTCCTACTGAAAAATTCTCAGAAAAATATCTTGGTCCTTTCAAGATCATCAGTCAACCTGGTACTCTGTCTTACGAGCTCAAGCTCCCGGACTATCTTCGCCGCATTCACCCGGTTTTCCACGTCTCACAGCTGGAGCCGGTTACGCCGAATCCATTCCCGAATCGTACTCAATCTCCTCCACCTCCAATTGAAGTTGATGGTGAAGAGGAGTACAACGTTGCCGAAATCCTGGACTCCAAGCTGGACAGAAGGTATAAACGTTGTCCTCTACGTTACTATATTCGGTGGGCTGGTTATGAAGGTACCGACGATGAATTCTCTTGGGTTGCTGCTGATGAATTACATGCTGATGAACTTGTGCCGGCGTTCCATGCCCGATATCCTCACAAGCCTGGACCTTGATCACAAAAAATCATTTTATTCCTTTCCCCCCTTTCCCCGTTTCCGCCGCGCTCCGCCGAGGTTTACTTTGTGCGTTTAGAGGATAAACACGATGATAGCAAATTGAGTGTTTATCTCTTCTCTTAATTGCTTACATTCTCCTTCAATTTCATTTACACTTAAAACTACTTATACTTCGAACTAATTAATTTTTACGCCGCTTCGCGGCCCATTCGCTTTCCAATTTCAAATTGCGTTCACATTTCATTATATACAAAAGAGCAAAAAAAAAAAAAAAAAATTATATGTAAGGAAGGGCAGGAGACTACAAGAAGAATACAAGAAAAGCCCGGAGGGCCGTTGTCCAATGTCCGATGTCTGCTACACTACTCTGCTCTCTCCTTTCCTTTCTCCGTACGCGCCTTCTTCGGCGCCGGCTCGTCTCTCTCCTCTTCTTCCCCTTCCTCTATCTCCTCTTCCCTTTCTCCTTCTCCATCCTCTTCCCCAACCTTCTCCTCTACACCTCCCTGTTCCTCTTCCTCGTCGCTGTCCGCAAGTCTTCATCGTTTTTTCGGCAAAACCGACGGCCCAGCCTCCGGCAATTCTGGTGGTGTTCTCCTCCTCCTTGAGGCCTCCGTGACCAGCCAGTCCAACTTCCGGTTTATATGACGATGGTAGGTGTTTGCCTTCACCTGGCCATCTCGGAGTTGCCGGTTGTCGGCGAGTAGCTGAGCCACCTGGCTCTCCAGAACCGCTAGGCGCTCGCCATACAGATTTCCTCCCCCCTCTCGCTTCACCATCGAGGGCCGCCCGGAGTACGAGCATCACACCTTTGCATCGTGGCAGGGTTTACAAATAACAGAGCTCCTCTTGCCAGCCTGCATCTGGCAAGAGATTTTCTTGCTCCTGCATCGTTCGCAGGGAGCTCTGTCGTCCTCGTCGTCGTCGTCGTCCTCCCCATCCCCGCCAACAGGCTACAAGCAGGAATGTTAGTAGGAGGTTAGCGTGGATGGTCTTCGGTACTCACCTGGGCCTTGCCCTTGCCCTTGCCCTTCTCCTTTCGAATCTCCACTACCACCGAACTCCCACCGGGCGAAGAACCCCGCCGACTACAAGCGGTAGCTGCCTCCGCCATTACCCTTCGACGTTCCTCCAACTCCCTCGCAGCCGCCTCCTTCTGTCTCCGCGCCTCCTCTGCTGCCTTCCTGGCCACCTCTTCCTCGGCCTTCTTCTTGGCCGCCGCCGCCGCTTTTCTTGCTTTCATCTTGCGGACTCGCTCCTCCGCCCGCCGAATGGCCTCATCATCGTCCTCCTCCAAGGCGTCGTCATCATCTTCATCAGGGTCGCCATGGGTGGTGAGGTCGATGGGAGGAGGTGGGGTAGGCCATGACCTCGAAGGTCCGGTGGCCAAAGACCTTTGGCGTGTGGTTGTTATAGTGCGGCTGGTTGACATATTGTTGGACTTAGCGGATTTTGGAAAAGTTAGGGCCTCAACGGCAAAACCCTGGGCCTTTTATAGGGCAAAACTGTGCATGGACCAGCGAAAATTTTCCTTCAAATTGTGCTTGGTTTACGGTGAACCGAAAATTTTCACTGATGACTAACGCCAATTCCCGGTACCAACGGCTTTTGAAAATTTTCCTGCTGACTGATGGGCCAAATTCCCGATCCTGCCGGCCTTTAAAAATTTTCTTTGGTGACTAACCAACTCCCGGTATTAACGGCTTTCGAGGGCTCAAGCCTAAGAGGGGGATACTGTCAAGACCATGCCTCGGGCCTCCATTCCGCCGCTCGGTACTCCGAAGATCCACTCATATTGTAATCTTACTCTTATTGTTCTTTCTCGCTACACATACCCTTTCGTTCTAGTTCCTCCTTATTGTCTTTTACTCTACCCTGCAGGTACTACTCGTATAGCTCCTAGTAGTTAGTCTGGCGCTCCGCACCGATGCGCCATTCCGTAGATATAAATACTGCCTGTATGCTACTGTAGTTCCTCAGTTTAATTATCAACTTAGATCTCCCTTCTCAACTCTCACTTCTCTCTAAGTCTTCAGGCTCATCGCCTTGAAGTACTCTCTACTATAACCTTAGGACTTAGACGTCCTCTGGTTCGCTCCTCGTCACCAGCGTTACCACCGCTCCGACTTGGCTGCTACTTAGCTCCTCCCTCTATACTCTCGATCTCCGGGGACTAACGGCGTAACGGCGGTGTTGTTAATAACTTCACTACTGTCCCACTTGTCTTCCGCACTTAGACACCTTGTGGCTCTGGCACGGTTACACGGTGTACATGATCTTAACAGATTTACCATTTATTGTAATCTCATCTTTATTGTTCTTTCTTGCTACACATTTCCTTTCTGCTTAGACTCTGCCTTATTGTTTTATCCTTTCCTTTATTGTCTTATTCCCTACCCTGCAGGTACTACTTGTATAGCTCCTAGTAGTTAGTCTGGTGCTCTGCACTGATGCACCAATCCATAGATATAAATACTGCCTGTACGATACTGTAGTTCCTTAGTTTAATTATCAACTTGAATCACCCTAGATCTTCTCCTCTTGTCCTCTAAGTCTTCAGGCCCGTCACCTTGAAGTACTTCTTACTCTGACCTCAGGACTTATAAGTTCTTTGGTTTGCTCCTCATCGCCGGCGATACTGCTGCTCCAACTTGGCTGCTCCTGGCTCTCTCCCTCTCTACTCTTGATCTCTGGGGACTAGTGGCATAACAGCGGCGTTGGTCATAACTTCACTACTGTCCCATTTGACCTTCCGCCCTTAGACACCTTGTGGCCTCTGGCACAGTTACATGGTGTACATGATCTTAACAGTCCCTTCAACTATTAGACTGATTCAGTATTGACTTTGACTATCAATCTGGGTCTCAATTACAGTCCTCTTGATACAAATCTATGCATGAAAGTGTTACAATTCACTGCATAGACATCTAGCCAAAATTTAGGCACGTCAGCAGTTCGCTGGATGTGTCACGCACTCTGTCAAGTCCATGCCTCAGTGTCCCGCTCCGCTGCTCAGTATTCCGAGATCTACCATTTATTGTAATCTCGTTCTTATTGTTCTTTCTCGCTACACATTTCCTTTCTACTTAGTCTCTTCTTATTGTCTTATTCTCTACCCTGCAGGTTGTTAAGATCATGTACACCGTGTAACCGTGCCAGAGGCCACAAGGTGTCTAAGTGCGGGAGGTCGAGTGGGACAGTAGTGAAGTTATTAACAACACCGCCGTTACGCTGCTAGTCCCCAGAGATCGAGAGTATAGAAGGGAGGAGCTAAGTAGCAGCCAAGTTGGAGCGGCGGTAACGCCGGTGACAAGGAGCGAACCAAAGAAAGTCTAAGTCCTAAGGTGGAGTAGAATGTACTTCAAGGCATTGAGCCTGAAGACTTAGAGGAGAGCTAAGTTGGAAGGGAGATCTAAGTTGATAATTAAACTGAGGAACTACAGTAGTGTACAGGCAGTATTTATATCTATGGAGCGGCGCATCGGTGCGGAGCGCTAGACTAACTACTAGGAGCTATACGTGTAGTACCTGCAGGGTAAAGTAAAAGACAATAAGGAGGAACTAGAGCGAAAGGGTATGTGTAGCGAGAAAGAACAATAAGAGTGAGATTACAATAAATGGTGGATCTTCGGAATACCGAGCGGCGGAATGGAGGCCTGAGGCATGGACTTGACACAGGTACTATATGTATAGCTCCTAGTAGCTAGTCTGGCGCTCCATCCCAATATGCCAATTAGTAGGTATAAATACTCCTGTACTATACTGTAGTTCCTTAGTTTAATTATCATCTTGGATCACCTTCTCTCATCTCTCTCTGTCCTCTGAGTCCTCAGGCTTGTCACCTTGAAGTTTTCTCTACTCTGACCTCAGGACTTATAAGTTCTTTGGTTTGCTCCTCGTTGTCGGCATTACCGCTGCTCTGACTTGACTGCTTCTAGTTACCTTCTTCTCTACTCTCGATCTCCGGGGACTAGCAGCATAATGGCAGTGTTGTTTATAACTTCACTACTGTCCCATTTGACCCTCTGCCCTTAGACACCATATGACCCTTGGCATGGCTTTCTGGTATACATGATCTTAACACACTCTTTCCATGTGGGAATCACAGCTAACCATGTTGACAGGACCTCACTGCAGTTGGGATGTGAGGGCCTTTGGCCCTCTTCCCCAACCTTCCCCAACCTTAGTGCACACAATACCTGTATAAACGTACATATATATCCCTGCTAGATAGTTATGCCTACAATACACATGCATTTAGCTAAGTTCAAAGACAGCAACTCCAAGTTCACATGTTGGCTCTAAACCAGTTGATTTGGCAAGCTCCGGTGCCCGCCCCCTGAAACCCTCTACACTAAAGGTAGCAGGAATGATTTTCAAGTAACAAAAAATGTGATTTCAGCATAATACAATAAGGATAATTGCACAAATAGAAAAGAATTTGCTTCAAGTCAAAAGTGATTACCTAAACCTCTCATTGTGACACTTCATCTTCAGGCTCAGCAGTAACACCATCTTCCATCCAGATTTTCTTGAACTGGATGGTACAGATGCATAAGCCTCAGTCAGCACTGATAGAAACTATGACCTTAACTCACGCGCTCTTTTTGCTCCTTCACATCCTCTGATGTTAAAACTGGCTTCACTGCGAATGGTAACCTATCCCAAGTGATCGGTTTGTCATGCCTTCGCAATGCAGGTTTATCCCCGATAGTGCTCTTCTTTGTGTGATTGAATTTGCCACATTTCCTGCAAGAAGATAGGAGTAACAGTCAGTGGCAAAATCTGGATCATAAAAAAGCCATACTCTTCGGACAACATATATAATGTCTTCAGATGCGCCTTGAGTAGCATCACGATTCCAACTATCACAGATGTCCGAACGATTGGAAGTTCTGCGGTGCAATCCTGATTATCGGTCTCTATCGTTGTCTGTATGAACAACACACATGAGTACAATGATGGGAAATCATACGAAGACACACGCAACGTTAATTTCTGTCTCTATTGACTGCGCAGGTAAAGGTGATGTATGCAACTCAGAAAGCAGATGTGAAGGTGATAACACCTCCAGAATATGCAGGCCGGTAGTCGACAACACCGCCGTTAGAAATTTGATCACAGTAAGAACCTCTTCCTGTGTCTTGTATTCAAAGGCAGCAAAATTTTCTCCCATGTACCTCGTAAATTCGACATCATCCTAAAGCACAGGTGGTTTGAGCATATGCAGTGTGTTTTCAAGAAGTCTGAGTACCTGGGAGGACTTGTAATCCGGCCGATCGGAGAAGACTTTGACAAGCGCCTTTAAAAAATCTTGCCGCTGGGCCCGTTTTTCGCGAACAAGTGTATACCAGCGCTGAAGGACTGCAACTGGGAATGGTTGCATCCGATATCCTTTCCAAACACGATTGTAGGCAACTGAGAATCTGCACAAATTGTTCCACGTACCATGAACACCACCAGGGGATATACGTTGTTGGTATTCAAAAGACTTCCAGGCGCTCAACGTGAATCTACTGTTAAGGAGAGATGCATGCTTATTATGAAGAATAGCATGCAGAGCACTCGCGCGATTGCTCAATGATATACTTGGACTAGTCTCTAACGCGACTATAACTGGGAAAGACTTCCATAGAAGTCAGTACCAAACAAACAAACTACAGGAAATATGAACATACTTGGAGTGGGTGAGCAAGTCCTTGCTTGACGGTGAAAGTCAGGATATCAATCGCAGAGGCCTGTATGTGAGTATTCTGCGAGAAAGCGGCCCCAAGGACGGGGTCAAGGTAGCGCTGGACAATAGCTGAGCTCACACTACCAGGAGATCAGCACCAAGCCTCGATTGAAAGTAACGACCTACCCAGAGTCGGCGAACCCTTCTGTATTTCCAACAAGCTCGTCCATATTGACCTCCGCAAGTTGCTTTCTCTCTGGAAATTACAGAAAAAAAATCAGGGGTCGTAGGAGCTAACAGCGAGATTTGACGAACCTTTTTCCTTCCGTGAATGCTTGATTGATTCCGAGACTAAAAACTCCTGAATGATTTTCAATAACCTGGCTTTCCCGTCTAAATCGTTGGAAGCAAAGATATCATCCATGATTGTTGCCGACTGGTCGAAGGTCATTAGAGTGGGTTGAGCACGAAAAAGAAAACCAAGGCATGGCAACAAAACGCGTGCACGAAAAGAGGCATCGGTAAATCGGTGATGAAGTTGCACAAGAGTGCTGTATACATGTTCGGTTATCGAATTAGGCGAAACGGTATCTAATTCATTCGCGATGGAGGGTTGCTGAGAGCGTAGTTTATCAAAATTGTAATTTTCGACTAATAGAGAGACGATGAAGATGAGAGTGCCGAGCGCCTTGGAATCGGTTTGCGCAGGTGTAGAGTCTGATCTTGTAATCACTTGCTGAAGACGCGCTAGAAATCAACAGCATTAGAATTGACAGGGGTAGGAGAATATGAAGAATTTACCATTACACGACTTCAAAAGCGCTACTAGCCGGGCGAAATCATGAGTGAGATATTGAACAACAGCGCACAGGCACGCCACTACTTCCTGTAGAGTCTTATCAAACTCGCATCAGATTCTTAGTTGTCATCTTGAACATGTCTGAATGATTTACAGTAATTCCGCCAGCAGTAGAGGGTTTGGTCACCATGGGCTGTAACTTGGCTTGAAGATCTTGTCCGAACTTCGCTGCGGTCTTGATCATATGTGGAATGGCTGCGCGGAATGTCCTCAATAAGTAGTCACTTGTTACTTGTTCTTCGGCCTATATTTGATCTCAGTGATGACAACTTCGACGAGAGGGAGACTGACGTACGTTTGTTGGATTCTTTAAATAGGGTAACAATGTCAAGGCACTCTGAGTACCAATGACTGAAGGATGAGCGGATGCAATGAGATTGATTGTGCGAATACAGTTGACCACAGTCTAAAATAGTCAACTTCAGTTGCGACAAAGAAAATAGTTACTCACAAAGCCAGGTAAATCAGATGCGTCCACAAGTCCATCAATCAAAACCCCGCAAATCTCCTCGTATGTTGCATGCAGGGCCAGTGCTTCTGCACTACCTTCTTCTTTCGCTGACATGATGTTATGAAGCAGATCTTCGAGAGGAGATTGTCGGTCACGGAAATTCGCCGAAACGGACATGATAACAACGACTCTGTTCTGCAACGATTCGCTAGACCATTGGCTTGTAGTAATCGCAGGTTTGGAGTTTCGTGGGATGGGCGCACAAACGTTTGGCGACGACATAGAAAACCACAGTTCTTCGATGGCCTTGATGGCCAAGTCTTTAACCGTATCATCTTCATCCATCATCCGAAGAACAAGTTTTGTGGAAATATCTGTTTGACGTTCCACACTATCGCAAACATGATAAAAGGCTTTCAAAAGCTTTATTACACGTTTTCGCACACTCAGACCCGTATCCTAATTCAGTTAACAGTTGGATGTTAGTAGGTCGAAAACAGTTCATGAGCTTACCGCAATACGATCGGCAATCTTGGGATAGTAATCAGCTGCAACATCTGGAGAGTCGATCATGTATCTGCCAATGAGCTCCACGGCAGCGTCACGGACTGCGGGCGAGCTATCCAATAGATGACCTTCGATCCCTCTACGAACGCTAGACTGCAGATGTGTGCAATTTAGCTGGAAATGAATGTCGGGAAATGTGAATCACTAACTGTCGCCAGAATGCCAGGATCACTAGTAATGATTTGTCCAAGGGCTCTTAAAGCTTTGGTGCGCATGAAGATGATCGGGGCATCCAGGGCCTGAATTATCACATTCAACATGGACGTAAATCCATTCCTGAGACTACTGCCTTGAATTGTCCCAATTTCTTCCGATTGTCGGTCTACACGAAGGGCATCCTCAGGAGAACTGGAATAGACATGAGGGAGAAAGCGCAGGACATTATTGGGACCATTTACACATACCCAATGTCGAAAAGATCTATGCCCCGCTCTTTCCAAACTTCTCTTAATGCAGATTTGAGTTGTTCGCCGAAAACCCTGAGCTTGATGTGGTCTCTTGGAAGCGATCGACTTTGGGACTTGCTGTTATTTCCGTCATCAACTATGTGTTCCACATTTTTGACTTTTTGACGAGGTGCGCGATTGTTTGCCGAGTCGTCTTCGATCCACTGGTTAACCTTTTGTAGTGCAGCTGCGAGATCCTGACCCAACGTAGCGGCACAAAGTTCTTGTGCACTCTATGTGAAGCTTTTAATTAGCACGGACGACAAATGACAAATTCTGCTCACATCATATGCTTGGTCTTCCGTGGCTCTCTTGCATAAGTGCCCAGCCACATCCCAATGGGCTTCTAGATATCGGTCAAGTTCTTTGCCATCTAACTGGTCCACGATCTGGGATGAAGATATGAATAGATGAGTGTCGAAGTATAAGGTAGATGAACCTGTGTCAAAGCGCGCAATGATTTGATCTGCTTCTTTGCCCTTGCTGTTCCTTCTCTATTTGATGGTAACAAATGAGAGCCTTCCTTGTACTCCTTCTCTTGGGATTGGACCTTCTGTACTAGACTCCTTACTCTTGCAGCGATTACTCCCAGGTGATCCAGCGCCATCGATTTTCCAACGCTGTTATCACTAGGTGAATCCTTGTCTTTATCACCAGGAGTACTGTTTTTATCCCTGTTCTCTTCTTCCAAGCTTCGCACCATTCCTTTAACAGCAACGCTAAGCAAAATACTTGCGCTAGGCCACTCAGGCCAGCACCATACGCTCAAACAGTCCTGAATCAGAGCATCGAATATCGCTCGATATTCCGCCTCATTGGAGTTTTTCGTGGTCTTAGTTTTACCCGACCTGGAAGTGAGGAAGTGGATGATAGTTGAAGCAGCTTTGTGTGGAGAGGCAAGGGCAGCACTGTGGAGTTTGATCACGGCACGATCTTCTTCATCGAGAAACCCTCCGTTATTGCCGTTGTTCATTTGACTTTGTTGACTCTCCATGACGATACTTTCCTGTCGTCGTAAGGCAATTTTCGCTTGTCTTTCTCGATCGATTTTCCGAGCTCCGAGTCGTATATCGTGTGCGCTGGACTGTACAAGTTGAAGCAAAAGCGCCGAGATGGTGCGCATTGAGCGTCCGTCACGAAGCCGAAATTGATCAGCAGATTTGGCCTGCTTGGAGTTAGATACCTTAATGAGGGAGGATAGAATTTCCTCGATTATCCACGACCGTTGGTCGTTGTGGTGAGCGAAGATCTGAGATAAGTAGTAGATCAGTAAACGCAGTAGGAAGGTATCATTCACTGACACTTCTGATTAAGCCCAAGGCATCCATTCTCAAGCCCCGCATGGCACTCTTTCCAAAGGTGGCTGTGAGCAGACTACCTCCTAGAACCTTCTTTCCCCTGATTTTGGCTTTGCCTTTCCCTCGATCATCCTCGTCGCGATCCCTTTCTTGCTTGAGTGTATGCGAGCCTTCATCCGAGCTGACGAAGAAAGGCCCAATACCGACATAAACCGCCTTAATCACAACGGCATCGCTCATGGGAATTTCATTATCTTTTACGGTGCCTGCACCACCTACTAGTACGCTGATTCTCGGTAGCGTCGCAGAAAGCGCAGCAAATATTTCGCTGAGAAGGTGTCTACTTGCTTCTGCTTTTGCTGACGTGGATTGAGTACTCGTTGAAGGGGGCCGATTTGAGTATGGAGAGCTAGATTGTCCAGAAGCTGATGTTGTAGCACCATTCACGAGATACATCAACAGACCGCTTCCGACACCCGAGCATGCTTCTACGAAAGGATAGATTCCACCTTCCAATGCGCTCTTGACCACATCGAAACAATCTAGGATGATCTCTTCGGAATAAAGTTGCTTACTGAGCATTTCTCCTCCCTTTGAGCTTTTCACACTCTCTCCACCAAGAAGAGCGATGATGCTTTCAGCAGCGAGAACGCCGTCTCGACTCTGTGTTAGCTTCCGAATCAACACGTCAAGATCGACGGCAGAAGGTTGCTCGATTGAACATCCAGCAGAGCTTTTCCCTTTCCATTTATCCTTCTTGGGAGTCTTTGGTTCTTTCGATTGTCCACGCTCCACGGCCAATGTTCCTAGCGTCTCGAGTTTTTCTTCGCTTTCGACCACGTCTGGACCGCCTTTCCCTACAGGCGTGCCACTTTGCTTTTTCTTTGGCGTTTTGTGTGTGCTCATTAATGAATCACCTCTTGTTCCTGAAAGCAAACCGAAAGGATCCGCCTCTCCACCTATCTTCACGCTCCTCGCTATAATCCTTAGGAGTCTTCCAAGGACATCGCAGCCGATATCATTAAGCTTTCCATTTCGACTGCCACGACCTTTGGTCGGAGAAGAGTGAACGCCCTTCCCAGCCCCTCTCGCGCCTCTAATTTGTCCAAAATGCATGGTCAGCTTGCGGATGATGCGAGCGCTGAGTTGCGGCTTTGAAGGATCTTGTGAGTCAGGGTTAAAGACCCCGCCTTGGGAGAGATCTGTAGCATCAGGGTCTGCAGGCAGTCCATCCTCTGCTTCGAAGATTTCTTGAATCAATGATATGAGTTTGTCGAGGGGTGAACGCTCGTCCCTGTCGTGCGTCAGATGCCCATCCCGCCCGGCCTTGTGTTTCGACTTCAAAGCGGAGTCGTAAAGAAGAGGTTTCAACGGACTAGAAGTAAGATTAAGCTCGTCCTCGTCATCTTCAAGCTCAAAGTCAGAAGTATTGGCGTGATGAAGACCGGCTTTTTTGGTACGGCCGCCAGTAGTGGGCGTAATGAATGGCTTTTGAAGAGCCGGTAGCGATTCGATAGAGTCCAAGGTGAGAGTTTTGCGTTTCAGGCTGTTTGTGCTCAGGAGACTGCTAGCGCGCGCACTTTGAGGAGTAAGAAGTCCGGTGGTAGAAGGGGTCATTGGAACGCTCAATGCGAGGCTGTGTGTTGAGGAAGGAGTCTTGGGGAAGATAGATGGAGCGGAAGATGATGCCAATTTCTGTCTGAGTTTAGAGGGTGTCGATGGGATTTGAGATGCGTCGTGATTGTCGATACCGATATTTCCGAGGTTGGACTTCTTTCTGGGCGAGGAAACCTCAACAAACATTCCAACTTTCCGTTTTTTCATTGGGCTCGGATGGTCATTCTGTAGGTTGCGCGACTCAGCGACGAAAAGTCCAGGCTGATTGACTGGATTCTGGAGGATTTGGTTTGATTTACGAGAAAGAATATCGTTGAAAAAAGAGGCGCTCTCCGCCGGTGTGTATTGTTGGTGAGTAGGATGTTGGGGCAGTGCTCCTGATGACAGCAGATGCAAGTTATGCTGAGGATGTTGCGGCAGTTGCTGGCGCTGTTGGTTCTGAGGTAACATCGTCGGCCCTAACGCACCAGCTAAACTTGAGGTGTACGACGATGCCAAAGGTGGAATGGAGGGCAGTGCTGGCGGAGTAGGGTACCCATTGGAGAGTACGACACCGGCTATATCTGGAGTGTGATAGGGAGAGAATAAATTCGGGAGGGTTGTATGGGGAGTAGTCCACTGTGAAGGCGGGGGATATGGATATGATCTGTTGTTTGTGATTTGATAAAGACTCGGGAAAAAGTGAGGTTAGTTTTAGAGCTTACCCTCCGGCCTGTTCGTTCAACAAGGCGACTGCTTGGTCTCTGGCTCTTTCCCAATACCCGCTGTCTCTGCTTACGATTCCTTGGTTTCCTTGGGCCTGATTTGACCTTAGATACTGGATCTCATTCGCATACTCTGAGTGAGCCATAGTGCTCGAGTACAAGGAAGAATTGTACAAGTGTTGGTTGACGAAGGATGGAGGCGCAGCAGTCATAGAAAGACTGTCAAGATGGCGCGCAACTAGAACAGCGATAAATAAAAATCTTGCTGAAATACAGAAGTTGAATTATACCATGGCCTGAGGGGACAGCAGAGCTAATTGGATAAGACGCGAGGAGACGATGAGAATCTCTAACTGATCTGTTGTGGTCGCTGTTCGCCATGTCGCAGGCGTTACTCGAAGGGAAGCGATTAATATATTAAGTATCACGAGATGAGCGCGTGTTTCGGCGCTAACTTAGGGTCCACCTCCAGGTTCCTTGGGTGATCATGAACGGGCTTGGAAATAGCAACTTGTATGCCCAGTAAGTAGGATGCCTGTCTAGGATCCGGCCAATAGTGGGCTCCTCTTTTTCTCCTCCACCGCAGCCCAGCTCCCCCATATACGCCCGAAACAATTCATTAGCCCTTCGTTGAAGTAGGTTTTATTCGCTAATGCGTCACGTAAAATCATGGGTGACTTACCGAATACAGCGGAGTGCGCATCATCTTCAAATCTTAGAACTGAGTCCATCTGCACCAAACAATACCGATCGATGTTTCTCTCTTCTTCTCCTGAGAAGTCTTTCTCCCTCACGTTCACCCCTACACCATGCTATGGAGATTACACTCGAAAGTGTAATTTACCAACACGTCGAAGCTTTTTTATGTGTCTCCTCGGTCCTCTTTGATAGGAAGTGTCTCCTGGATGGAGCTTTGCGATCTGGAGTTATCGCGTGCGTAAACCGTGACTTTCCTTCCAACCATGAAGTGGGCTCTAAGTCCCTCAACCTTCACACTCAGCCCCACCCTTATGCCATATACATAGATTCTCTATACTCTACTAGTGCGTATGCTCATGTAGGTATGTATATTCCAGTCAAAGGTTTCTATCTACTACTGACCTACTGACACCCCGTCCAAGTTCGAACACGGGGGACGATTCCAGAGCTGTGATTAAAATATTAGTTTGTGCCAGCTCGAAAGTCAATGCCTTGGCTTCCTTATTCAAGAGGAAGGTTCTTTACCTCTTGACCCTGAGTACATATTGACTGGCTGTAACTTAGCACTTCTAGCACGGTCCAGGTCTCTAACCGTCGTTCCAGGTCGTCCCCTTCTTATATTTACTGGCTTGTCTCATTATTTCACTACCGACAGTAGCCCCAATCATTCTACATTACAATGACACTTTGGAAACGCTACAAGAGGTTTCTAGACGCGTGGATCTGAAGCTCGCCATATCTCAAAAGATGATGCATAACCACTCCTCAATCTCTAATTTTTCCTCATGCATAACGTCAAAACATTCTACATATCTCCAGGTTGTCCGTTTGGCTGTTTCTTATCCATTTTCACGTTGCTCGTACCGCCCTTGATTCCGTTTACCCGCTTATATGAACCAACCAAATTTTGATCCTCTCCATTCCGACTGCCCACTGACGCCGCCCCCTGAAAGCCCTCTTTTAATCTGACCTTTTCGGTGATTCTTGCAAGGCTGCAAAAGGATTAGATCATGAAATCCGGCGTACTTACCGGAATTATCGTTCTCACCGACACAGAGGTCCCATGCTGCATATAAATCGCACTTAAACGAGTTGGGATCTGCTAGGATATGGTCAATAAAACTCTCTCATCTAGTATGCAGTCCTTGCACGAATCGTACTTCATCCTATTGATTGTGCATTTTACAGCGAACGTACACTCGCGGATACCTTGTAATATTGGCTGATGAGAACAATTCATTGTCCTGGGGCATGAATGGATGCAATACTTAGCTTAGCGGACACCACGACCGCCCCTAGCCTGCGGTTGCGACCTTACTAATGACCTGTGCTAGAGGTGAATAATAAGCTATCAACTGGTGAAAAGTCTGCATAAACACCTTTTTGCTACGCTAGGCTTCGAGGAGACTTCGAATCTCTTCGTACGCGGACAACGAAACTAAAATATTGTGCCTCAGCGTACGCAGTCTATGATACGGCCAAGAAGCAACACTCAATTCATCGTGCTATTACATATTTGTATATGTAACTCATCGATTGATAATTCGAAAAAAAAAAAAAGTATGGCTGATAAACGTAGTGCTCTTGGTATTCCTATAAAGGCAAAGCGCCGAGATTCCCGTCAGGTTTTAATTTATTTTGACAGGGCGTATTTTGACGAGTACATTCTCGACAAACGCGTTTCTCTTCAGTGCCACTTCCGGCAAAAAGTTTGAGCGATTTCTTGAATTTTTCCCTTTTCTTCCCTTCTCTTCCAGGTTGATTTCTTCTTGTGCGCACCTTTTTGTGTACTTGCATATCTACCCCTGCCTAGTTAATCCTCCCATTCTTTCCTTACTCAATGATAAAATTTGCTAGACAATTGCGTTTGGTCCGGAACCTTGTGGAGATTGATATTGATCCTCCGGGACAGATGATCAAAGAATTGGAGTGAAAAGATTAATGAACGGAAGGAAAGGGCGGCTTCTTACAATTCAATTGTGCATAGGAGGAGTCTATCTTAAGGCGGTGGATTTAAATCAAGGAATCACATCCTTCTTGATCAACACTCTGAATGATGGCTCGCACGAAGTGTATGACAGTGGGTTGACTAATTAGCGGCGAAGAGATCAAATATCACTCGTTAGATACAAAGATATAATATTATGATATAACGGTGATTCAAACACACGATAGCAGTGATCAAAGAGTGAAGTTGCAGGAAAAGAAAGGCTGTAAGGTATATGTGCAAAGGAATGGAACAAAATGAAGACACAATTGTCGATGGTCGCCCACTGCAAATAAATAATGCGAGACATTTAACAAGAGATGCGCAAGACTAAGTACAAATGCTATTTGAATCTTTTTGTGCACCAGGAACAGAGTCCCAACTTCCAGGCCATTATTGAGGAGTACCATATCCTGAACCCGGGGCAGATCCATTATTGGGCGGAGTTCCGTCGCTGAAATAATGCGGTTGATCCTGACCTAGAGCCGGTAGACGAGGACTATGAAGATATCCCGCACTATTCGAGTACATCGACTGATTTCCGCCCTGAGTAGAGAACGGATTTCCGGAGAGCGATGGTGGGGCAGACATTGGAACAGAAGAATTCATATATGACTGTTGCATCGAGTTGGGATAAATGTTCATATTACGACCTCCTGTTGAAGGGTAATCGAGGTTCCCGCCGGGCATCTGATGGTGATGTGGCCGAGGTTGCGGTAAGCCATGTATCCTGCCCGAACCAATGTAATCAGAGGAATGACCACCGGGCATCGAGGGAAGCGACATTGGGTGGTAAAGATTCAAGGAATCAGGAGTAGTCGCGGGTAAAGATGCGCGCCGGCCTAATGGATCAAGAAGGCCGGAGAGCGAAGTGCTTCGACCAGTCGGAGGAAAGGGAGCGGTCGTTGTGGGGTTAGTCGAAGGTCGGGCAGGAGCAAGAATACGACGTCTAGCCTGGATAGCGTGGCGTGGATTTGATGAGCAAAGCTAATTAATCAAAGGAAGATCAGTATCACTCACGTTGATCATCCAGTTCGAAACCTGGCTCATCGAAAGACCAGTGGCATGGCAAAGCTGCTTTTTCTCCTCCTCGCTGGGATAAGGATGATCGGAGTGACGGTGAAGCCAGGCTTTCAAGAAGTCCGTGGTTTCTTTTGGTAGTTTGCCCCTTTTACGCTGTGGGCGGTCTACCAGAGTGGAGGTAGATACAGATTGCGATGGGCGCGAAGCAGATGAGGGCGCAGGTGGCATCTGGGGAGAAGTGTATTGAGGGACACTAGGAGGAAGGAAATCCGGGTTGGGAAAATTCCACTCGGTTTTTATGCCCGCAGAGAATGACCTGCGATCTTGATGGCCCGAGATACGAGCCGAACCTGCGAACATGTGTGCCTGTGTTGGGGCGCTAAATGACGCATGGCGTAAACTTTCATCGTATTTTACGGCCGGAGCGGAAAGTTGACCGGGAGTCGAATTAGGTCTCACGATTCCGGAGGGAGAGCTGTGCCAATTGCTGTCCGCATCTGGATAAGCCCCAGGGTTAAAATCTGAAGGGGAACCGTAATTGGAAGAAGTGGAAAGGCCAGGAGTAGGATACGAATCATATCCTGCAGTGATACTATAGGATAAATCGGTAGAAACCTTTGAACGATTCTTGTCGTCATCTGCAGGATTCGAAGGGGGGAAAGTGTACGCGGCAAGAGAAGACTGTGTGGTTGGAGCATACGACTGACGAAGACTCGGCGGAGGATATGGCGAATGCCTGATACGGTCTGATGTCAAGGTGGGTAAAGATGCACGGCGAAATTCATTCGCAGGCGGTCGTAGAGTGTTATCGTCTTCGAACGTAGTGAAGATAGACGGCAGCTGGACCTTAGCGTCCTCGGATTTGATTTCCCAGTTAGACGGATCCACATCAAGTGCTGGACGAGATTTCTTGGGTTCGGGTGAATCCGAGGGCGTCATGGGCCGTTTTTCTGCACGGGAGACAATACTACTGTCTGTGTCGGCAGTAGACGTACCCGAGCTGGACATTCGACGAGAATCGTAGTCGAGATCTGTGGGCCTGGATAAAAAGCGTCAGAGATAGAGCAGTTTGAACTTTCGAGGAGGTCATCAAACATTAGTGCTGGTGAAGCAAGAAGTGAAGAAGAGTCGTTGATATAATGAGTTTTAGAGTCGGCTCTGAACGTCAAGATGACAGCTAAGTGACAAGACAGAATGTTTTCTGCTAAGGACTTACAGGGCGAATTGAAGTTGAGCGACGTTGTATGAGTTGAGCTCGTTGCCCAATGATTTGGGGTCGTCAATCATCGGCTCCTAAGCAAACAAAGGAAGGGATATCTCAAACGAAAGACGGAGCGAAAAACGGAGAACTATTTAAGGTGCGAAGATGTGTGGGATAGCCCAGAAAGACGCCTTGTCCGAATTCGGTAGCAGATCGCTGAATGATTACCAATCATCTTTTGACCTCCGAGTCCCCATCTGCCATCTAACACTCTACTGAAAAAAAACTCTAATATCTGCCACCCGTCATAGAACAACTCGTTTTTCAGCTGGCATCAACATCTCAGCGCGTTCTACTCTTGTACTTATCTGTCCCATGTTTTCATTCCCTTTTTTCATCTCTCTCTTTTGGTTATATTGCGGCTTACAGCATTCGGTCTGATTAAATGCAAGGCACCCATGAACGGGTCTTTTCTCGAATAGTTTTTTTCTCAGGCACATTTAAACCATTCCGAACCAGCAAAACAAACCGAAAAAACAACATTGACGAAAAATAAATGAGTATGTACATTTGCTACCCTCTCTTCTTTCGTTCCCCGAGGATACCTACTAAAAGCTTCTCCGCCTTTGATCGCTCCTTCTCCGTCACTTCAATTCCGTCTAGCATCCGTATTCGTTGACACGCCTGCATCACCAGGCCACGATAAGCCAATCTTCCGATATACGAGTCGTTTGGTAGGCCTCGCCGGAACTTGGCGTCCAAGTCTTGCCATGCAGATTTACTGGCCGCTTTGTCTCCCTTCCGTCCGTCCTCAGAGGGTTGCAGTGCACCAGGAACATCCTTCACTAGCAATGGGAGGTACCATCCTAATGTACATGGATTCATCCTGGTACACAAGGTGCAATTGAATATATCAGTGCCTCAGAACAACATGGCGGTACTTATACGTACCTGAAATCGAGCATCTCGACTTCCGGCATTCGTTGCAGTAGGCGGATCAGAGCCTTCGTTCCTTTCAGTCTTGAACCGATCATCGTCAGTTTCTGCAGCCTTGTCAGCCCTTCCAATGGTTTGGCGTCCTCCAAAAAATTGTAATTGAGGTTTAATACTCGAACATTGGGAATCAATGATGCTAGGCTCTCGGGCATGCTAGTGAGCCGACATGCTGCAAGCTCCAGATAAACCAGATTATAGCACGATTCCGTGAGGAATCTTTTCCCACCCAGTGCAATTCCTGTATTGTAGGTGTCAGAATCAACTCTGTACTCGATATACTGTAAGTACTTCACCAGAGAGATAGAGTCGCTTTACATCTCGGGTATCCCGGGTTGAGAACTTGCTATATAATGTGTCAGCCAATAACTCCCTCATCACCCTCATAACTCACCATCCCTTTCCGCTCTGATTCCGAAGACTAAGATTTTCCAGCTTAGTGAGCCGGTCCACCTTCGTCAAACCTGTCAGCGAATTGTTATCCACGTAAAGGGTGCGAAGATTTGAGGTAAAGCTAGTATCCAGCGCACTCAAGCGGTTCCCACTAGCACGAAGTATCTTCAGCCTAGGCATGGGACTATCGAAAATGAGCATCTCTAGCGAATTGTTATCTGTTGCGAATAACAAGAAACCCGGTGAGTATCATAGTTGAATGATTGGTGACCAGAAGAAAATTATTCTACCGTTCCCGGCGGAATGAATTTAAAACAGGCAACTCGCTTTGGCGTCCTGAAGACAAACCGAACGACTCACCGACATTCAAGGCAATCAGAGATGGCAGTGAGGCCAAACCTATCAGATGATCCAAACGATTCTCGCTGATATTCAACATTTCGAGTCGCGTCCTGGTGAGCATTAGCATTAGAGGTAACGAAAGCGTGAGCTTTATGAAAGGACTGTAGGTCGACGAACCATTGATACTGGAGGATATCAATCGATCGAATTCGATTGCCCTGCACGCTGAGTTTCACGAGCCCATCCATGTGTTCCAGTCCTTCTAGGTTGCTGATTTTGTTCCAGTCGGCCTTCAACTCCCGAAGGTGTCGCAGGCAAGATAATTCTACCAAAAAGGAGTAAATAAGATATAAGCCAAACAAAAAAAAAGTTGGAAATCGCACGGCTTAATGATTCCACCTCGTTCTTGCTGATGTCCAGATTTTCAAGGTTCAACAGATGATGGTATGAGGTGAGCCCTGTCAAACTTGTGAACGGTGAATCAACGCCTCGGAAAGAGGTATATCACAGTCACCAATTTTGCTCACCTATTGCAAGCAACAGAAAGTGTCCGTACCGTACTTGGTACTCCACTGAGCCACGAAAGTAAATTCGAATTTCTGTTGACGGCGTTCTTCGTCAGGACAGCATAATTTCGTAATAGAAGGAGATAGTTACACACAATTGGAGGCAATCTAAATGCGGTAGAAACTCCTTCAGTCGAGCGACACTTTCAAGATTCTTGCCTGAGAGGTCAATAGAATGTAATTCCTCCCAGTGCGGTTCGAAGGGCTCCACGTCGGTAATGACCTGTACTAATCGATCATGTGTGATACCAAAAGAACAATCCGTCAGGAATGTCGCATTTCCTGTATCCATCTCGGAGTGTCTCTGAGACTTAGAGAATGCGCGGGGTAGCCCACTTGAGGACTGTCCTTTGAATCTAGTGGATGCTGGATTCGTCCCAAGAGGTTGAATTTCTCGGTCAGTTTTTGAAAAGGACTTTTCCGAATTGTAGTCTACCGGTACCGCAAAATTAGTATTTTAGGTTGGAAGTATGGACGACAAATGACGTGACACTTACCAGAATCCTCGAGTGCCACTAGCATGTTCGCAATGCGCCTAGACCGGACAGAGGGTACGAATCCAATCCTGCTACCCCCTGGAACGTCGTCGAATTCGGCGTTTTTGTTCAGACCGCGGATAGGTCCATCCCGTTTTCCGTCTGAAAAGCTCACAGATCGCCGATGCTTCGATTTCCTTTGCGGCGTTCGGTACCGTGCAACACTTACGTCTTTGAGTACTGACGCAGGTGTTTTCATCGCAGAACGCATGCTTGAGGGTGAGGATATCGGACGGTCAGGAGTGCCTGGAGAGCGAAATATAGCAGGTATCATTGAAGGAGCTGCTATTATCAACCCGTTCGCGTCGTCGTCTTCTTCCTTGTCATCCTGTGCCCGGCTCTGTTCATTTGTTTGTTCATCCTCTTCACATTCTGAATCATATTCAATAGGATTGAATGGTTCATGAGCAACAGTATCATTTTCCGAGTCGGAAGTCTCCGCTCCGTCATTCGTGATAAAATCTGACATGGCATGAACTAGGCGGCTATTTGGATGATCTGTTTCAAAGCTCGTCAATTCCATTTCTTCTGTGTCGTCAATTTCCGATAGTTCCTCCACAAGGGAAAGTTCACTGTGGTTCAAATCGACGTGTTCCTCTAAGGCAGCTGTAGAGTCTTCAACAGTTGGGCCAGAATCATCCTTTAGGCTTTCGATATCACCAAATGGATCTTCGCTGATTTCCTCTAGTAGGGAATGATCTTCATCGAGCGGGGCACTGCTTTTGACCCACTTCATCATGACTCTATCGAACATCATGTTTCCAAGTCTGTCTAAAGGCGGTACTTCACTTGGGGCAATTGTTCGAATGTGAGCCGGGCCAGAGTGCTTGACATAGGATGGGACGCTACTGGTAGTAAGAGTCGTTCCCGATGATGTGGTACTGGAGGACACGTATCGTTTTAGATCGTTGTCTAAGGGCAACAAGCGAGAAGATGAAGATGAGGGGGCGGAAGGAGCCATATCATGCATTGATGATTCCGAAGAAATGCGAATGTGGGGTAATTGTGGAATGTCTTGGGGCCGGCATGAAGAAATCGATATTTGGGAAAAGTGGGGAGCTAAATCATCCTCCTCCCTCCGGATAGTTGATTTGCGAAGGTTCGGGTTCAGACGGGGCTTGCTTCGTCGAGGAGATTGCCGCGGTAGATTTGGAGCAGTACTCTCAGCAGCAGTCACATATGATTCGCTATCCCCAGAGAAGATGCGTTTTGAGCCTTTCATGTCGTTCTTGATTTGGGCCATCAGTATAGCGGCCTGAAGTCGGAACTTTGTTGAAGAACGCACTCCAGCTGCCACAGGCGCGGAACTCGCAGGCGAAATTATAGGGTCTGTAAGTGTCAAATCAAGTAACAAAATTAGATAGAAGGGATATTCTACGCACCCATGTCTGATGTATCCCGTTCTTGGGCGCTAGCAACTGTGGAGATGGTTGAAAAATCGCGAGCCTGTTTAATTTGCTGCATAAGAGATCGCGATTCCCCGACATAGTCCTTTCCCAAAAGTTTCGGTCGCGGTGAGTTTCCGTTCCCTACAAAGTCGCTCTTGGGACTGAGTTTCACACGTTTCGCGCTGCGTAGATGAGAGTTGAGCGAACTGATCCCAGTGGCCTCAGAAACCCTAGACAAACCCTGGTCAAGGCTCGCAGGTGAATTTGTAGCACCAGATCCCAATGCAGGATTAATGGCAATGGAATCGACCATAGCGGATAGGTGATCTCGAGTATAAGTATCATACTGGAATTGAAATAGTCGAAGAGGAGGATCAGTAGAAGGAGGCGCGTTTGTCGTCCTAACAGTCGGATTCCCAGGCGTGCTTTCGGCTTGGGGTCGATTGTCAAGATTGAGAAAAACATCTCGAGGTGCGGAGAAGGTGAATTGGCAGCCCACGCTGGGCTTCCTGCCGTCAAAGGATACCATGTTCGGTATGTCGGTTTCCATGATTTCATCTATCTTATCTTCGCCTGGGGAACGAGGAGGTCGCTGAGGAGAGGATGGTTGCGGCGGCGAAGGAGGTTCGAACATCCTTTCAAGGGGCATCGGACTGAAAAAATCCTTGATATTGGCCTTCTTATTCCGTCCAGGGGTTTTGGGTAAAAGTGGTACGCTGGGGATGCTCTGATGAACCAAAAATGTTCCCATCGGTTCTGGACTAGATACAGGAGAGGATGTGTTGGTGATAGTGTGTATTTGGGTGGAGAGCGGCGCTGTGAAAGAAATTGAGCGAGTACCATTAAATTGGTCCTCGTCCTCGTACTCCGCTTCTGCCTCTATCCATTCATCCTCAAGTTCCTCAGTTTGCCATGCTGGACGAGATGTTCCAGACACATTGAACATAGTCGATTGAAAAGTAGTGAAATAGTTTGTGATGGCTGTTCGCCTGATGATGGTTGAGAGGATGATATTATTATGTAAAGTAAACAAGGACCCATATCTCACACGTGATCGCGTAGATCAGTCGAGCTGGGTCAAAGAAAGGTTTTGAAGTTTGAACTCATCCACACACCACATACTCAACGCCGGACAAGCTTGTTCGTGAGATAAGTCGGCATAAGCTGTCTTGTCTCGACTGCTCTAGCAATCTTCATTCAAGCTCATAGACATCCCGAGCTACCTGAGGTTGATTGTTTCTGACGGCTGATTCATCTGTCCAAAACTTCAAGTCTAGATCCAACACGACAACATCCTCTATTTCAGGAAATAGACTTTACGCTATTTTCACAAAAAATTTCCTATCAAGAACTCTTCGTATTCAAATCGGCCGTTCCTCGAGGTTCCGCGGCGATTCTACCCTCGGGACTCGGGACGCGCAAGACCTGCAATCGCAATTTTGTCATGCACAGTCTCGTTTGTACCATTCCGATGCCGCAAAGCTTCTATGAGCGACGAGAGATAGGTCATGTCTTTAATTATGTGCATATTCATCATCAAACCCAATTTTTCACCACCGATTTCTCGGCCAAGTTTAAAAGAAAACATACACACTGATGGAAATTGTATGTATAATGTGTATACACAGGACTTCATTCTTCAGCTTTTGACTGGCATAACCATTGACAATTGCACAGGAGAAACATATACATATGCGTCAAGGCTACTGCTAAAAAGAAGGCGGCACGACCAAACCCTAGTGCATGCTCGGTGCTCCCAGGCATGTATTCCAGAATCACCATGTCATTGTACATGTTCTGCCTCTATTCTTCGTTTCCCCAGAGATCCCGTTGCTGAAATTCTCAACGTTCTTCTGGCACTTTCTGTTCCTTTACTAAGCCCATCAACACTGGGCACTGACAGGAGGAGCCTTGGGTCTCTGATTAAGTATACGGACAGTGAAATCAGCTGCAGTAGACTCTAGCGCTTACAGCGAGCGTCGAATCTTTGACAGAGGCAGGCAGCCCATGTCATTCGAGCGCATCGGCGATCCTCTCTCCCGACAACGATCTACAACGATCCAAGGTCAACGCCCGGAAATCATGTTGATGATCGACAATCGACAATGCCGGAGGGGGATCTACAAAGGCTGTGCTAAGAAGGCTGTGTTAATTACTTTAACTTCCACTTAACTTCCTCATTCTTCCCGTTTTTATTTGCAGTGGATTTGATACTGGTCTTGTCGTACCCCTGCTGTCTTTGCGATGGACCTTGACAATAGATTTGATTCTTAAAGAACGCACAAGAGTCATTTTCTAGTGCTGTGACAATCCTGATTCAAGACTCAAAGTTCCTGGATAGAACCATCCTGCACTTCGTTGCAGATATCCACATTCCATCCTCGTGATCTACATGTAGCAAGGCGAGTCAAATGATAAACATAACTCAAGTGACTTGTGGAGCTCGTTATTATGGGTAGGCTTCGCATTCCTAGGTAGTGCTTGCTCGAATCAAATTGAACGAATTTCTAGCAGTGCCTGTGATGATGAGATCCCTGATTGTCTGACCAAGCTCGAACCGTCCCGGAGGGTGACAAGGGGTGACAGCGACAGCGTTCAACAGGATAATCCAAGGATAATCAAATGATGATACTGGATAATTTATCATGTCAAAAGTCCAGGGGTTGATTTTAGATGACACGACTTCAAGTTGAATGCGTATAAGTAAGTACCAGGAGGTCGGAGTCAGATCCTAGTCTATCCTAGTCTATCCTCAGTAATTGCGTTCTAATGGCGGACAATAGCTCCCCTTACCGAGGCATGTAATGGAGTTGAGAGATTGAGACCAGGGTATTGGTAAGGCCGGTAGGGTAAGCCTTTCGAAAAGCCAATTCATTGAGATCGCAAGTATACTAGAGTATACTACAGAACCAATCACATGAGAAACCACAGTCTCCCCAAAAGACTTCACAATTTATACTGCACTAATTAAGCTTGTCAAAATCATGCTTCCAAAAATGGGGATTTGTGCGGGGTAGGCACAACATTCGTCTCACATTCAAGAGAAATACCGATGCACAATATCAATAGTTGGGTCCATCGTCTCCTCAATCTGGATTATGAATTGTAAGTACTGGCTAAAATAGAGACGCACAACTTGTTACTGCAAATATTCAGATATCGAGCAGCTGAATAGGTTCTGAGAATACCAGTTCATACTACTCAATACTACGTATGTATGTATCCTTCTTGTGCGATGGGGAAGTGGATGAGCGAATAACATCATCATCGATACGGTAACTGTGCAAAAGTAATAACAAGAGCAAACGGTCAAGTGGATACACTGAAGCTTGTCCATCAGATATACTATTCTCAAGTACCTACGGCGGGTGCGTTCGAGCAGATGGGCAATTTGAAAAACAAATTCCAGAGTATCGAAATGATGTCAAGAATTATAAGAGCGATCTCGAATGAAATATCAGTCCGTATGCTTCCTGGACGCTGATAGGTAAAATCTCTGTTTCGGGAAGGCATAATTTAACATGCAACAGAAGGAAGTGAGTGGTGGCACTGAGGTCGAGCCCTGAGGTTTGATAACTCAGCGGTCCTGAAAACGGCGCACACCTTCGTGTCATAGGACTTGTTGTCATGATGTTGTTGATGGATCCCAAAAGATTTGAAAATCGAATTACTGCTAGAAGGTGTTGATCGCGTTTGAAGCCGAGGAGAGGCCTCAGAGCTTGTAGGATTTGTTGGTGAAAAGCCGCTAATCTTGTGAACCGCAGTGGTTCTAATCACGGGCGGCATGTATTCAGTTTTGATCGAATGATCCGAATCGCGCCGTTTTTTAAGATCGGAGTGAGGGTGGAAGCAGTCGACAGTAGGTGAATGTGCTGAATATCCTAAATATCGTTGCCAGGATGGAGCCAGGAAAGAGTTTCGAGTGACATACGCATCTCTGTCGACACGATCGACTGGAAGAGAAGGCTCGCTGACGTACGTTGTTGGCAGGTGAATGGTGGTCTCTCTGTGACGATTGGCTTCGAGGTCAAGGGGAGACATTTCGAAGAGAAGCTCCGAAGAGGTCGCAGAAGGGCAGCTTACACCATAGAAGATTGGAGAGGGAAACGTTGAATTGTGCCGAGAAGGAATCGCTATTGGTGCAGAGGGTTTCACGATGAAGAGAGAGGTTGGATGTAACGGAAGATAATTGCGAAGATGATCCATGATCCGTAGTGAACAAGTTCGAAATGAGCGAGATAATTATCTTTCACAAGAGTTTGAAAGAGCTAGATATCGTCGAAGATTGTGGAATTATATTTTTCCGAGTTTCTTGAGGTTTCTTGTCCCTACGCCCGAGGCTAGTTTGAGTAAACACCACGGCAGAAGTGTAAAAAGATACCGAAGTCTGTGGAAGAAGACAGAATACAGGAGGAACATACATACATAGTACAGCTGGCTCGGAGGATGCATGACGCCGATCGTCTAATTCTCGTAGGCGCTCGAGCGCTTATTTTCAATCCAGTCTCCTGCCACTGTGTCGCCTTGTGTCGAGCTACCGTATTCCTGCGGTGCTGTTAACCGGCAAGCTGTCTTGTACATAGTTCATAAAGAAATACGCGTCCATGGGCAAAACGCGTTCTTGCAGCGCTAATAATGTGCAACGACCACGTGTTCATGAGTTACTGTCACTTCTGATTCTATCATTTCCTTTCAACATTCTACACTGGTCGACTGCATCGTCTAATTTTTACAAATAACAGATGTCTAGTGATCTAAAGCTCGAGCTCACCCAGGAGCGTTCAGAAAATGTTAATGATCCCGAAGATCTGGAAGAGAATGAACTAGAAGAGCATCCAGACAAACTTGTAAATCCAGATGAAGTTGTTCAGGTAGAGGGTGCGCCGAAGAAAAAGAGGGAGAGAAAGGAAACTGCACATCTTGTTCGTGACTCGGGTAAATCACTTCTACCGTTTTCAAGGGTCCAAAAGATCATAAAAGCGGACAAGGTATGGTTCATCAACACGGTTTATCATTCAACTTGAAGCCCTTTTCGTCACAGGATATACCTATCATTGCACGAGATGCTACGTTCCTGATATCCCTTGCAGCGGAGGAGTTCATTAAACGGCTGTGTCAGGCTGGGCAAAAAGCGGCTGAAAAGGAAAGAAGAACTACCGTGCAACATAAAGATCTGGGTGAGCACCGATTACTAGAATCTATTTCCATGCTTTTCCCTACTAACAATCTCGATCCAGCTACTGTCGTTCGAAGAGCAGACGAATTCATGTTCCTTGACGGTAGTAGCTCTTCACAGAAAATTCATCTACATAGCCATGGACCTAATATTCATTTCAATTCTAGAAATTATTTCACTCAACCAACCAGAACCTCAGAAACGAGTTCCAAAAGCTCTGGCAGCCAATGGCACAGTGTTACCAGCTGGTTCTGGGCCAACGCTTCTTGACTCGTTCGTCAAGACCCCTTCTATGGGACCCGGTTCTGAGCAGTTGCAGGACGTGCAAAGCTCGGTATGATATTTGAAGACCACAGCATCCCGGTAGAGTTCTGATTTGTATTTTTATCATGTATTGTAAATTCTAGTCCAAATTCAAAATCTCAGTATCCAATCAAGGACGGACACTATGCGCGCGTCCTAATTGAAGTGGTATAATATTGACTATATATAAACCATATTGCGACAGTGTATTCTCGAAGACAATAGCTCCGTTCAAGTTCAAAGCACTGGTGCAACTTCAAATTTCATTTATTATTGAGCTTTGTTCTTCCAAATTCGGACCGTGGTCGACGAGATTGTACACAATGGCTTGGACCATGATTCAACCATATAGTTAATGATATATACAACATATACAGTCAGATTCCGGGCTGCAGCCCGTTCCCTGTCGTCCCTGTCTGTCTTAACTTTCGACGTCGTATTATAGCAAGACGTAGACATCCACACTATACGTCAGGAGGAGTGGGGCTGTTTACAGGCCAAACTTCCATGAAAGTTCCTGCGATCGGGTTTCCGAGTCCAGTAGCAGCGGCAAACGCGCTGATGTTAAAGTCATCCCTCGAAGTCTCAGGAGTAACCAATGTTTGCGAGCTGAACTCATCGGACTGCTCAAAGACCAGGAAAATATATCTGATTAAAACCATTCATTGTCATCAGCGACGGCGCACAAATTTGTAATTCCAACGTACCGGTGAGCTGTAGAGGTGAGAGGGGGATTAGGCTGCAAAAACTCGGAGATGGCAGGTGTGCTGTTGGTCAAAGCGCCATCGGCCCCAGCAGTGAAATTTCCACCGAGGAAATGACGGATTTGAGCTTCAGTGGGATTGACGGGAGTGGGCGCGTCTGGGTCAACTGCTGCCACGACGAAAGGACCTGTGCCCGCGCTGCCGGTGAGAGCAAAGGTCGGGGGACCACCAGTTTCTGGAACATGGTCAGAAAAAAAGTGGTGAGAAAACAACAACAACAGCATACGGTTCTGGTTAAGGAAATCTCCTGCTTTAAGAGTGATGCTCGGAGCTGTTCCGTTCTGTGGGAAAGTAACTTCGAGAAGGTCGGTAGGATCAAAGAAAATGCCCAGGTCGAACGGAATCTAAACGCAACCCTTTCTTTAGTGAAAAAGAAATATAAGTAGTAAAGACATACGTTAGCTGTTTCGACGGTATACTTTACCAGGTTGATATCCGTGTCCTGAGCATTCACGAGAACACAGAGAGGTAGGAGGTATGGCAAGTAAGAGAGGAGTTGCATCGTGGAACGAGTGACCATTTGCTCCTACGCCAATGTCTTTTATACCGAGGCTTCAAACAATCAATTCATGCTTGAAGATACCTTGACGCGAAGTCGAACGGTAGTTGATCTGAGAGTGTTCCCAAACAAATTTCACAGAATCTATAATTGGATGTGAAACTTTTTGCGGTTTAATGCGAAACGACTCTCTGGTAACCACTCGCAAAAGCTGCGATAGAGGGGGCTCGACGAGCATCAGTTGCGTCACCTGGCGAAGACTGGTCGAGCATGACTAGAGTTAGTTCTAATACACGACGATGAGATGCTCCAGATATTTTGGTCAAAAAATAGATCAGATATCAATTTAGTGCGGTCCCGTTGGTTGGAATATACCTGGAACTGCGTTGGTTGGTGATTTCGTGTTCAGGGATGTTATACCACTACGACCTCGTTGGCTGGTAATTCTACCTTTATTTGATGAATGAAATACTACTCCACCACGAATCACTAGTAACTTGTTACTTGCGTTTGCCCTTTCCCCGTTTTTTCGGTGTAATTATAGACTGAGGAAGCCATTCGTTGACAGGCTCAACAGATGAAGTTGTTTGTGCTTCCGTTTTGGGGGAAGAACTAACTGCGCTCGTAACATTCCCTGCTTCAGCTTTTGCAGAAGCGGCGGCTATTTCATCTGGGCTCACTTCCTCTCCTCTCCTAATGCGAGCAGCTATTTCGGGAGTGACACGGATACGGCGGACATTAGTTTGGAAACCAGGAGCTGAAAGGCTGTTTAGTACGAGGACCGAGGAAATGAGAGCACATGTACCGCCTTTTCCGATCCCATGAAGTCTAAGTCGTCGAGCCAGATACCATTTCCGGGTAAAATACGCGGAAAGGAAAATGACTGGAGGAATTCTATGAATAGTCCATGAAAGAGAGTAGCGATATGGGGGTCCTAGTCCACGTACATTACCCAGAGAAGAGACGGATAATCATCCACCGACGCCTGATCATGAGCTGCCATCGTCGTCGTGCGAAAGGCTTGAGCACAGAGAACAGAATAGGCGCCCAACGCGTTACCTCTTCTTCACTCTACCTGAACTAGAAATGAACCTTCAGGGATCTCCCGCAAATCATGGACTTAATGAGATCGACTCTCAGATCCAGGCCTCTGCTCTTAAAGCTGCAAGAAACTCCATGTTACTACCATCCGACATTCATTTTCACCGAACAATGGATGCCGAATTCTCTAAGGATCTTGATATCTTCTCCTCCAGGATTCTCTCTGTTGCCAATCAAGTTCTAGCTCTTATGGGGACGGCTGATATATCAACCAAAGGTCAAAGTAAATTGGAGACTGAAGATGATGTCGTCGACAATTTCCACTCTATTGTTGTGGACACCATGGACAGGATGATGGAAAAAACAGTGCGTAATATCCCGTATCAAGTTGAAAAATCTTACACGTCGTGGCATTAGGATATGAGCTTAGATGAACACCTTGGCCGAAATAAAGCCCCGGCCATAGCCATCAACGCGAATTCGAATGCGACCGTCGTTAAAAGTGTACTCTTTCTCCCTCTTTCCGAACGAGGCTTTGTCTCATTGAAATGTTAAAGAAACCATCAACTAGGAAGCCGAAGGGTGCTCTGGATCCAGCAATCCAACATGCTTCTCAGCTGCCCAAACCACAGCTAAATTTCAAGAGACATGTACTCAACAACGATGTTCCTTGGTATCCTACTCTTTCACACAAATACAACGCTCAGGTTCCCCTTGGTTACAACTTCTATGAACCTGATTCACAGCTGGAAACGAATAGTCTTATGTACGTCTTATGCATGGCCGACCTTCAAGAAATATTTTAGTTTACCTCTTGTTCAGCAAACTTCACCCTTACCGTTATGAAATTAGTCACATATCTTACCCTCCTCGAACGTTCCAATCATCTCAGCCCATACCTCCAACGCCGTTCGAGTCCACTACGTTCAGTTGGGTATCGAATGTCACTGCACTCGAAAGTATGTTGGAGAGCCTTCGCAAGGCAACTGAAATTGCTGTAGATCTAGAGCATCATAGCTATAGATCTTATTTCGGATTTCTGTGTCTCATGCAGATCAGTACACGGCAGCAGGATTGGATAGTGGACCTCTTAGTGTTGAGGGAAGAGGTAGGAGTACTCAATGAAGTTTTCACAGACCCAAAAATTACTAAAGTGCGTATCATTTGTTCTATCACTTCTTAGACGCCTTCTAAAGCTTGTCATTGTCTCCTAGGTTCTTCACGGCGCTGAAAGTGACATTGTTTGGCTTCAACAAGATTTCAATTTATATATAGTAAATCTATTCGATACGTTTCATGCTTCAAAATTACTGGGCTTCCCGCGTCATGGTCTGGCAAATTTGTTGGAGATGTATTGCGACTTTTCTCCCGATAAACGATATCAGTTAGCAGATTGGCGCATTAGGTGAGTTCTGGAGGGAGATGTAAACGTAATCTCACAATTTTCGCTAGGCCGTTGCCTCTGGAGATGTTGGACTACGCTCGCTCGGACACGCATTTCCTGCTTTACATTTATGACAATTTACGAAATGCTCTTCTGGATAGAGCTGTGTCACCGAGTGAAGATAACTTGGAAATAGAAGGAACTAGCTATCCTCAAGCTCAGGCCTTGTTACGACAAGTGCTCGCCAAGTCTGAGGTTACTGCCTCGCGTGTCTACGAAAAAGAATGTTATGACATGGAACGGGGTGGCGGTGGAAATGGATGGGATACGCTGGCGAAGAAATGGAACAAAATTCATCTATACGTGAACTCACCGTCAAGCAAGCAGAAAGATATCTACAGAAGTATACATATGTGGCGCGATGAAGTAGCTCGAGAAGAGGATGAAAGTGTTAGGCATGTCTCAATTTCACTGGTTCGGAATATCAATGAAACTTTTGAACTCAGATATATCCTTCCCAACCATTATCTTATCCAACTAGCTGAGCACCCGCCGGCTGACATGGCGGCAATGTTGAAGATCTTCCACTTTGTACCTCCTGTATTGAAGAGGAGAGCAAAGGAGTTATTGAATATTATCCGAGAGGTCATTGAAAGATATGATACCTCTGGTGAAGCAAAGTCTTTACAAGATGTAGTCGTCCTAGAAGCACCTCCGGATGCGATGGTAGTTGAGCAACAATCTTCACCGATCCCAACAGAAAGTCTGTGGACATTGGGTAAGTGGTGCGCAATTCATCGGTATGCAAGACTTGACTGACACTGCTACTCATATCTTGAGGTCCATCTATCACCCATCTTTACGCGTCCTCCACGTTATTTCCTTCGGCGAAACCAAAAGCCCTTATGCAGTTGGCAAATGGAAACAATAGCGTCATTTCCACTGCCCAAAGTGCTTTGTTTGGGCAGGCGCTCTCACCTAGCAATACCGAGACGGTCAGTCATCCCTTATCCTGCCTTTCCACGTATTGATAGTGACTATAGACAACCGCATTACCTATTAACCGGTTCGCTGAGGTCATAACACGGATACACAGCACTCTAGTCATTGCACCGAGTGTACTGAAAGTAATTGAAAGTTCTTCGGCATCCAGTCAATATCGGCTAATCCACTTCATCAAGGCATCTAGTGTCTTAGTTAAACATGAAACGAAAAAAACGACTCCGGCACATGAGCTCAATTTGGAACAATCTATCTCTCTGGATGCTGAAGACGAGGGATCCTTACGTTCTACTGTTCAAGCGGAAATCCCTTTCATTCCTTCTGCACAACGAACGAACAACGCAAATACAACTGTCCTCGTCGAAGATACTATCGTAGTAGTGGGCCAAGCGAGGCAAAAGAAACGGAAGCGTGTCAAGATTATTCCCAATCCCGGCGAGAATAACCCGAAAGGGGGCGGGGGCGACACGGTACCGTTCGATTTCGCTTCTGCTCCAAATATCCTGGATGCTGCTCCTTCCACTGAACAATCATCAATTCCGCGGAAGAAGGTAAAACAGGCAAAGGGTATGGTGCATCATTGCCTATACTACTTGAAACTGAATTCTCTTACAACTTCTCCAGGTCGCAGCTCGCTCTATGGCGAATTTCCTGCCCCTCCTAGGGCATACAGCGAGGTCAAAAGTGGAAACAAATCCCACACCTTCAAATAAGACCCTTCTAGACGAATGAATATACGTACAGTAGTAACATGTAAGTAGGTCGTCTGAGAAGCGTTTCATTTGATTAAAACCAATAGTTAGCCTGATACCAGCCTGCTACCTCGCCTTACCTTGCGCTCGTCCATAGGGTAAGTACCACCCCGGTGCACCTAATAATAAGTTCACTTTTGTGTGATTTTCGGACCTTTCGGACCGCTGAAAACGAGCTCAAAATACGTCGAGTATAAAAAGGCTCGCTGCAAGCAAAACATGACTCCACTTCCGATAAAGCCGCTGACCGCTCACCTCGAATTCTGTGCGAAGACTTGCCATGAAACCAGATCTTTCGCGCCCCACTACGGACTCTAATTCCAATTCCGAATCGAACTTGAACGACGACGCCGCTACGGTCGTTCACGAACCGCTCACACCCGATATCGAGCATATGCCTGTTGTCGACGACCCAAGGCAATGGTCGAATTTTCGCAAGGTATTTTTTCCCCACAAGGGTTTTTTGGAATTTTTACTTATTGTCGTTCAGAATTTTATCCTACTACAGGTTGCCTTCGGGTCCATGATCGCTGGATTAGCAGGTAACATACAGAATCGTAAGTTCGATGAACTTAGGGGGAAAGACTTCTTTCTGAAAATCCTTGGTTTTAGCTGCAATTAATGAGATGGAAGTTGATTTACCGGCTACTGCCTCTCAAATTAGTTTAAGTCTGTCGCTGTTTATACTCTTGCAAGGCGTTGTACCGCTGGTGCGTATTGAATCCTACATCTATATCCGTACTTATCGACATGTCCCGTTGTAGATTTGGGGTATGTCCTAATACGAAATCGAAGTCAACAATATTTTCATTCATTTGGCTTGCAGCTTCAATCAGCGAAGTCAAAGGACGCAGGGTATGTCTCCGTCAGGAATGATGAATTTTCCAAACAAAATCAATCTAGCAATCAACAGTTTGTCTACATCGTGTCCATGGCTATCTTTACTGTAGGGTCTGTGGTAGTTGCCACTAGTAAGAGCATAGGACTGTAAGTTTTACATTTTCAGTCGACTTTTCCGGTAGCTTAATCACCATTGTTCTATAGATTGATTGGTTTTCGTTGCTTTCAAGCCGCTGGGTCTGTTCCTAACGCTTCCAAGACTGAAATCACGATCTAAATTTCTCGTAGCTCCAGCGCAGTTATGTCCATCGGTGCAGCCACTTTAGCAGACATCTATGATCCTGTAGAACGAGGAACGAAAGTGAGCGGAATATTATTGCGCATTCCTTCGCTAAAATAATGATCATGTCGAGATGGGAATCTACTATATTGCCCCTCTCCTTGGCCCTTCTCTGGGTTCAATTTTGGGTGGAGGCTTGACAACCGCATTTACCTGGCGTGGCCCGTTTTATTTTCTCGCCATTATGGGTGGAGTTGTCTTCATGTCGTTTCTACTTTTTTTCAGAGATACTTTTCGTCACGAACGTAGCCACACTTATCAGAGTGTTTTGAAAGCGAGATTGAAAGGAGCCGGGACAAAAAAGAACGTTGGTGTCGAGAATATCGATGCTGATAACGCTGCTCAGGATATCGAGAAACAAGAAGTCTCGTCAAAGCCCGTTGTCGCTCCAGAAGTAAAGCTTGGATTGGTGGATGTGAACCCCTTCAGACCCATGGCGTTTATCCTCCGTCGTAAATATAATCTGTTCATGCTTACTGCATCTGGTACGGACTGTGAACCCCATTATATTTTTGTTTTATGGTCTCACCGTTATTTAGGTCTTTACTTTTCCTTTGCGTTTGTTGTAGTATACACAACCTCTCGAACCCTAGGTACCTACTATCTCTATGATCCCATGAAAATCGGTCTCGTTCTCCTTGCTTATGGGATAGGTCCGTTTACATTTCCTGTCGTGGGCCTTATCTCTTTCTGATCACCTTTTGCAGGAACTGTTGGTGGAAGTATCGTTGGGGGCCGTTGGTCTGACTATCAACTATCGAAGTTGAAGATCAAGAACGAGGGGAAAAGCACACCTGAGGTAATGTCTGTACATCGTTTATGCTCTTCTCATCATCGTCAACGCGAAATCTAGATGCGTTTAAGATGTACACTACATGGGTTAGTGATTTTCCCTCTTTGCGTAGTTGGATACGCCTGGGTGCTCCAAAAGCGGGTGAACGTCGCAGGTGTTAGTGTCATGTTATTTGCTTGTGGTTTCGCCTCTATGTAAGCTTTACTTGAACGTTTCAGACATTTTCGCTTAGAATCATTCCTAGTTTCGTATACACTAGCACGTTGGCGTACATTGTAGATTCTAATGTTGGACGTTCCTCATCGGCGGTAGCTTTAAACAGCTGCTTTCGAGGAACGTTTGCATTCATATTTGAAGAGATTGCGGTTCCTATGCAGGTCAGTTAAGATTCCGATTTGCATTGTCAGGCAGTGCTTTCTTCTTGAATGTTTTTTTTGATTCTATGTAGGACGGTTTGGGAGATGGTGAGTATGTTTATCGGATACATATTTGATTAAGCCTGATGCTGTCTCTAACCAGGATGGATGTATACCATTATCGCCTTCATTATGGCAATTAGTGGTGCGTTGATTGTAATCGTGATGCTCAATGGTTCTCGATGGAGGCGTGAAGCAGAAGAAAGCGAGGCAGCAGAGCCTCCTAAGATGGTACCACTGGACTGAGACTTGATTTCAAAATTATGATAGAGTAGGTTTTAATGTGGCGAGCTCAACCCAGATGAGAAAGGTAAACAGGGTATGATAGATCATAGAGTATAAGTAGATGCCAATTCACTGCGGGGATCGATCCGTTTCCTCGTCGAGAAAAGGCTGGGTTTAAAGGGAGGTTTGGTACATAAACACCACAATTTCCGAACAGAGAAATTTTCAAACAATCCTTCCATAAACGGAAGCATTCTATAGAGCTAATATTGGGAGAATATTGTAAATCACATCCACTTCACATTAACGGGTTTTTTCTTATTATCCTCGTGTAGAACATTCTTATTTGTATCGCGCTAAATATTGAGACTTTATTAAAACTATCCTATCAGAGTGAATCGTGACGAAATCCAGATGCTATTTTCAATAATTGCCCAATACTTTCACCAGGGAAAATTAAAATATCATATAAGTTACTGCCTCGTGAAAACGGTGAGGATCTTCATCGTAACCTCAGAGAGGTTATGCGTACCCGATATCGGAACGTCTAAACGTCCAGAAGTCGCCGAGGTCGGAACGTCAAAATGTCGGTACGTCGCTGATGTCGAGAGGTCGGAACGCGTGGCAACGATGATGTCGGGGATGTTGGTATACATGACGTGTCGGGCGTCGTCTGGAGACAGCGAAGAACATGATATATTATCTATTTAAGAATGTACAAGCATAGGGCTTGAGGATCTTGAAGTGCTTGAGGACCTTGAGGACCTTCGAGTGGCTTGAGTATTTTTGTGTCCATTATGTTGAGGACTTGTTTCACCGATTCTTCACGTCTACATGATTATTGAGTAACTATTGAGTATTCACTCATTAGCACCAAAGGACACAAACACGCATCTTTTAGTCTGTATATTGTATACAAAGCCTAGGAGTTCAGAGACTGCTTCCAATTTCAAGATTGACAACTATAAGACAGAAGTATTGATGTGTTATGATCTACTTTAACTATTGGAATGTCAGCTAACATTATGAAAAAGTGAACAATCGCGTACCTTCACGAGACAGCGGCCCTCAAAAGGATAGGATAAACAATTGTGCTCCAGACGACATGCCAGTCGCCGGAGAAAACAAACTTCTCGATATGCGTACGTCGGCCTGTATGTTGTACATGTAGCGCTGTGAACTGAGGACAAAATTCGGATACGTACAACATCGGCAATAGGTTCGCGGGCGGTCAAGACACTCCATTTCGAGTAAAAGATGCGCCAGTGCCTCTACAGCCCGATGAGAGATATAAAAAACAAAAGGCAAGAAACTCACCGGCTCTCCGTCTGTTCGCGACCCGGATAGGCAAAAGCCATGTTCTCCATGGGCAAGGACAACTCCTATTCCACTCCTCCTGACGACGAACGAAGTTGTTCGTCAAGCCCACCTTCCATTCATCATCATCGACGTAAGCATAAAGATAACCCTGCCCATCTGCATCTGAAATCCCCCGCATCGCTCGCATGTCATAGCGCCGCCGTAGATCTTCGGAAGATCGACGCATGAGTACCGGTTGGAAAGGAGGAATGGGAGACGTCAATGTTGATATCTGAGTGGTAGTGAGAGATCTTGGTGAGCGCCGCAAGCAGACGCGTTAGAACGAGGCGGAAAGCGAGGACTATCGGAGACGGATTGAAGAGATCCTAGCGTCGGGCGTGAAGAAAAAGCGCCGCCACTAACAAACGGTTTGTAACCGGAAGTTCCCTCGTTGTGATACCCTGTAGACAAGCGGAAGCGCGTGAACAGGCGATGACGGTGTGTGCAGTGATAATGGATGCTCTGGCAGGACACAGGTTTGTTATGCAAATCAGGAAGTATGAAAAATTGTGTGTGAGCAGCCAGTGACGATAAGGATGAGGTTCAGCAAGTGGGGGAAATTGGGACCTATTCTAAAGCAGTGCTATGCCGATGGGATCAGATAGAGGCAGACTTTCGACGACATCACCAACGATCTCGTGAAGGACGAGGGTGATTGTCCTTTGAATGAATTTGCGTCTCATAAGACGTCTGAATACTCATTATGGGCACGGGTCAGATTGGAGTAAGAATGAACATCATGTTCATGAGGGAGCAGGAAAGAGACATAGATTGCGAATACATAAAGTTAAAAGAAGTCAAAGCAACCTCTCCCAGCTTAAAAAGGAGACCATATGACGGTATTACTTCTAGGAAATTTTCGTTTTGAGTGAATCCTTGATATGGAAGTTAGAATGCAACGGATGATCATTGAATAGTCAACAACGCACGTTTCTCGCATAAAAATGACCGATAGCACTCTCATTCTGTGTCTATAGAATGACTGCCAACAAGTAAACAAACGATTCAACGTTGAGAGCATGGGCTCAAGCCCGGTGTTCACTTCTCCTCACGCTTTACGTATGGGGTTCCTTGACAATTGTTGAAGCTTTTGATAAGCGATACTACTAAGTAACTTCATTGGTACCTTCCTCTCTCTCAGAAGGAGCTAATGAAGAATGACACTTGAGCAAATGTTCAAAACTGATGAAATGAGTCTGAGAACAAGCTCACTAACGACGAGGTTAAGCCGAAGGTTGAGATTCACGGACATATTTACCGAGCCCTGAAGATAAGTGACGCTGACGCTATGATGAAGAGCTTGAGTAAATGGATATACATGAAGTAACGTTTCGCACCTATTTCCTTCTATATTCAAAGGTCTTAACCGTACTATCTCATGAGTACCAGCCCTTCCAAACTTCTCATTCTTCCGAACGTTAAATTTGAGGGAGGGGTAGAGTCCAGAATCCGGCAGAGATTGGGTCTAAATAGTGACGTCCTTGATAGCGGGTATTCTTCTTCCTTGACCAGTAGACAATCAGGCCCATAGAGCTGAATACCAGCGACTGGGAGAGGTTTTGTAGAAGGAGTCTGTGTTCTTACAGAGTTTGACTCTGTCGAACTGGGTTGGTGAAGACCAATTCGAGTTCTCAGGAAGAGATGCCGGTAAAGTGCAAAATCCGAGCAAGACTAGGCGCCTCTTGATTCGTATGCATCGTCGTCATCGTCGTTCACATACTAGCCCTAGTAGGAAGATAGGAAAGCAGCTAGTCCAGAGTTTGACTCCGGAAAACTGAGTATGATAGTGGTCGGGAAAGAACGTATCGTGTCACGTCTATGAATATTACATGATTAGGTGGACCGTGACTGTCACTATCACTATCCTTTCGACCTCTTCTGAGCATCATCGAGTATAACTCGAGTGTTGCTTTCCAGATTCCATAGTCGTTCATCAACACTACTACGCTCCGACCAACCAGGTAATAGAAGAAGTATTCCATTGCGCGCTTTTTGGGGGGTGTACAAACAAGTTCGTGCATTCGTCCCAAGTCAAGTATTATGCATGTTTCACCAAACTTCACAGAATTCAAAATACAACGGACGAGCGGCTTTACAATCGGCACTGGTCTAGGTCTTCACCTACAAATTTCCAGCGCGTTCAGAGCGCAGCGGTCACGAAAGAGGAACAGGGGTCCTACAGAGGTTGTGTGGTCTAGTGCGGAAGGGTTCGGAGACGCATGAATCTACAAGCATGCTTCAAGATGCTGTATTCAAATCGGACTTGTTTTAGCTGTTCGCACTCTGATGCCTCCAATCCTCCCTTAGTACTTTGGAGTTATCACGGTCTTTCACGTATACTTATTTTATCCGGTAAGTATATGACTGATACATATATTCTAACTGATCCGAAGGCTTTCGTTTGCATTCTGTTGATAGTCGAGACATGTTTAATACTCATGCACATGTCCTACACGAGGTCTTCCCAACTGTCTTTTCAATTCCCACCTCCAAGAGAAGCGTCGCACCTCAAAAATCATTTCACGCAGTCAATCCGGTATGGATCCACATGCAATGGGTACAATCAACAAAGAATCTCTGGTATTGTCATTCATAGTGGTCAAAGATCGTTGAGTGACAATTTTCCAGGATCTGGAGCCGGATCAGAACCCCAGCTCATTTGACGCTCTACCCAGCTCTCAGTCAAGACGGTCGCCGTATACACAGATGGATCCTTCTTTTAACAAAATCTTTTCACTGTACCAGAGTATTCGCAGAATTGGTAGTGATCATTTCAATAAACTCGTGAGTGATGGAATCGTCCTTAATACCACACTCCTTTCACGTCTTCAGTATAGGTAATTGATCTCGGACTTCAAAAAATCCTGTTAAATGCAGGAGTTTTGAACTACTTGTTCTTTGTATCAAAAATGCTCTGGAAGCTATCAGTAATGTTCCATAGTCAGCCCCATTCCGTCGCTGTCGGTTTTGTGGTTCCAAGCGTCGCGATGTATGCCTCCCGTGTGTAAGTTTTCTGCCAATTCATTAAGTTTCAAGGATTGTTCAACGAGCAATATAGTCAAATCTGGCGCAGAAATATCTGCTTCGAGCGGATAAGGCGAAGAGGACAACGAAGACTAAAGAAGGTTTTAGTTTTGTGGTGGACAAAGAAACATTCGGGAAGTATACGTACGGAAACTTTCTTGGCCCTTTTGGAAGCTGATTTCACATTATCCACAAAAGACCAAAAGTATTTCGCCTAGAATTGATAATAGTTGAGGAACATTTACCGAAGGACTTGGAAATACGTACTTCGTTCGTTGTGATTGCCTTCACACATTGATCATCGACCGTGTCGCAGCCAAGGACAGTCAGAATCTCCGTTCTTAGTCGATGTATCGAGGTCGTTGCGTCATGAAAGTCGCATTTCAGACGATCCGTATTGGCTTCTGCTTCCTGTATTGGGTATGTAGTTAGCGGATGTTATAATCATGGGAGAAACTGAAAGGACTCACATATCGTGAACGCAGCCGTTCGACTGTTCCACGGAGTTGAACAACTTCTTGTTGTTTGAGTAAGGCCTGTTCTTCTAGTAGTCTCAGGCGCACAGTGTCAGCTGATATTATACGAACTTTCTGTCGAAGCATGTTAGAACAGATAAGGCAGTCAGAGCAGTCAAAGTGGCTATAATGTAACTCACCAAACTCATGATCAAGAGCGGGGGGATTGAAAGGTTCAAGTCTGAAAGCTGGTAACTTATAAGAACAATCATCAGAGGTCTGAGCGTGTTCTCGGCGCTTAGGTATGAAGACAATGACCTACATCGTGTCTTAAGAAAGACACAGTTGTTTAAGACAAAGCTGACCAACAACAATCGCTTAGATGAAAGGGAGGGAGGTGAATGGCCACCATGGCTGATGATATATTCAAACACTTTGTACTGACTACAATGGAGTGGGCATTCCTGATTCATTGCCGCGGAAAACCTCAGTGTCCGAACGTCAGAATTAAACAGGTTATTCAAGAAGATCATAAACATACCTTCGGGACAGGGTACACATGTGTGACAGAATTTTCTTTGACCAGTAATGTCAAATCTGTCCTGACGAAATGCGAGATCACATTTGACAATGGCACAGTCGAAATCCTCCTCATTGTTGGAATTTGTAAACATAACCACCCGCAATTCAGTGACCGATATAAATCATCCTCTTCGCTAATTGGTTCCATGACAATGGTCTCAACATATGTAGTTGCAATCACATCTTGGGAAACAGGATGAGGATGAGAATGTTTAATAATTCTGCAGATTGTTCCAGCGAGTATTTTTCCATCGTCGCGGAAGATGATAGAATTTTGACGATACCCGGTGGAATAGATTACCCGTCCGAGTGCCGCTCCATCTAGAATATGAGCTTGTCGGGCTACCTTGCCATCCCAGTCTGAGGCCTGAACACCATACATCCTGCACAATTGCTGCACAATGCGGTCTAAAGTCGATCTCTCGATACGAGTAGGGGTCTCTTTGAACTCCGTACTGGTCCAGGCCGATAAGTCAGTCCCAGCAAAAATACCGCGATGATCTTCACGATCAATGTCGGTCAGCATCATCAAGGCTTCACCAATCTCTTCCCGAATCTCCGGATAGTTGTTCAGTAACAACTGTAGATTAGCTATTTGGCCGTATGAGTTCATCATCGTTGCTTCGACCTCACCTACAAAATACTATAAGAAAATGGGAAGGCATGCTTGATAAATGAGCTCACCTACATGCCCGTTCTTCTTCACCTCTTGTAACAAATGGTTAATGCGCTCAAACACTGGGGTACTCCGAGCATGTCCTGGGCCCATCTGCTCCAAGTCAGTTACGATATGGAGTGCGAGATGGTGATTCGATGCAAGGGTGACGTCAGGAAACAGCTCTAGGACTCCACGTAGATAACTCAGGATACGGGCTTTATAGTAGGCTCTTGAGCTCTGAGATGTTTCGCGAAGGAAGATGACATGCATGCCACGGACCAGCTCTAAAAAGTTCAGCATCATCTGGAAATGTCGAGATTGTGGTTGGTCTTTATTGCCATAACCCCATACTCGAATCAAGGTCACGACCAGAGAGATCGAGCATACGACTTTATATTCATCGGCACTAAGCTTGCCTGCAGAAGGAATACCCCATCTTGAAGGAGCGGGTTGAATCCAACTGGGAAGCACAGAACGTGCCATATCCGCCCAAATTTCTGCTAGAAGATCCTTCCCAATGACACTCCGAGGGGAACTTTGTTTAAGGATACTGTCACGATGCTCTTGACGCTGAGAAAGTAAATGAACGACCGCTCAAACACAAGGTTGTTTCAGATGAACTGACCCACAATATCAACCATCGCGCCAAATTTTCCTTTTTCAATGAGCCACCGGAAATGTTGGAGTCAACCGGGGGTATTCGATACTCTCTGCAAAGCTTCTCAAGATGTTTGAGTAGTTGAGACATCATCATGGACTTCGAGGGCTCATCCTCCTCGAAGATCCGTTTGAATTGGTTGTACCGCGTCTGCAAAGAATCCTCATCATCCTTAGCTCCGTTTTCTTGACGCTGTTCAAAGATACTCAGAAGTAATTCAATGCAGCTCAGTAGATATATTTACGTAGACCATGAGGCGTGCAGCAAGGGTTTTGTTCGAGTCATTTAGGTTGTAGAGTATGTTCAGATCTTGACACAATGCTCGAAGGATTATCTTTTTCTTGTCAAGTGATGGGGGTCTAGCGTCGAGGTTGAGTAATTTGGACTTGAGTTTTTCAAACGCCGAGTCTTTGCTGAAGACGAATGGTGGTGCAGACCGCGATACGGGTGGTAGCGCATCCGCACTTGTGGCAGATAGAGCGATGGACGGAGCAACCGAAGAAGCCACCGAAGAAGCCCTTGATGAAGGCTCCGAGTTCAAAGACTTCTCCAACCAGTCAATATGTGAGTTAGTTGTGATAACAAAACAAACATACTACATCGGAAGCTTCGGATTCTGAGACTTCGGCTATGGCGCTACGCTGATATGAGAGAAAAACTTCAGAGCAGCAAAAAGGGTGCAAAAGAAAACACTCACCGAATTGTCACCTTCCCAACCATCCGGGACCTGATTATAGTCAAGAGGAGGGACTTCAGGTACTTGTTCAAATTCAACGGACGAACGCTGTACATAGTTAAGTGCGTGTGAGTAGTCAATGAGATTTAAGACTCACCCATTGCAAAATCTGGTCTACCATTTGTTGCTTGCTGCTAAGTCCCGTACGTAGCTTGAGCCAGAAGCACAGGTACCAGAGAACCCCTTTCTTCTCTTCCAGCAAAATAGCTCCTATCGACGTCTCATTTCCTCGAATTTCATTCAAAAAATTGCGTAAACTTGCGTTGGACAACTTCATACGTTTTTTGTCGGATAAATCTGGATGAAGTCCATCCCCGCTGTTCTTCTCATGATCAATACCCCATATTTCACGAAGGTGGGTTTTGAACAGGCCAAGGTATCCGAAATGCATGTCATCAATGACCGTGAAGAGGATGGGATCCCAATACGGCAGTTCCATTAACTCTGTGAATCGAATTCCATGAGCTTTGTAGATTGCTTCGCGTCGTGCCTGTGAAGCAACCTTCCATTCAAAGGCCAGCTCCCTATGTTTCACAGGGTCCCGCATGATCCAAGTTTCTGGATTAAGGTTGTGGATATCACTGATTGGTAGGAGACATCGTCTACAGAAGTAGGTATGATTGTGGGCAGCAAAGCCCGAAATTTGAATCACAGCTTCCGTGTCACAAACAATGGGAAGCAGGGCTACGAAAACCTTTCGACCAATACGATGACGTGCTGTACGCGTGTAGTACACACCTTCCCAGAAAGCCAGCAGTTGCTGGACTAGAACCCGTAAGGTATGATTGACGTGGTGTTGTTTGGGTTTTCCGGGCATGACAGTGACCAAAAACATATACTCTTGTCGATATCGAAGATGCTCCGGTAGAGACAGAATTACCATGTACAAAGCCGTGGACTGGATCTGAGCGTGAGTCTCTCTCTGCCCAAATGGATTGAACCCGTCAAATCCAAGACTCATTACAAGTCGTAGATCTGGATTTTCAGCAGGTTCTTTCTGAGAAGTTATGAACGGCTGCCCATCTACGCCTCTGAATTCACGAAAGACAACAGAATCCACAAAGTCTATTTCCGAGTCAGTCCTCGTTGAGAATGGGCGTTGCTGATGCTCTGCAACAGCATCTTCAATGCCTGGAACAGCTAGAATTCTCCCAATCCATAACTTCAGATCCTGAAAGACCTGCTTTCTAATCGGGGCCATGAACAAACGCTTTCCACTATGGCGAGTGTGCCACAATGTAGTCCCACACGGTGGCGAATCCGGGTGTAATCTCTCTTCACACACAGGCAAAGGAAGATGCGCTTCATGTGCGTTCTCAGCATTTTTGAGGGCCTCGTCGGTGAACGGCGACAATGCGTAACATTTCGGGCATGCAATCGCGACGTGCAAAGTAGGATTGAGATCATATTGGTCGACAATAGTGTGAATATCCTTCGGAATCTGGGATGGAACTCTTGATTGAATCCCGCTTCTTCTCATAAACCCTCCGATGATGCCACGCAACAGCGCAAGATTTACCCGCATATGACGGACTGTACTCCGGAATTTTATATGCATGATCAGAGCGGCTACAAGGGTCGGAGTTACATCTGTCATTTGCCTCTGGGAAAAGCGACGACCTAAGTAGATTTAGTCACTGCGACTGACGATGGGATAGTACACATACTATTGTTAATCGTGGATCCATCACGTCCATCAGGGTATGCCTGTGATACCCACTGTCTCTCCTTTATGCGATGGAGCTTCACCAATGCGTCGCGAAGCTCCTCCTCAACGTCTGCATCACCAACTAAGCGCTGTTCCGGCGATATTTGAATTGACTGGAGCAGGCTGCAGAACCTTGCCTCTGTATCCAAAAAGCGGTTGTTGGCGATAACAGTAGTTTTCAGAGCGAATTCGCCAGAGTTCACCTGTAGAAGGTTTTCAGAATCTGACACTACAAAAGGGATATTCGGAGAAGGATCTTTGAAGAAGGTTAGGCGCGTTTCGCAATCGTATAGAGTCCCCAAACGCATGCGGATTTCGGATACTACGCATTGTAACCAGCCGCCGGTGTCCTCGTCATTTAAACCTGGGATGCCAGGTCGATTTGAATCTGGATGGTTGCTTCCGCAGAGGAGATGGTTTTCGGAAGGGGTGGATGATGATTCGGGTGCGATGTCAGACCCTGAAGCCTCTGGTACTATACCAGACGATGTCGACACCGTTTGCAACCTGTCGGCCCTACTGAGTAAAGCTTTTCTGAGACGTTCCCGATGCCGATGCTCAGTAAGAGCGGACTGGGGGACCAGTAATCCCTCTGGATCTTGTTTGAGACACTCTTGGCAACGACACGGTTGCAAATCCGAATTGACAGAATTGACTCTGCGACGGCGAGCCATTTCACGAGCAGGTTGAACTCGAAAGTGAAAGAACACGAAGAGTTTGAGCAGGAAACAGTATGGCCTGAGGGCATTGATAAAGCGATGGAGCGATATTAGCGACCTGTCACTGTGGAAATTGCTGATAATTTGGCTCTTATTTCCTATCGTGGGCATCAAAAACGTCAGGAAACTTTTGTGCGTTGCATATGGCAAGAACTCACGTGGAGAGAAAAGAAAAGTCCAAGTAAAATTCATGGGTGTCAGAACCGCTCCCTGATGGAACCAGACAGCACCTCAGACTCGGAAACAGGAAATCCTACTGTTCGTCGATTGCAACATCGACTGCGAATTAACGCTGACAATTCATAGCCCACTGGATGGTGGAGAAGGCAAACATACGACTACTGCAGCTATTATCTGGATAGTGATGGGATGATCCAAAAGATATATCACAGCCCAGACGCAGAGGAATCGTGAGTTAATACGATACGGGGTTGTAATGATCTTGGGAACGCTGAAATCCAATACAGGAGGACAAGAGGACGAGCGAAGACTCCCCCTCCTCAAAAGGGAGCTCTCAAGAAGACCGAAACCCCCAGTAGGTGGACCATCTCCTTTGTGAGGTTCTATGCCGATGTCCATTAGGCTTTGCCAAGGACGCTGATAGGGGATCTACCCCCGTCAGCTTTAAGCCTCAGGCGCGGCCTCCAAAGTACTTTTTGCAAGGGAATCTTCGTACGAGCAATGTTACGAACGACACGTATGGACCGACGAAATTGGAGACGAATCGGTTCAGATCGCATGATAGCGAGGGAGAAACTGCCTGGCACTCTAGTCAATCACCGAATGACCTCGACGCTCCTCCCCCTGAGACCGCAACTCCCAGACTGTTAGGGACGATATATGTCCACAGGAATACCAGAGATGGGGGCTATCAAATATGGGTTTGGTGCAGTCACGAAGGTACAGAGCGGGGGTTCTGGTGGCGGCCTGTAGATCTGGAGAACGAGCAGTTCACACACCCCAAGATTACAACAAGGTCACTAAAGCTGACTTCAGGGGGGAAGCCTAGTTGGGTTCTGAATAGTACGTTGACAACGTACCGAACCCGGAGTGCAAAGCGCTCCAGGTCGCGACCCGCCACAGGCTCGACATTAGGTTCTACAGAGTCGGTTAGTGCAGCGAAATGAGATGTGTCGTGTTCTTCTTTTGTCCTATCATCGCCTTGTATGGTACGAGTTCCCCGCGACTTATAGCTATGTCGAAACCACGTAGTTTGACTCGTGGAATCGCCATGAAGAGGCAGTAATTGAGGGAGACTAGAAGGAAGCACGCATTGAAATATGTAAGTGCTGATGGTCAGGTGTCATACTCTATCACCTGACCTGATCAAGTCTGTCGCGTCGTTCGCGTTCTACGTACAGGAAGTCACATCGAATCAGACCTGAGACCTCTGTATACCTTCGAGCAAGCGCACTGCATTTTCTGTCACTTATGTCATCTAAAGTCATGGCCCGTATGCTGTACACGAGGCTGAATGAACTACATCTTACCGAAAACTCTCATTCGCGATAGTGAAGGTTGGTACATAATCATGGATGCAGAAGAAGAGCCACCTCATCATGGAGTATATGCTCCATCGCCGGTAATCCCCATGCTCCCAATAATTCGACGCAACTGATTCTCCGTTAGCGGGCATCCAACTTTCCACTGGCAATGCACTCTTGGAGGGACGACGACAAGGTTATTGACAGTGAGGATGAGGCGATAGAATATAGTAGCCGCTCTAGTGAATATAGTGACACAGATCGGAGCATCCTGAATGTTCTTGAGTTGAATGCTTTTGTGTCGATCGATTCACTGACTGGGCATGTTCTTGTATTTCACAGGACTTCCAACTACAGAACACAGTGCGTCGGCTGCTAGAATTGTCCCGATTGAAGACATAACCTTCCGTAGAGCTCAAGCAGTACTCCAAGGCCTACCACGACTGATATCGAGGATCTGATAATTGGATTAACGACGAGTGCATCCATCTCGTCAACCACTGATACTCAAATCCTCAGAAAGATGGTGAGTCTCTGAAACATTGATATCTGCGCCTCATAATGATGTATATTCGCCTTCATAGGACCCAGCCAGCACTCCGAAACCCACCACATGTGCCATTGATAGTCAGATACCCGAGTCTGCGGAGAATGCTTCCATGTTGTTGAGCCCTGAAGCTCCATGTGGGCAGATGGTGAGTGTCTGAGTTGTATGGATCTTACGAAGTGCTCATCTACCTTGCAAAGACTACAGAACCTATTATGAGTAGCATCGAAGATCAGATTCCAGCGAAGGCGTCTTCATCGTTAACCACTGATACTCCGATGGAGGTGCATGCATTTTCATTTTCTGGATCAATGTTGCATGTCTGACAATTTTCCATCATAGAATTTAGCAAGCTCTCTCCCAGGACACACAATGGACAACCTCGATACTCGAGGGAAGAATGTGGGCTTAGACATGCGTTCCATCTGCGAATTTAGTCTCACATCGCCATCTTTTCAGATCTCAGCCAGTCCTTCGGAGGGACCAGGTCGTCCGGCAGATGAACCGGGTCGTCTTCCTGAGGGACCAGGACATCCTTCGGAGGGATCAGGACGTCCTTCGGAGGGATCAGGACGTCCTTCGGAAAGCCCAGAACGCCCAAAATGGTTCCAAAACGTTGTTGTGAGTATGTACCTATCATACATTGGCGCCATGGACTAATGTACCTCCATTTGAGTAGATGGTTGATGACCTTCAACTCTCCCGGATTTTGTTCAAGGCGGGTGCTCTGATTTACCTGCTCTTCCTCATCAGAGTGCTTCAGAAGATCTATGCAACATTTTGGAGCCAACCCCTTGCTGTTGCTGTTGGAAATCTGACTTTGAGTATTGCGTTGTTCGTTCTGATCCAATACCATCCCCCGATGCCAGTCCAACTCAAAGTCACTAAAAAGGTGAGTGTTACACGCTAGAGCAAAGGCTTCCATTACTCATTGCCAAAAAAGCTCGGAATTCTACAAGTTGCAATTGATGCTATGATCTTTATAGGGTCCTTCACATGTGTCTCATTCATGATAAAGATGGTCCTCATTATCGGAGAGTTAGTAGCTTATTAGGAGCTGTAAATCTTTGTGTTCAACTCAATGTAAAGTTCGATACAAAGCAAAGAAATGAACTGCGATGATCACATTGTAATGTTCTTGATGAAAACATGAATCATGATCAGAACCGTATTCAGTATGTACAAGATATGAATCAATCAATTATACCAAAATCATCCCCCCGTCAGATCGGCAAGTTGCATTCTTTCTTGAGATATTCGACTGCAAGCAAATCATTCTTGTTCGAAAGTGTGTAGGCCCTTTGAAACTTCAAATGCGTATGCCATTCTTGAGGAGTCATCAAGACCACTGGCTCCGTAGAGTTTTGAATTTTAGTCAGTCGCTTTTGAAACCAATCTTCGGCATCTTTTGACCAAAATCCACAGTTGAGCCCACATGTTCTCCAAGAGTTCGGACGAGGCCACCAGGATCGCATTGCAGTCTGCTGTACACCCTCCTTCGAGATGATGCCTAAACAAAGGAATGAGAGACAGGCATCGAAAAAGGTAAACACATACCTGTAGCAACCTCATATGCACCACATATGAGATCAATTTCTTCATTTGTCAGTTGGTCATCCCAGAATGCACGGCCTCGGCCCACTTCCCACACACAAAGTGCATGCTCTCCTTCTTGCAGAGCATGTACAGTAGGTCCATCACAGACATCGTCTTCATTGACAATCTCGCGAGCTAATCGAGCAACTATGCCCCCACTTAACAATGCAGCACGGCCCCTAGCTGAACGTAAGAACTCGTCACGAACAGCCTCATATGCATGATAATCTTGTGAATTGGGAAGAAAGCTGGCTGGACGAAAGCCGAGAACCGCAGGTCGACGGCGTGGGATCACCTTGCATATCCGAGGAGGATAGCTAGCTACCAGTGTATTGAACGACAGACCCTCTTTGATTAAGCACTTGATGATATCTACCGTTCCTGGACCCCACTTTCTACGAGCTATCTCCAAAACGGTGGCTGCGCTGTGTAATGCAATCAGATATGGCTCATTATCTGTAGCATCTTGTGCCTGTATTAGGAAATGGTGTCCATGGTACGAGGTCAGGACATCAACCTCGAACAGAATCTGAGGTTTCATTAGGCCATTCCTGATAGCCAAATCATATTCTTGGGGTGCGTGCCGTAGATCTACTGCTTCCAACAATTGCATGACGAGATTGATTATCTGTAGCTTGATATGATCGTCCGGTCCATCAGGTACAGGCGGGCGTCCACATCCAAGCAGGCCCAATACTTTCTTCCAAAGCCTAGGTAGAACCACAACTTCTCTATTGTCTTGGATGGGTCGTTTGAGGAAGCCGAATCGATGGTGGGCAACATCTTCGATGGCCTCTGAGAAAGTTATGGGTACCGCGGGCGAATGCTTTGTTGGTTGAAGACGAGCAACATAAGCATATGAGGAAGCGGGGCTGACATCATGGCCCACTTCCGCATTTGATTGTGAGCGGGTAGAGATAAAAAAATCATCGTCGGAGTCGTCCCCGAAGGAGTCTAAATCACCACCGTCAGGATCCAGATCCGTGCAGACCTCCCATTCATCAGCAACGGAATCATATCGCCGTTGGCTTGGGCCGTATCTCTCCCAGATATCCTCATAGTTGCTCCTTCCCACAGCTGTCCGCACCCTGATACCCTCGACAAGATCCCAGTAATAGACACGAGCACCTTTCCGACCCGGAGGTCGATCTCTCCTAGCGTTTTCTTCCCGCTGTAAGCGAGATTGCCGTTCGGATGCCGCCTCTGATACGATAGCTTTGAGTCTATGAGTTTCTCTGCGTTGGATGAATGTGAATATGTCCTCATTGTGACGGGGAAAGCTTCCACCAGTGATACGTGGATACCGCAATCTAGGCTTATGAGTAGATACTTCTGTGCTGTTGAAAGTATGGCCTTCTGATAACGGTGGCGGATAAGATGTTTGTGTCGCGGAAAGGTTGTCAATCGTGGTAGTATCGGGAATCGGAAACGTGACGGGATTAGGAAACGGGATCACAAAGTTGAAAAATTTTGGAATAGACCAATCATGAGTTTGACCCCAGTATAACATCAAAGGCATTTTGGAATCGAGGAATACAGGGAGCCAGGGAAGACACCCAGAATTGTGCACATCGACAAATGTACCGACTGGTGGAATATCCATGATTTGGTCAAAATACGCAAGCCAATCAGAGCTGATTGACGTTTCTCTACGGAGTAGCTCTTGCCATTCCCACTTCGCAGGAACAGCCCCCCGGCGAAGTTCCGCATACTCCTTCTGTCTCTTACCCAAGAAAGAATCGTCCTCATTGGGTGGAGTGTGCAAAGCAACGAGATCAACCCATTTGTTCTCCAAATGATATAGCATTCGAACAAAGAATGAGATACAAGCAATCAAAGGAATGAATGCTTGACGAGATCGCATTCCTGCTCTACGCGCCTCTGATTCCGTTTTCCAACGTTTATGATACCCATAAAAGTTTGGTAGCGGCCAGAGGCGGAAATCGTCAGGAATCGCTAGGCGGTTGATTTTCATACAGGCACGTTGAAACGCGCGCATATTTCTCTCTAACGAGTCCCAATCTTCTTGTAGTGACGAGCTGAGAGCGTATGAATTTGACTGGCCGTCTTTCTCAATTGGTAGGGTACTGAATCCATGGTCAAGGCATTTCAAGAAATGAAATTTGAATGGGTTGCTGCTGGGAGCGAATCCCAGGAAGGGGATCGAGGAAGTCACCCAGCGTGGTGTATAAAAATCGGGGAGCGTGGCTGAATTTGGACTGGGATTCAGGTTTTGTTTTCGGGAGGGCACGATGGGAAAGTTGTGCGGCCTACGACTGAGGCAAGTGAACACATCGTTGTCTATCAGCGCATGGAAGCTGGATAGTTCGGCCTCCTGAGACGTCGCAAGCATACAAGTCACCTCTTATGGTCAGATAGCATTAAGACCCAAACATGCTATTCATTATAAAGGAGGTGCTTACTTTCCATCACTTCGAACGTTGTCCGCTTAAGCGCAAAGAAGAGTTGATACTAACGATATTGCGATAAGGACATCTATTCGAAGGTATCTTCAGCGCTTCATATCCAGTTTGACCAGATAGAAGCCTGACGAAGAACTCAGATAGATAGACAGAGTGTTTTAGATTTTCAGGAATCAAAATCTAATGTCAAGTCATGTGCACCACGTGCTGCCTTGCTCATTCGACCATTAATTCGATGTCGATGTCCTGTTTTATTGCCTTCTCCCAGCTGCTCCAGGTTATAAACTGGGAGTCAGTTCTGCTCGCACACAATAAACCTCGAGGATCCTAGCACCTGGACCAGGATTTCGACCGAACTCAAGATCAACACGTGCAAAGAACGACTGGATGTTAGATCAAGGAGCGACGTAGGTAAAGAACGATCAAGTATCTAAGGAACGAGGGTTGAAGAGAATGACAAAACTATAGGAGGGTCAAATGAATGTATGGATGTAGCTGATAGGCCAAAAAAAATAGCATGAGGTGTGTTTTTATTTTAATGTAAAGCTAACGAACAAAAATTGTGGGCATAGAGTTGATACAACAAAAAGGATGGCATGGTGAGCAGGCATGGAGACGTGGTCAACACGGGACTATAAATTAAGTAGACGAGGGGCATAGGTGAGTAAAAAGATAATGAGTTGAAACCTAGGTCACGATCGAGCACCGTAGGTAAAAGCGGAAAGAAAAGGCCTAACCCCTAACGATGTGCTTCAGACGAGTTCCCTTTTCAATGTGACTTCCAACGTTTTTCGAGAACCTGTAATAAGAGCGTTAGGATCTGCATGACTCCGTGGACTTGGGAATTTTACTTACGCAGTGAGGACTCGTTTGATTGCTTCATCCCTCTCGTTCGCATTCCCGTACTTAGGCACGTACTCTAAGAACCTCTCTGGCTCATAGACAGAGTAGAAGAATATGGCGATTTCGCCCTTGAATCTCTCCTTCACGCCGTATGTTATCAAAGATTCGTTATTGTTGGGAGAGCTTTGATCGTATGTGCCGCATACGTAGTATCGCCTTTGATCAACAATGACTTTCAGCTTGTAGATGTCATCTACCATTGATTCTGCCGCAAACCCCTCCCGTACATCGATGTATCGTTGGTGCTTGTGGCGGCTCGAAAGAGTGGATGGGAACTTTTTGGTTTCTGTTATAGCACGATCCATTCCAAAGTAGAGACCTGTCGTTGACCCTTCTACCTGCAGACGCAATTTAATATCATTCCTGATAAAATATACGAATATCTTTACCTTATCGAGTTCCTGTTGGGGCATAACATCTCCATTGAACAGGGGGACAAGAATGGTGTGACTGGGAGAAAGACGTCTCCTTGCTACGGGCGTTCTATTTCTGGAGGAACGACTGGAACCAGATCGAATTCGAGATGATGAAGCCATAACAAAATGCAGAGTAGGTTCAAAATTCCACAGGGATCTGTTTTGACGAACCGTTTCTTAAGGACCTCAGCACGCTTTGAACACGACTCTTTGACGTTTTAGTCTCTGGATTTTTTTCTCAATTATTCTGACAAAAATATTCCGCAAAACCTTGGGGCTCCAGTAACAAGCAGGGATATTCAAGTGGGTACAACCCCGTACAACCCCTCAAGAAACAGAAAACGTTACATAGGTTTGACCGATAATGCTAGGATGTTTCATAGCAGGTGAGTCTGTTCTTCATTCTCGTAGTGTTTCTTTCCCGCATTCAAAGCTCACGACTAGAGAGTCAAGAACGCTCTGGCTTCAGGTTTTTTCATGGATATGCAATTAACGACAAAGATCACTCGAGAATAACGAAATTTCGGTCATAATTTGTGTATGAAATTGGGTTTCATGGGGATATGCAAACATGGCGAACTCGAATAACCCATATTCCGGGTAGTCAGAAATGATGTATGTTCTTCATGCATGACTGGTTTTGGACCCTCTCACTATTCGAGCAACTTGGTTCTTGCTCCCGTCCTTTATCCCTTTATTTTTAGGAAGCTTGCTTAATTCAATGAGTGGATTCAAATACCTGTAACTTCTTGCAAAATATGTTCCTCTGTAGGACTCGTCTTGAAACTCTTTGTGATTTCAATAACAGAATCGAGATCTCGAGACCGCATCAATCTGGACTTCGAACTAACCCCAACGAGAGAACAATGGTGAATGTTAGCGAGACTAAGCGAGTCGGCTGTATCCTGGCTGTATCTTATCGATGGCCAAAACAGGTCGGGTTAGTCATAATACCGCTGTCCAAAGCTGCAGTATTAGGAATTAGGGACATTGTAGGGCAGCCTAGGGTAGCCTCATGTATACGCAGTATGTATGCAACCATTCGTTTCATATCTACTTATTTGTAGTACCGGATCCGATATATCTAGCCATGACTTTGAAACTAGTATTATGGATAGAAGGATATACGTATATTTACTACGTCAGCACACGCAGATATACCGTGGCTTGTCGAGCTTAATCCAAGTAGCGGTTTTGTATATTTGACGAGGTGGTCGGAAAGGCTTGATGATATCTTAGACCCCAATGTCTTTCGAGCTTGCTTCATCCGCCGCAACGTATTCGTCTTCCCAGATGGGAGTTTCAAGCGGAACCAATCTCATAAACAAAATTCTTTCTTTCTTGTTGAAGCTCCTACCTGATCCTGGTCATATGCATGGTTCTGACGATCCTGTATCACGTCTATTTAGTGTGTTTGCGGATAAGGATCGCGAAGAAATCACCAGGGCGTTTATTGTATTGAGCATTATTATCTGTTTGATGCTCAGAATCACGACACTCGTTGGCTGCAGCTATAAAGTGGTGAGTAGCTGCAGGCTCCATACTATTTTCTGTCAGAGTTAATAGCTTCAATCATCGCAGGTATGCGCTATGACGATGAAAGTATATTCTTGGATTTTTGGTTACTTTCCGTGGGCCACCAGACTCGTTGTCCTCGAACAGCGAGAGAAAGCCGTGTCAGGGAAGGAGGCAATGATAGTACAACAGACTCAAACTCTCCAGTTAGACGTCGAGATCGCACTTTACAAGCGTCTTGCTGGAGTTCTTGAGCGTTCCGCGGCAACTGCTCGAGACAAAGCCAGCGACCTCGAGATGGAGAAGGAATTATTTGTAGACGAGCTTATAAGGGGTGTTCGTGATACTTCAGGACAGCATTCGGCTATGCGTCGCACAGTCACTGCCAACGGGGAATAGAGTTATGACAATGTACTCATATTACGCTGATAGTCCAAAAAGCGAATTCGAATTTGCCTACTACCAGCCCTACCTACCTACATCTGCCGACGTGACGTGAGATGACCGGTATACCCGCAAAACAGCTTGTTCGACCATCAAACAGTGAAGTACCCTACGAGCTTAGCGTTGGATGTGACGGTAGATCACACAGTGCATCTTTAAGGGTTTCCTATAGATGCGAAAGATGTACAGGATATGATAGAATATGATATGCGAAGCGCGACGACTCCCAGATTTTACAACCGGCTATCCATATTATCGCAGTTTCGCTTATGCCTTGACAATCTTTCATTAAAAATCCTCCCGTATAAAGGACTATTGACACGCACTAGTAACTCTCCCAAGGCGTCGAACAGTTTGGTGACTTTTGTCAAAATAGGTGACGATGCAGCAGCAGGTATCACAGGAGATGGGGAAGCGAACGGTGCCCCAGGAGGAGATGATTTGAAGAAGTACACTGAAAACTTCTCCGACGTGGCTTCTGACCACAAAGGCGAAGACCACAATGATAAAGCGAAGATCAATCCCATCAAGGTAAGGACTACCTGCCCAATTCTGAGGACGGATACAAACTGTAAAGAATTTGATACTGGGACTTCTGTTCTAAGAGAACAACTCACTAGTTTTGGCATGATATACCAGAGCTTGGGGAATTTAAACGAGACGTCCTTCTCATCCTCCTCGATCCAAAGTATGATCCTTGTGCGCTGTTCGCGATTTCCGTCGCCGGTCGCTATCATTCGATAGCGACTATCTATATCGATATAGGCCTGATATCAGATCAGCAGGGACTAGCAACAACGTCACAAGAATACACTACCAAGGAAGTCACCCAGGTTTGATCTGTATGACGAAAAGGTAGCTCAGCAAAAAAGACCAGTGAGAGATTAGGATTTACCATTTCCGTGCTTCAAAGCTTGTAATTTTTCGGCACGCTTCACCTCTAAGATCAAAGCACAACCCTTAGTCGTACCCATGATTACTGCTTGGCCTTGGTTTATGAAGAGGACAGGAAGGGGAACATTGGACGAAAGATCCTGAGTCTGATGAGTGCTACTCATTTTCTTGAGCCTATCGGGCATGACTTTGAACCAGGTGAGCCCCATGCAAGTATCCGTTGCGACAACCGATTTTGAGTCGGGGGATTGAGCCGAAGCAGTTCTAAAAATGGGTCAGACAACTACGGCTCGTTTCTTTGTATGTGAGACATACATTCTTCCAAAATACCTTCTCGACTCCTCCAATTCATATGAGTCATCTGGCCCAAAATACAAAGTGCTCTCCCATGTTTCAAGATTGAATTTCCTAAAGCCGAGTGTGGAGAAATGTAAGATTCGTGGTTATTTCAGAAGATTTCGCTCACCAAAAACCGTTGTACAAGTATCCTATGAGACATTCCTTTTCATTTTCGAGAAAATGCAACCCTGTTGCCACGATTGGATAGGTATCGCCTTCACTGGGCTCTCCGAATGGGGTGGGGCGAGGGAGACAATCATGGTATTTCCATTTCCCTGAAGCTGTACATTCAAGTTAGCTTGGATGATATCTCTTACTAAGCCAACAGTTGCACATACTCTTCTTGAAGAAGAGCACATCAGCGCCTGAACAAACAAGGAGTTGGTCGCCACCTTGGTTAAATACCATGGTTTGGATTATGGCGTCAGTCTTGTAGATGACTTCACTTTTCCGTCGACGAATCCACCGGTACCCCTAGTTTTGTTTTCAAAGACATTCATCGGAGCAAGAACATGTCACATACCGTGGTTGGGTAAAAACAAATCACGTCGCCATCCATGCTACCGACAAAGAGAGCATCATCTCTCCATGTGACAGCGGTGAAAGGACAATCGCCTTTCTCTTCCCAGGTCGTCGCAAATCCACGTTTTACGCCGTAGACGCGTATCATATTATCATTGCTGGCACTCGCCAAATAACGGCCGTCTGATGAAAATGCCAATGCATGTACACAGTCTGTAGGGGCCTCTATCGTGCCCAGCTGAGTATAGGAAGTTTTCATAGATCTTTAGTGGCCGTTCTGTTGCAGAAGTCAGGGAAAATCCAGCTCACATATCCGGCACGAGGCTTGACACGAGCAAGTGGTTAGTACCGACGTCTCGACTGATGCGAACAATTTAAATATTATTGGAGTTCGGCTAGGACACTAGCAGGGAGAACGCACTGTCCCTCATGTCCAAGGGCATCTAAAGAAAACACTATGACCGTATATAATGACATAAACTGCAACGATTCATTGCAGTTCCTGATGCGAGACCAACACGAACAGATGTATATTCAATGATTCTTGGTACGTAGACGATATCCGATTAAAATACGTGCGAGGCGCTGCGGTTAGTGGGGAAAAAATGAATACAGCGCCTTGGGAAGAAAGGATGCAGCTGACCGGTCAGCTGTGAGAGCACTGTGAAGCTTGTAAATACAGCAGCTGCTTCTCTAGCTCCTGTATATCTTCCCTCTTTTCGTCTATTGAAACGGAAATTATAGAATGGAGAGTCTTCAGCTCTTCCAGCGGTCGAAGAAATGGAAGATTCTGACAGAGACGTTAAAAAAATACACCCAGCAAAATATTTTCATACCTTGTTAAACTGCTGGATTTGTTGCACCAAGCTTGCTATCTCGGCACGAAGCTGTTCTATTTCGCTTGTGGCGAGGGTGATTTGTCGCACAAATCGAGCGATTTCAGCCGCCTCGTTCGATACGGTGCGCACCTGCGGGAGAGACATCAACGGTCTTTGGAAAAAGGTGCGGCAGATCACTTCACCCTGACCAACGTCGTGATATAGCCTGATAGCTCTTCTGTTTGAACCCCTTCATGGCCAATATTCTCGATCCGGATTCCAATTCATACGTTTGGCCTGATTGGGAATAAAGGGATCGATAACGATGATGAGTTCCATGGATGATTATTGGTGCAATGTCGAACAATCTTATAAAGTGAAAAGCGAACTATCAACAGAGTTTGACTCTGTGGAGTAGTGGTACGGTCTGGGTACGGTGGTATTAGATTGATGAAGAGTTCGAAGTGTGATTTATTTCTTATTCAAGTTATTGACTGCATGTGACTTGTGACTTGTTCACTACTCTGCTTTTGACTGTCTAGTCCGGTTCCAAACCGGACGTAGATATCCAATTGGACGACAAAGATCCTTTGAGGCTACATTAGAATGTCATGTTCGCGATAGGTTGCTTTGTGTCGCCTTAAAGTTCTTATCGTTTGTACGTTTGACGGGCCTACCACACGGTCTTGCCTGCTATAAAAACTGACTTGGATCGTTCGGATAGAGCTGTATTCTTCCCAGTCCCTTCAATCTCACAGTCTTCATGGACACTCGCCACACCCTTTATCCAACCGGTAGAGCTAGTGTTAGCTGTCGTTCACTCGATGAAGAATACCAAAGTCTATTGAAGATGCTGCAAACAGCAGTCCACGAGCACGAGCGTGTCTTCTCTCAACGCCACCCAGGTCTTGAAAGCTATAAGTTTGCTGAGGTATGTCTGCACATCCAATCGACTATTGAATGTACCAATTGAGCTATCTTTGACACACCAGGAAAAACCAAAGTCTCTCACCAGCTTCTACATCGACATTCTGAAACTCAAGACTTGGGTCAGAAAGCTATCGGCCGAGGTACGTGTGGGATTAGACGAAGATGAGAAAGCTCTGCTCAAACCTCCGTGGATTAGATTGCTTGCGTCGAACAACCTATAGTCAATATCAAGATATTCCTTTCGTGTCCCATCACGACTTGTGAGCTTCTCGGCAATGCGTTTGATGATTTATACGAACAACTCTGCGGAGTGGACCGGCAGATTACCCTCGCGTATGTTAAGGCTATAGCTTGCAGTGGTAGGCCCGGTGCTATGTCTCTGGAAGAGCAGGTACATTTGAATTTTCCTTAAAATTTTCCATGATTGATCATGACCCTCTGGTGTCCAAGATCCAACAATTTTCTTCTCTTTTCTCGCCTATGTTTGTCCAGACTTCTAAGATCACCGAGATCTTGAAAATTCTACTGCGTGAAGTAAGTTTCACTGTGGTTGCTGTTGTTCGTCCACTCAGAACTCCTTTAGACTACGCAGATTGAGACGATCGTTCGATTGTATACTTCTAGCAAGTAACAAATAGCGCCTGTTTAGATAGCGCGTAGAGATAAACTTGACCCAAGCCTACGTATGTGACCTCTTTAGAAACCGAATATAATTATCTTTCATACTGACACCTCGTGCTGATTGCTAACAGTAACATGTACACCTTCTATCGATGTGGCGACGTACGCGTCGGTTAAGTGAATATCCCAACTGATCCACCGATAAGATTACACCATATTTGAACCAGGGCTGAGGATCTGACTTTGTCACAAAATGTTGCTTCCTGTCGTTAGTGGCAATGCTGAGGATACCAGCGACTCCGAGTCTTCTGCTATGGACATCCAATCTATGGATGAGAATATGGAACCTGGCCCGAGTACAGCATCTCAGGATGCATCGCAGACTCCATCCCAGATTTTGACGCACGCTCCTTCGTCCTCTACGTCCCAGGAGCCGCAATTCACAGTACAGATCCCGCAAAGTCCGTTCACGGTGCGAGTTTCACAAAGTGCTTCGACGATACAATGGACAACGGGGCAGCCTCCTACTCCAAATCCCCCTGCTCGCAGCCCTCCTACTCCAAACCCTTCTACTCCAAACCCTCCTACTCCAAACCCTCCTACTCCAAACCCTCCTACTCCAAACCCTCCTACTCCAAACCCTCCTACTCCAAACCATCCCACCTTAAACCCTCCCCAAGCGCCAGGCAACTCAGACGCTACGATGGATGATCCTGATGCCACCCCAACGGCCGCCCAATTTGGCGCCGTGTCACTACAGGTGTGTAATGTTACCACTGAATGTATAGGACGCAGTATAAAATTTTGTTAGCAACCACCTTCTAAAAGGAAAAGACGTGCAATCTCTTCTCAACCCATCTTCAACCAAGATCAAGAGGGCGGCCAAGACATGGTAAGTATCCCGCGCTCCTTGTTTCCAGAGATTCTAAAACCTCCATCAGTTGAAAACACTGCTTGAACATCAAACAAAGATGATGAATCAGCTTTACGATGGTATACGGACATCAAATGCTGAAGTCGTCAATAAGCAAGATGCGAAAATCGACAAGTTGACTGATAGCGTTCAGCATAATTCGACCGTATTGGATCGCGTTCTGGAGGCATTGGATATTCAATCAGTTAAGAACAAGGGCAAACAACGACAGGAGGAGATGGACATCGACGAAGAGGTGCGTCGTCAGGGTGAAAGTGGCACCGCAACGAACGCAGAAAACAAATCGGATGGCAATCATGTTGATGCTGAGGATTCAGGAGATTCGACCCAGGAAACTCCTTTCAGCTACTCCACGAAAAAGAAAGCAAGTGCTCGTTCAGGAGCCGTGAAGCACCGACCACAGCAAGAGCTCAAAAACAAGGTGCGTGTGTACCGTTATGACCTCTTTTCAGCAGACATGATGAGTACTTTGGCAGGAGACCATTCGTCAATGGTTCAACGAAGTGATGGAGGGGAAAGACCTCTACAAAAATGAGGTTTCCGATGAGGAAGCCAAGCAATTTGCTGAAAAATTCAAGACGGATCCACTCGCACGCCCGTGCAATGTTGACAATTTTCGATATTGGATCGCAGGTGTTCCTAAATCAGCGTGGAACAAAGGCGCATCATATGTTTTCGTTGATATCCTCGTGAAGAAGAGGCTCATCACCATACCCAACATTAAAGCTCGCGACTCCTTGCGTGAGGCTTTCTTCATACGATTGAAAACACTCCGTGGAATCTGGTTGGAGAAACAGAAAATGGCAGAGGATAAGAAGTTGCCACATGCCATATTTGCAAAGAGATGGCAAAGGAAAAACACTGTGAGCTTCTACTCGATAGCTTACAGTCATCGCTGATACGAGATTTCTTCTGCATAGTTGTTCCAACGACGAAGGAATGTGATACTTGCAGTTCCAGCACTTGAACCCTATCTCGAAGTCTTCGATGAGCTAGGGGTTGCAGGGATGTCTTCCGACGAAGAGGAACCTGACATGGATGAAGCGAGTATGTGCTACAACATCAAGGAGCCATGCTGGTGGAGTCAACAGCTCAAGAATTGGGTCAGGCTTTTGGATTATTGTCATCTTGAGGGTCGGATCTCTCTTGAAGGACCCCAGTTCGGTTTCACGCGAGGCGCTGCACCCCGTTTCCGTGTGGATAATAACGACAAGAGTTCGAAGAGCAGATACGTTGTTGGGCTACCTGCTAACTTCTACGATGCGGAATGGCTCGAGAAGCAGGAGCTTGGCTGGGCAAAAGGTGGGACGGGATTTGTCAATGAGATGGTCCGCCCTCGTGCACCTAAGAAATTAGTTTTCCCTGCGGATCTTGCCAGGTGCGTATGATTTTTCAGAACCTCACATTTTATCTGATGATCCCTCAAAGAACTTTGGAACAGAGGAAATTTCCAGGCGTAAGCACAAGATAGATTGCATTCAAGTTATATCGTATAGCACGGGTGGTTAGATATAATTGGCGCACTGGCAGAATGAATGCATCGGTTGTGCGCCGTGTCGAACGAAAGCAGTGGAGTGAATTGGATCGGAGACGTAGGCCCATCATAGTCCTTAGTAAATAAAACGAGAATACATGGATTCGGACTTTCAACATGTGTAAATCTGAGTGACATCGGCTAGGTTTCGGTACCGTAGGGTATGATTGACGATTCATTCGCAATCGCAACTCATCACCATCTTTTATAGAGGAATTACTAGGAGGATCTTACGGAGACGGAAGAATAAAGATATCCTTGGCGTATCAATTTATCCAGGTGAGTAAACCCTGTAATGCATTTTTGGTACTCACGATTCACGAATATCTAGTGTACTACGAGTGCAATCGCAATGGATGCCAAAAGAACCAAAATCATACAGGCAAAAACAGGCGCAGACGGTACTCATAGTCTTCATTCCTTCATGTTGATTTGCGGAAGATCTAACTACGTACGCAGTTTGTTCTAGCACTGTGGTATTTCGATCAATCGATAACAAGAAATTCATCATGCGCAAAAAGGAACTCCATATTGCTGCTGGTGGATTTCCCCCTGCTAGTCTTTCCAGCGAAGCGGACGCGCAGCTTTCCGAACCCTCTGATGTCCTCAAGGTTCTATTCCAATACGTTGCAGTAGACACCGACGATCATGGTCCAACCTTGGAGCACATCGATTTCTCCTTGCTATTGAGTGTGGCTGAAGCGGCAGAAAAGTATGAAGTATACCAGGCAATTGCTGCCATACGACCAGAATTCAGGTAACCTTGGCCAAATCGTATCCTCCTCCATTGGATTCATTTTGCTTGAATTAGGAAATTCTTCCACAGTCACTCCAGACAAATCTTGCACTTTGCTTTAGGTAGTTGGAACATCTCTCTGATGGAGGAGCTCTCTGCTTTCACGGCGAAGATACCTATGGAGGAGATAGCTTTTCTAATGAGGCCATGTCCTCGCATGTTCAAAAGATGGGTACGTCCGATAACATTCGATAGACATGAATATTAATGATATCGTAACAGTGCTTATGGAGACATTGCCACCTTGGAACGTTATTCAAAACTCCGGCTGACAGTTCAAGAGAGGGACAGGTCGATGATAATCAAAGACGTTGGCAAGCTTACCGAGCCCTGGAGTACTTTCACTTTGTTTCGGATATGGATACACTGAACGGCTTATTCTTGGGCTTGACGAGACATGTTGGGCTTTTCGTATAGCCATTGACCGAAACACCCCCGAAATCCTGTTCAATTTAGCTTGATATATATCTTTGCGAAAGAAAAGCGATAGATAGCAACAGATTATAATCAAAACATGCCCTATATCTTTCTAGAATCGATCCCTCAGTTTCTCGGTTGACAATGAACGACCATCTAAGGCGTCAAGCGTTTCTGACGCGCCTCCGAATCGTTTCTTCAGAGTGGGAGGATCGCTTTGCTGATCTTTTCCTTCCTCGCTTCCCAGATGAAACGAGCTCCAAGTACCAGGAAAGGCTTGCATATGGCAAGGAAATATTCTTACATCCGATAATCAAAGGTCTGGAAAAGATTGTGGGGGACAAGGGCGTACGAGCGACTGGCTTCAGACTCTCTTCCATTTCATTCGGTGCAATCGAGAAGCTCCTCGTGAAAGAATATACATGGAGGATGATCATCCATGGTGTGATGGGTGCACTCGTGGAGTCGCCTTGCCATTTTGACCTCGACAACCCCACCAGTGACGAGGATGTAATCGATCGCCTCCAAAGGTATTATGAAGAATTTAAATTTATCCGTGAGTCTCATTTCCTCCCTACCTTCTTTTTCAGGCGCTCCTTGCTAATTATCATTCTTCATTAGCTCCTTCTGAGAGAGAGGAGGGTCTACCAGAGGTCTTGAAAGAAGACGGAATTGATACCGACTCTTGGATTGCAAAAGCTACCCTGTATAATGCTCTTATACCAGCTGCCATATCCTTCAAAATGTCTCGCCCTCCCATTGTCTCTCCAGAGATGATTACATATTACAAGAATGCGATCCGCAGTGGCCGCAAGCAATTCGAGCAAGGGTTTTATCCCGATCTTTGGTACAACCTTTCTGTATATGAAAAGGGTGGTACTATAGTGACTGGGCAGCTTATCGACGAAGAGTCTGTTTCCATTCCTGACTCAATTTTTTGATTTTTTGATACAATCCTTATCTGTATCTGGCGATGTAACCAAGTAAGGATTCAAAGAGTATGTAATTTTGCAAATTTATAGGTTCCAGAAAAGAGGGAGAGTCCCGCACAACATAAGATCTATGACATTGTATGTTAAAGAAGAAACTCTTAAGTCTCTGCTGTTGGATCGTTGAGAAGTTTGGAAGTGTGTGGACTACTCCAAGGAAGTTTCACCACCGGACTTGGGACTACTTGAGCTTCATCGTCAATCATGTCTTCGAATTTTGACTTGGCCAATAGCTAAACGGGAAGATGTGATCAAGACAACTTGCGCGGAATTAGTGTTGATTTATGACCTACCTCGTCCATGTGCTTGAAGGCAATACCGTCTCGATGTAGAGTAACTATATTCTAAGATGAAGAATGTGAGAGGTGTGCTTGACAAGGACGAGCATACTCACGTACCATGATGTGTTGTCGCCTGGTTTCAAACTTATGCTGCGAGCGCGCCTCCACCGGATTCTCCACGATTACAAGCAATGCGTCAGCGCCGGCAAAAGTGGCGGGATTGTTATGGTCACTAAGATCAGGGATGGACGATAATGGAGTTTCGGGCTAGACAAGTGTTATTCCGTGAGAGTTGACCATTTAAAGAGCTCTTTACCAAACGCGAGTCCGAATCGTTGACCATCGCGTGTACAGGTATGATGTTGATTCAGTAGTGCAAAACTTTCGAGGTCGGGGGCTGTTAGGCCTCAGGCCTCAGGAGTCAGTTCGAGTCTGGGTAATCAAGCATTCAATGTCAACGTACGCGCTTCAACAAGCTTTCTGTGAAGTCCAATGTCCAGCTCAAGGTTTAGAATAAGACAAGGCAATATGCGAGTTGTACTCGATAATGATGACCTCGAAATACCTAATCGATCAAGGGATTAATTAGGTGTCTCCTAGCTCTTGGCACTGTCACGTTATCAATCAATTCTGACGTCACGTCAGTCGAAGTGTGCATCAAATTATTGAGATAGCTTCTGCGGCTTTTCGTTCATGTCAATCTCGAATGGATTCCTGTGAAGAAAAAGTGAGCGAGAAAAATAACGTGCCACTTGGCTTACCATTGCTTGTAAGAGTCAAAGTCCAGGAGAGTTTGCCATACTTTCTCTGGAGGTGCAGATATAACGATAGAACCAACGACGGAAAAAACAGCAGAGGAGACAGGTGGCGGAGTGGAAGTTCCCCAGACCCAGGACAAAGATAAAGTTTGAGCGCCTGAACAGCAGCGACAGAGATTAAATCAAGATTTACGATATTGCTTAAGGCTTCGAGCTTTAGCTTCGACGTTAACCTCAGTACCCAGAATGAATAGCCGCACTGATTCAAGACAGATGCGCATTCGGCGATATTCGTTCGTCAATGTTATGCCAGTTGTGACAGTATAATCACTTCGAATGTGCTCTATTCTAGGACACGATAGAGACGAAAAGTGGTAAGTTTCTTACTTTTACAATCAATGTCCCTTCTTGTTCCTTATAACTTCGAAAGAATGTGGCCGGGAATTTCCTTCCTGTAAACGTTGCGTCAGAGGCGGATACGGACTTGACTGTCAATACGCCGGTGAACGAGGCAAGACGGGTGTACAGCTCCTTGAAGCTAGTGTGACAAAACTCGAAACCAGACTCCAAGAATACTGGCGAATAGAGAGGGCACGACTCACCTCTCTATCGTCTTCTCCTTCCCTCTCTTCCCTGATGAATCTGTCAATCGCTTCCAACGCGTTCCTCCGCTCTTCTCTGCGGCCTTGTTCTTGACCTTCACGCACGCCTTCCTTTCTACCTTTCCTCTTCCCTTCCTTGAACCTAGCCTCTCTTCCCTCTTCAAGCCACCAGAGAATCCTGCTTCCCATATATATTGCCAATTTTCATGGAACTGCTGCAACATACCAGTTTTCAAACCCTCTTCCCTTCCTTGCTCTTTAGCTTGGTCGCCCCGGAATTAACTGTGAAGTTCAAAATTAGCTACTCTGATCTTCTCCATTTCCCTCTCTGGAACTGATTTCTCCTGCTGTAGGCTTTCGATGGCGACGTCGTGTGATGGCGGCTCAACGACCAGTCCGTCTGTTCCCTCTACTAGTACAAGCGTTCTAGCCCTTTTCAAATTCCTCTTTAGAAAAGCGCTGAACGGTCCAAGCTCTCGCGCGCTGTCGCATGGCAAGGTCTTCATCAGTTGATAATGTGAGGGCACTATGTAACGCCTCTGTGAATGCCTCGACCTTTTCAGCGTGATATCCTGCTGGTACGTTTAGGTTTTCAACTTCTGTTCAAAATTGACACGTACCTGTCAGTTGTCCTTGGAACGGGAGGATGATATATTGTGTAGGTCCGCCAGACTTGTGTGCGACAGGAATCAAACCTGCAGCCTGCACTGTTCCATTAGTAAAAGCGACGGTAAAGAGTGGAGTGGAATTATAATGACCATGAATTCAACGACATTAATTCCAAAATGGTCGTCTAGCATCGTACTTAAGCCGATGCTAGACTTTAGCCAGCCGATTCAGCATGGTCGGATATGGAGCATTGACCACGACTTCGATATTCTTCTGAAATTCAAAGTATGATAACTTAGACCTCGGCATGAGTTCGCGTTGACAAGCCATGCCTCAAGATTAAGATCTTTCGCAAGAGAAGAACCAGGGCTTTGCCCCAATAATGTGAAATATCTCCAGGTCGAGTCCTCAATGGCCCTTCGAGAAGTTACAAACACGAAGTCGAGGGCTTCTGGATCCAAGGTAACATCAAACTGCGCCTTGACTTCGTATCAAGAAGATGAAGACATACAAAAAATTGACGCGCACCTTCACTTTGGAGATGATCTCATCTTTTGTTGCATCGGTACCCCCGCTGTAAACGATGGTAACAATGTTTGGCTCAGTTCGCGTGCTATAGACAAATATCTATTTAGCATCAAGCAAATGCGGCACGTACAGCGATACGATTGATTATCTTATCTTGTTATGTTACTAATGTAGATCGATGCACGTGACACCACCTGTCTTGGTACTATACTACGTCCTGCAGAGTAAAATTCTGCTCGCGAATGCCATTCTATGGAGTCAAACTCCGTTGAATGCGGAACTCTCGCATCTATTTAACGACACACAGGCCAAATTCACCGACTCGTACGATCTACCGTCATCAGAACCTCGACTCAGAGCTTTACATCCTGATACGACGATTTCTTCGCCACCTATTCCAGCCCTACGGAGTTAACTGTAAGATCTCATAAACATTTGCCCCACCGAACGTTCTATGTACAGTCAGCCTATGCAAGATCCCAACGCTTAGTGAGTACATAAGAAGACCGACTTCGCACATAAATTGTTAATTGACATCCTACTTCCACCGAAATTCAGTACTCGAGAGATGAAGAGGACGACCTAGGATTTGGTTGGAAACAAGGTATGTCTCATCTATATTTGTTTTACTAGCCCTTTCTGATATCGCGACCTTATTTTTAAGGCTCAAAAAGTACAGCTAGCCATGATACTCTATCGAAAGCACCAACAATTGTTAATAGCTTACACACACGTCCAGCGCGAAGAGAGGCGAAAAGAGGCTTTCGTTAAGCTACCCTCTCAAGGTCTATATATCTCATTTGTCGGCAGTCATTCTATGAATGTCGTCGGTTGTTGTCCTGCGAAGATAGTACGTTGTTCATTATACGGCGAATACAGGTTGCGATCTAACTTCCATTATTCAGGATTCACAAAATGCATATTTTCTTCGAGATATTCCATTGTATATTCTCCTTCTTAGGCCATGAGAGGCCGCTTTGACCTACCAATAACTAATGTATTCAGAAATCATGTTTTTCTGCTCCTCGTGAACGTGGGGTTCATTCTTAATTACTTACGCCATGTCTATCGTTGAGTATCCAGACGTCTTAGCAGACGCGAGTTCGTACAAAGGGTGGTCGCTCTCGACCTCTTTAAGGAGATCGTTGGTGATGTCGTTTTAAGTCTACCTCTACTTGTTCCCATCGGTGTGGCACTGCTATACTGCAGGTCCTAATTCTCGCACTTTCTCAACAGCTGTTCACAGAGTAAACTCTGTATACTTACTTACTGCTTTCACAACAAACTTGTGTTTTGGCAGAGTATCCTTACTACTACACACGTCGTCATCGTTTTACACTCGCTCCCACTTGTCTACAGTGCATCACCGAGGCAATTTTCGGTTCCAAACCGTTAATTTGCGCCGCTTTTTGTACTGCCGTCTCGAGGACCTGTTCAAACCATCTCTTGCGCGCCTCATCTCATCTCAACGCGTCTGCGTGTAGCGCCAAGAATTTCCAGCGGGGCCGGCCACCAGGCGTCTGCTTGCAGTCCTTTCGTTCGCAAGGACCCCTCAGACATCGATCTCAGTACCACGTAGACTTCAGCCTCGACGTTTATCCTTCCTTCTCATTCTTCCTCCTCACGCAGTACCCATGCGTCGATCTTTCAAAGACCTCCAACAGTACTACGATATGCGAAAGCTACGGGGGATTTCAAGTGCGGATGGCCATGGATATCTTTACGCCTACGTCGATAACCATACCTGGAAAGTTGGAATGACCAACGACTTCGTCCGTCGTCAGGAGGAGTGGGACAAGGACTGTCCCTGCCCATGGAGAATATGGCTTCCGCCTATACGAGTCGCGAATAGGAGGAGAGCGGGTGAGTTTCTCAACTTCTGCTTTCTGTACATCCTGATTGGTCTGTCTTAGAAACGTTGGCGCATCTTTTGCTTGAAATGGAATGTCTTGACCGCCCGCGAATCTATTGTCAAAGCTGTACGTATCTGCACTCTAATCTCTCATTTTATAGTGTTATACGTCTGGAACATAGGTCAACGAGTGCATATTGAAAAATTCGTTTTCCTTGGACCTTGGAACGTCGTCTGGAACACAACTGTTCATCCTATCTTTTTGAGGGCTGCTGTTTCATAAGGTACGCGATTGTTTGCTTTCTAAAGTATTCTGGCTGACATTTCGATAGTTTGAGTAGATTATAGCATCAATATTTATGTCTTCTTGTTGTTAACCTTGAATTTGGAAGTAATCGCTGAGTTGTAATATGCGCAATACATAGACTAAAAGCTGGGTGTCTTGCGATCTTTGGTGCTAAATGAATGAATACTTATTAATTACTCTACAATCATCTAGACAAGGACCGATGGAACAGGTCCTCGACGTGACGAATAATTGAATGCCCAAAACTGTTCAAGCATTCGAAGATCCTCAAGATACTAGTACTTCAAGATTCTACATTAGCTCTGCTTGTATATTGAGTAGACGTATCGATAAAATGTAATTGTTCTTCGACCGGCGCATCATATATACCGACATGTCACCTATACCGACATCCTCAACGCCAGCGTTGTCTCGCATTCCGACATTCTGACATCAGCAACGTTCCGACGTTTAGATATGTCGATTTCGGCGACGTCTGAATGTTTGGACGTCCCGACATCGGGTACGCATAAGCTCTGGGAGGTTCTCCAGAAGAACCTCACCATTTACATGAGGCGATTACTTGTATAATATTCTGATTTTTCTTAGCTCGAATTTAGGGTGAATATTATATATATCATTCAGATTTCATCTCCATTTCCTCTATTGGGATATGTTCAATAACATACAAATAATTAGGGCCCGAAAATTATAAATATCCAGCGCAAGTTTTGATTTAATTTCCTTATGAATGTTCATTGTAGAATATTCTTGAAAATCGCTCAATATTGACTCTATAAAATGCATCCGTTTATGGAGAGAATACTCAAAATTTTCACTGTCCGGAAACTGAGGAGTTTATGTACCAAACCTCCCTATAAACACAACCTTTCCTCGACGAGGAAACGGATCGATCCCCGCAGTGATTCCTATATAGGTTACGGTATAATGTATTGGCACGTGTTCACGTGTCATCCCATTAAGCGCTCTAAACACTTTAACCTACGTACATACATCCATCCGATCCATGCAGGCAAACTGTGTAATACATGCCTGATATCCCACTCCGCGCATTCCGCAATAAGCAAAACGCAAAAGCTGGCTACGAACTTCTGGCCGGAGAGAATCCCAGTCCTAGTACTATTGATACTCCCAACGAGAATAATACTGGGATGAATAGAAGTGTATCGCGTGTAGCTGCTGTTGCAAACGCCAATGCGGAGCGTAGTCGAACGAATAGAGCGAGGAGAGCGAAGCAGCCACAGAGATTATATGTGGATGATGACCCAGAGGAAGCTATAGGATTATTGGAATCTAGTCGCGAGCGGGAAGAAGAAGTCGAGGAAGGGATGATGTTACCGGATAGCTCTAAACCTCCACTCTCTCGTCTCAAGAAACCTCCCACATCGAAATCTCCCAAAGGAACACTCTACACCTCCCGCACAATCCCTTTCCACCCCTTACCCTCCCTTCAATCCAAATACCCCCCAAATATCATCCGGAACCAAAAATATTCGATAATAACCTTCTTCCCAAAGGTTTTCTACGAGCAATTCAAGTTCTTCTTCAATCTCTATTTCTTGTTGGTCGCGTTGAGTCAGTTCGTGCCCGCGTTGAAGATTGGTGAGCAGACCTCCGTTGATTGGTGTTGTTAAGTAACTAATGAATTGTAAGGATTTATTGCGACGTATATTGCACCACTGGCTTTCGTGTTGTGCATAACGATTGGAAAAGAGGCATATGATGATTACAAACGAAACCTTCGTGACCGTGAAGCAAATGGACAGAAATACATTGTCGTGGATCCACCTTCAATTTCACCGCACCTATCTACCCGTGCCCTTCCATCTTCCTCCCTTCTAGTCGGCCAACTCGTGCGTCTCCAGAAAAATGACAGAGTTCCTGCTGATATGGTTCTTCTTTGGACGTCTGATCCTTCTGGAACTTGTTTCGTGCGCACAGACCAGTTGGATGGCGAGACAGATTGGAAGATGCGTCTCAGTGTTGGAGAAACTCAAGGATTGGGGGAAGAAGGTGTTGCGAAACTTGGTAGTGGCGAAGCTGAGATTTACGCAGATGCACCAACGAAGGATATACACACCTTTATTGGCACGCTTACCTTGCACCCGTCACATGTATCACCCTTAACAGCAGAAAACGTTCTATGGGCCAACACAGTTAGTTACCTGATTACCTCCCAATGTGTTGCTCATTTCTTCCCTCCTCAGGTACTCGCATCCTCCGCTACTATCATCGGCTTTATCATCTATACCGGCCCTGAGACTCGTGCTGTCATGAATACTAGCACGGCTGGTACCAAGGTTGGTTTGTTGGAGGTTGAGGTGAATGGGTTGGCAAAAATCCTCTGCACAACAACATTCCTCCTTTCACTCATCCTCGTCGCTCTTAACGGTTTCCGCGGCGGTGTTTTTACTACTCACACCGTCGTTTCCGTCTTTCGGTTTTTGATTTTGTTTAGTAGTATTATTCCGATCAGGTGAGCGGGCGTTTTTGCTATCTCGATCCCACACTGACACTACCTCTGGTTAGTCTACGTGTAAACCTCGACCTCGGTAAATCCCTTTACTCGCACCAAATCATGACAGATTCTACAATTCCCGGCACTATTGTCCGCACCAGCACTCTCCCAGAGGAATTAGGCAGGGTCGAGTATTTGTTGAGCGATAAAACTGGGACGTTGACGAGGAATGAAATGGAAATGCGTAGACTTCACATGGGGACAATGTCATATGGTCAAGATTCCATGGACGAAGTCGCTAGACAACTCGCATTGGCGTTTGCTTCTGCGAATAACGGTAATGGTATGCGTGCTCAAATTCTCTATACGTATTCCTCTCATAATCACACACAGACGACGACCACAACAACACTCACACTCGCGGAAGCAGCAGCGTCGCGTTAGGCCATCATCATGCCAATACGATTGGAGGCGGAGCCGGGAGAGGCAGAAGAGACATGTCTTCTCGAGTAAGAGACGTCGTCCAAAGCCTAGCTTTATGTCATAACGTGAATTAATATCCTTTCAATTCTCAAACACTTGTATTGTATCATTAATCCTCCTTCCCCTAGGTAACACCAGTAACTAACGACGACGGAAGCGTAACATACCAAGCTTCCTCTCCAGACGAAGTCGCCATCGTCACCTGGACACAAACTATCGGTCTTACTCTTGTTTATCGGGATCGTACAAAGATCGTATTACGTGCAGAGGATCCTGCACGCACCCTTTTAACATTCACAATCCTCGCCATCTTCCCCTTCACCTCCACCTCCAAACGCATGGGGATCGTCCTCCTCGACCACTCCACATCCGACATCCTATTTCTCCTCAAAGGCGCTGATACAGTCATGGCACCCCTTGTCCAGCGGAATGATTGGCTGGAGGAGGAGACGGGGAATATGGGGAGAGAGGGGCTGCGCACTTTGGTCGTTGCGAGGAAGAAGGTGGGCAAGGAAGTGTGGGCGGCGTTTGAGAGTGAGTATGCGGTTGCTTCGACTAGTGTTGGGGGAGCTGGAGGAGGCAGTGGGGATGCCACAACTGATGGAGCAGTGTCCCGTGCAGAAGCACAGGCCCAAGTTATAGCAAAATATCTCGAAAAAGATATGGAGCTTCTCGGGTTAACTGGTGTAGAGGATAGATTACAGGACGAGGTCCGGTCGACGTTGGAGTTGATGAGGAACGCTGGAGTCAAGGTTTGGATGTTGACTGGTGATAAGGTGAGTTGACAGAGAGTTGGGTGTTCTATGGCTCTCACTCTTTCTCGTCTCCAATTGGGTTGGATGACTGATTATTTCACAGGTCGAAACCGCACGATGTATTGCGATTAGCACAAAGATGGTCAGTAGAGGGCAGTATATCCATGAGGTTTCCAAAGGTGAATTCTATATTTATCTACTTATATTGTAACTAATTCTTTACCTCCCCACACAGTAACCTTCCCAACCACACTCAAATCTCACCTCGACTTCCTCCAAAACAAACTTGACTCCTGCCTCGTCATCGATGGCGAGTCACTCCAGCTTTGTCTTAGTCTATACAAGAACGAATTTATCGAGATCGCAACAAAGTTGAGTGCGGTTGTAGCGTGTAGGTGTTCACCAACGCAAAAGGTCAAATTATGTGTATTTCCATTTATTTATTTCTGACTTCGATACCCAGGCGGACATCGCGAAACTAATCAGAGCGTATACCGGGAAAAGAGTATGTTGTATTGGAGATGGAGGCAATGATGTTAGCATGATTCAAGCAGCTGACGTCGGAATCGGCCTCGTCGGCAAAGAAGGTCGCCAAGCCTCCCTCGCCGCCGACTTCTCTCTAACCCAATTTTCCCACCTCACCCCCCTCCTCCTCTGGCACGGCCGTCTCTCCTACCTCCGCTCCTCCACCCTCGCCCAGTTCGTCATTCACCGCGGTTTGATAATTTCCATTATCCAAGCCGTCTTCTCCGCTATATTCTATTTCGCGCCCATTGCCTTGTATCAAGGCTGGTTGATGGTGGGATACGCGACGGTGTATACGATGATGCCTGTGTTCAGTTTGGTTTTGGATAGGGATGTTAGTAGGGAGACCGCGTTGGTTTATCCGGAGCTATATAAGGAGTTGGTGAAGGGGAGGGTGTTAGGGTATAAGAGCTTTTTTGAGTGGGTGATGATTAGTGTTTATCAGGGTGGGTGGTTCAACATCGAAGACGGTTCTTTTTGGTTGTAGATTGTAGCTGATCCTTTTCAGGTGCGGCGATCATGATCATGTCACTGGTGTTATTCGAAAACGAGTTTTTGCATATCGTGTCGATATCGTTCACGGCGCTGGTGTTGAACGAGCTTATCATGGTCGCGCTTGAGATAACGACCTGGCACACATATATGATCATATCTGAAATCGTCACCCTATTCTTTTATATAATCAGTATCGCGTTTTTGCCTGAATACTTCGGTAAGGCTCTCTGATCCCCCCCCTCCCCCCTCTTTTTTTTCTGGGTGGTTTGTTCGTTCCATGTAGTTGTTACTAACAAACATATCTTGTTCCCTCCCCCCCTAGACCTCTCATTTGTCATAACCCTTGGATTTGCCTGGAAAGTCGCCGTTATTGTCGCCATCAGTGCTTTACCTCTGTGGATCGTGAAGGTGGTGAAGAGTAGGGTAGCACCGGCAGCGTCGAGTAAGTTGATTTAGTTGGTGGTAGTACGATAGTAGTCCTTGGTTGCGTGAGCAAGCGACTCAGTTTGTGTTGTGTTGAACCATGAAAACTTGTTCAACTTGACTCTCTTTTCACCACTGTTCGAACATAACACTCTTTTTTAGGGTTGCTGTTTCATTGATAAATTGGATAAGATATTCAAGTGTCCTTGTCTATATCATATATTGGAGTTTGCCAAGCCCTGCATGTGTGCACTCCTACCATAGATGAGGAGAGGGCTAGACACCCAAATAGAGCCAAGGTTCCTTCCCAGTGCAATCCAAATCAGGGTGGAAGCTGTCATCTGCAAAATTTGTGAATTTGGCTAATTACATATTGCCTGCGAGCAGCTGAGATCTCAGTGCTTCCCAGCAGCTATGTAGAGCTCTAAATGCTTTGTCAGCTGGACAGTGCTCCCAGCTGCTTTCAGATATTAGGTGAATTTCCAAGCTTTGCAGATGGTCCCCAAACAGAACTGAGGCCTTCAAAATTTGAACGCTATTTAATGGATTTGTGTATGTAAGCGCCCAACGCACATATGTACACTCAGAGCGCTAGTGTGACGCTGTCACTGTGCCTACTTAGGTTCTCTTTGTCACTGTCAGAATCTCTATACTCGTCCACTCTTGTCTTTCATTGTTCATTCTGTGTCCATAATCATCCATTCACTCTGAACGTTGTATTTCTACAAGATCACTCAACTCATCATCGTTAAGCTCACGATTTACCTCTGACTATTCCCTGTACTTCCAGTTCTCCACCTGCAGTGATGGGCCAAAGTCAAAGCGACAGCAATGACTCCAGAAATCGGAGAGTTCAGACTAGCCCTCTTTCCGCTGATATTCTCTCGGCGGGCGACAGCACAGACGGACGACGTTTCCTAGCTCAGCCGCAGCTAACGCCCTCCAGTAAAACGACAGTCAGGTCATCTGGCTTGACTCGAAGACGAAAAGCCGTTCAAAGAAGATTATCAAGTATCGTCAAGCCAAAACTTGAACCCGAAGCTACGAGCTCTCGAGCTCGAGTCAATGAGGGGAGACAGTTGGCGCAGACCGATATACCTGAAGCATCTGGACATCGGTCTGCTTGGCGGAGATCAGTTAGATTTGTCAAATCTAGACGATGGAATAAAGCGTCAGACCACAACAAAGATGATGGAAGGGAACGTATATCGATCTCTGATTCTAATGCTACCCTCCCCATATCTATATCTTCTCCCCAATCCTCGAGCTCCAACTCAACCGTTTCGATTCCAGTATGCGGTTCAGACTCTGTAACGACATCGCAACCTCCGGACACCAGTGTTCCTAATTCGGACACAGCTATTTTAGGCTCAGCGGACATACCTACAATTCTTACACCTGCTCTCTCTATGCCTCCGTTGTCTGGCGAAGAAAGCAGTTCCGACCCACTGGCAGTTCATACTGAGTCCATTGCAGCACTTTCCTCCCCACAAGCAGCAGGCGAGATGGAAACCACAGACCAGTTTGCCGTTGCGACCGCTGAAAACCCGATAGTAGTCGCCAGCAATGCCAACTCTGGTCCCACATCTGAGAATGTCACAGTCCTTCTAGAGCCCAATTCAACTTCCACTGCAACTGCGACAGTTCCCGTTTCTCCTGCTCGTCCACAATTTCCTCCATCTGGTACTCTTGTCGTTGTTCAAGGTGTGGTGCACACCTCCGATGTTCAGATGCCGACAGAGACATCAGCACCACTTCTCTCACAGACACAGAATCACAATCACAATCCCACACCTCCCAGCTCAGTCATTGCGGAAGCTCCGCAAACCACGGACGATTTCAGAACAGTCCAAAGGGTACCCAGCTCTGTTTCATCAGGACCTAGAGGAAGGCTTTCGGCACTACTGCGCCGTACCCATAGATCACCATCTAGTTCGAGAGCTAGAAGTGTGTCTTCCGCTTTTGACAGCAGTAGTACTCATTCGGCGAATGAAGCATCGACCGACATTCGACAGTCAACTGTAGATGCAGCAGATGTACAGTCGAGTACTCTTTACCCATCCTCACCTTCGCCACCGGTGATCCAGCGCGGCAATCCATCAGGCACTATATCATCTAGCAGTATAGATGTCCTCGGCACCTTACTAAGGTTCGTGTTATTTGGCCTTTGACAGAAGCATCAATAATACCTTTTTTTAGCGTCGCAGCAGCAGCGACTGCGGCCTCTCTCCTCACTGGATCCTCGGATTCTACTTCTTCTACAGGTTTAGCTCACCCTTCTCTCGTCACCACCGGAACACCATCGAGCACCTCTATCCCGAGTGCAGATACCCCTGCACTAGACGTTCCTTCTTCATTAGCGTTTTCGTCGCCATACCCATCGACCTCAAGGAGACCTCTCTCGACTCAAATTAACACAACAAACACCGAATCAGTCGGCGCCAGAGACAGAGCGGAGAGAATAAGTCAACTATGGTCTGCTGTCAGGAGTCGTTTAGGAATCGGTCATGGACAACCAAACAGTCAGAGGACTGATCCTGATTCCCAGCTCTTCACAAACCCTTTCGGCAGTGATGCCTCTGCGAATGCCGCAACGGTAGACGCAAGGGACGGTCCTGGAGCAGGGCCTGTCATGGATGCCCATAGTGCTAGAGAACGAATGCTGAATGAAATTTCAAGAGCGTTCAACTTGGGTTTTTCTTCGCCGTCCTCATCAGCTCCTCCTACAAATTTCACCACCGATGCAGGAGATACGTCCCAAGGGCCTACCTTCGGAAGAGCGGAAGATGGCAATTCTGACTTAGGCCTGCCGTCTGAAGGCACGTTTGAGCGTTTCCTGTTGGACTTACAAGTTGATTTGAGAAATGTACTTACTGGGGAAGGGGATGGTAGGACCACTCGCGAACACGGGGAGCCGGCTATCCTAGAAACAGACAATTCTGTCACATCTCGGGACGAACGGCTACCACGTCCTCTCCGGGAACCCGAGCCTGAGGATGACACCGCGGAGGATTCTATACCGTCCTTACATGATGTCTCTGATTCCGATGACGACACAGAGTCGAACAACAGTCAAGGGTCGTCTTTAGATTCGTTTGCGTCCGTTTCGCCAGCAGATGAAGCTGCTCAACACCCCTTCAATGTAAGTGAGAGTCCAAATGATCCGTCTATTCCACGACCAAGGATCAACTACTGGCGCCTGCACCGATTTCCGCCTATACCTGCAGCTAGAGCTCATGCTGCAGCCGATAACGTTGCTCAGAATATGAGGTCTGGGTTGGGCGGACTGACAAGGGCTGCAACCCTGGCATCTACTCCTACGTCACGTTCCGTGACATCTACCCCCGCTGGAGAAGATTCTGGGACAGGAGCCACGCCATCATTGTCGCGAGATTCGGTGGTACAAGACTCACCCAATACAGGGAGCGCAAATGTAGTGGTACCTGTCATCATTGTCGGGCTGCAGAGCGTAAGTCCTTTTTGGGCGACGGAGCCAATTACTACCCCAAGGAATTTGATGAATCCAAGCCCTGCTCTCAGTCGAGCAGACAATGCGATCAGGTCTACCCCTACCCCGACTACTGGTACAATGCTGCAAGACACTGGCTCTTCTGCCTCCTCGTCAACCTCTCCTGTGGGAATGACTAGCCAAGGAACGCAAACACAAACATCTAACACAGCCCCCCGTGATATTATTGGTATACCAATCCCCTCCCCTGATTCGAGGACGTTCTTGATATACGTGATTGGAGGTCGGGCATTTTAATATGTGGCTCTTCTGACCGCCTCTCACTAACTACTACTTTCTCATTCATGTAGGCTACTATCCTCCTGACCATGAAATCGTAACTGGAACCGGCGAGAACGGTGTGTTGGATTCTTCGTTTGAAGCACTGTTGTATGTATGCATCATCTATAGCTCATTCAATCCCTAAAAAATATGTTTAGATTGCTCAACGAACTTCTACATCGTGCTCCTTTCGAGACGCCAATCACGGTCACGAAAGAACAACTCATCAAATCTGGGTTGGAGATAATAAACGGCGGACAAATGCAAGAATGGGTAAAAGCAGGAAAAGTCAGAAGTAATTGTGTCGAGCAATGCTTGATCTGTTTGGAAGAATATGATAAGCAAGACTCTGTGCGAGTTTTGGAATGTAAGCATGCGTTTCATATGGATTGTGTAGATCGGTGGCTACTCGAGGGTAGAAACAGCTGCCCTGCCTGTCGGGGTAAGGTGAGTAATTATCCCTACAATATTGGTTTGACTGGCGACTCATTTCAGTCGCGATTTCAAAGGGTGTATCGGAAGGGAGCGAAGCCAGATCGTCATGAATGCCAATAATTTCGCCTGTAGGTCGTTTCTGTGCCTCATTTTTCCAATGTCCCCAGTCGAATGATGATAAGTACTACGCATCCAATAATATTCATGATAAGTTGCTATTTCTCTACCATAGACTGTACAATATTTAGTACGAATGTTGCTTTATTCCCGATGGCTTGGTTGTTCGGCCGTATGACCGTGTGAGAAAAATAACGTACACTATACAGCTGGTCGTGGGAATAGCTTCTGTAGTACAAAGTGCTTGCGAGTACACTGTGTCTCGATCTTAACAACCTCATAGCCGAATCACGTACGTCTTTTTTTAATTTATTATAATGCTTTCTGACAGCTTAGCGTACTCTGTCTTCGCTATAGTATGAGAGAGAAATGGAAGAAAAAGCGCTCCCGCAGGCTTAGGCGCAAACGCAGAAAAATGAGGGCACGATCCAGTGCGTTTTTGTTTTTGCTGCGCTCTCATCCAATTTCTAATATCTGCTTCTCTCTCTCTCTGCAGAATAAACGACACGGTGCATCCACAACTGTCTTCACATTGCAATCCCATTGCAATCGCTGCTGCATGCTATGCCTGTTCCTCACAGCTTGTACTTTTGATTGTTACATGTATTCCTCGCAAGAATTGAAGCCAATTAATCGAGCGATTTGCAACTGATGAAAACCGTGGCAGTGCATAAGTTTAATATAAGTATCCTAACGCCTACTAACGCAAATGAATAATTATGGTTTAAAAGCATTCCATGCTTCATTAAGTGCACCAAAAACTCCAGCTGCAATCATTCGTTGCTCCAGTGTTGAGTTACCCTCGTTGAGCTTGTCTGGATGAACCTTGGCTATGCATTTCATGTACTTCACTTTCACCTGCCCTTTGTTGAGAAGCTCAGCCATACTCAGCTTCTGAACACCCAATTCAGGCCATAGGATTGTATCCAACGACGCCAAAAGTGCCCGTATGTTGTTCTCCTTTCCTCCCTTCCAACTTTGAAGTCTAGCATCAACACCATCCTTCAATCTGTACCTGTGAGAGTCTTCTACTTCAGCAGCCTCATTAGCAGCACGCAGAGCATTCAATGCTTGCGACGGAATCGAAGGTACTTGATGAGACGGGGGTCGGATAGGGGGGCTGGGCTTAAACTTGGGTGTATGGTGAGAGGAGCCTCCTTGCTGCATTTTTCGACATCTTCCTGCTCCACTCGCTCCCTCCGCGCGAACAGCTTTTCCGGCCCATTCAGCGGAAGCAACCTTTTCCCAATCTTTACCGGCATCTTCCCATTTCTCCCGTCCTTCCATGGCTTCTGCGCGTCTCTTCCAAGCTTTGATCAAAGCATCAGGCATATTTATCACGACATCGTCACCAGAGCCTTGTTTGGATCCCTTGACAGGAATTTTTCCAAGATCACCTTTCCTGAGCTCTTCACGAACAGTGCCTACTCCTCCGATTAACTCTTCCACCTTCTTGGTATCAGCTATCACGCCCTGGACATCACCCATCTTGAGTCGGACCAACGCCCGATTGTTGTACAGTGGGATTAACAGTGCGTGTCCAGCTGGAAGGGCTTCGATAGCACGAGTATACGCTGTATCAGCAGCAGGAAAATCACCTAATTTATAAAAGTGAGCGCCGGAAGCTTTTGACTCCTGTGATAATGCAATGGTGGATTCTGGGGCGGAAACGAGAGTAATGGGGTGTGGCGACAGTGATGCAGATCCTGAAGTTGTGTCGGAGACCTTTGGCTTCGCGTGCCGAAATTTAGAAACGTATACACCATTCGAAGACCCAACGGAAAGAGTCGAAGGTTGGCTCGTCAATTGCGATGTGGATGATTCAGGACTGCTGGTATCTGAAAACAGGTCCACCACCTCTGTATGTGTTGAGAATGATGGCTTCTCTACAGGTCGTGCCTCTTTCTTGGTATGATCAATCATTGTATCTGGTAAACCTTCATTGTCCTGCATCCACTTTGGCTTTGTAGCCATTGCCAGTGGCGTCGAACGACCACTGCCTCTCCTGCTGGTAGACCCCTCTGCAGTGGCTGCAACCTTCTCTTCATAGACTTTCTGAACCCTTTCTTTCCCTTCCTTCCACGCCGCGTTAGCGCGATTGAATAAACTAAACCCAATTTCGGAGGCTTGCGCAAGGATTTTATCAGCTTGTAGACCTCCCAGTTCTGAAGGGGAAGATGTATTCCGTTCGCGCTGTCGTTCTTGAATGATCTGTCGATCACGACGAAGACGCGGTTTTGGTTCCTCCTGAGGAGAAGGAGTGCGTTGATTCTGAGAATTATTTCTTCCGGAGAAACTTCCCGCCTCGTCACCATAATCTTCTCCAGGACCGATAGCCCCGTTTGATATCAGAATATCCAAAGCGGCTTGAACGTTTTGCCCTGAGTCAGTGGAAGCAAGCGCAGTCCGAGCTTGGGTAATTGAAAATCCCATCTCGATGAGCTGACCAAGAATGTGAGGAGGTGGAGAATTACTGCGGTTGGGACTGGGCTCCCGTAATGAGGGTGATTTGGGAGGAGACACCTAACGTATTGATTTAGCGCAATAGCAGTGTTAACCTTGAGCTATACTTACTACGACATTACGACGACTGTTTTCATGTTTTTCTCTTTGTATAGCCTCTATAGGTCGACTCAAGTCTCCGAGAATATCATCCGGCCCGTCATTAGCAGTGACTCCGTCCCACTTTCCAGGCCCAAGACCACGACTAGTCGAATCAAGGGTAGAAAACTCGTCTAAATCCCAAACGGCTCCAGAATGCGATGGCTTGGAAGTCGTGGCTGGAGCGGAAGTGTTCGCAAGATTTGCGAGTCCCCAATCATCCTCCGGCTTTAGAACTGGAGGCAAAACCACAGATTTGAGCACTGAAGGAGCTGTAAGTGTCCAGTCGTGGTCGAGAGGCAGGTGAGAATTCGTAGGTGACGTGGCAAACGTCTTACTTCCAAGGCTATCTAGACCATCCCAGGCAGTGGAGTGTGTAGGGTTTGGAACCTGACGTTGTTGGATCGATCTCTCTAATCGTTCCTTTTCTACCAGTGCAGCTCGTTCTGCTATAGTCATATTCGCCGTAGATCGATTGCTAGCTAGAGAAGAACCAGCACCAAAAAGTCCACTGAAGGCATCTCCATTGCTATTCTGGGAAGAAGGCTTCGCGAAGCCTTTGTGAGAGGAAGCAGGGATAGCTGAAGGGGGAGTTGCTGAACGAGAATTGGAGACTGAGGAGCCTCTGGAAGCAAGCTGGGCAAATAGATCGTTCTGAGTTTGTCTAGGATAAGGAGGATTTGATTGCGAGGATAGTGAGCCCAGCTTCTGAGGTTGCGGAGTAGGTTTGGAAGGAACTGCAAAGTTCCAAAGGTCTGCGAACGAGTCTGACATTACAGTATTTATTGGTGGAAGGACATCAATGAGAAGAAAATGGGCGCTAAAGTCGTTATGCGTCAGAGGTCACGGCACACGCTTTTTGCACTTGCACAATCCCCCCTCAACTGTTGGATCCCACGCGAAATGTTCATAAGAACGCTAACGATACAGGGCTTCAAATCCTGCAAGTTTATTCTATCCTCTACCTCACCTTTACTCACGCTGATTCTTTCTGGAATCAAGACCGTGATCAGGCTCAGATTGAAGAATTCTCACCGAAACACAACGTCGTGGTGGGCAGAAATGGTTCTGGGAAAAGCAATTTCTTCGCAGGTGCGTACTAACGCGTAATCGCCTCTCTTTTGCTCTGTCTGACTTAATAGCTTTAGCCATTCGATTCGTCCTCTCCGATGCCTATACTTCCATGACAAACGAAGAACGACAATCTCTTCTGCATGAGGGCGTCTCCGCGACCACAACACTTTCTGCATACGGTCAGTGGTACTATATATCCCAGAATGCTGCTCATCGCGTCTTTTCCAGTTGAAATCGTCTTTGATAATTCTGATCAACGCTTTCCAACTGGGAACGATACCGTGATCCTTCGCCGGACTGTAGGACTTAAGAAGGATGAATACTCCCTGGATAAAAAAAGTACCAACAAGGCCGACGTTATGAACTTATTAGAAAGCGCAGGCTTTAGTAAAAGCAACCCTTATTATATCGTGCCTCAAGGACGTGTGCGTGAATCAAATATACTGCAATCCTCTATCATTTCTCTGATTCATCCTGCCTTAGATCACTGCTCTTACTAATGCTAAAGATCACGAAAGACTTGCTTTGCTTAAGGAAGTTGCAGGAACTAAGGTGTATGAGCAGCGTCGAGCCGAATCATTGAAAATAATGGCCGAAACAGACGCCAAACGTACCAAGATTAGCGAACTCCTCGAATATATCGAATCGCGATTAGAAGAGCTGGAGGAGGAGAAAGAAGAGCTAAAAGAGTTTCAGGAAAAAGACAAAGAGCGGCGCTGTCTGGAATACGCTCTGTATCAACGCGAGCTGCTAGATGTAGGTGAAGCATTGGAGGAATTAGAAGAAGAGAGGAAGAGTGAAGTTCACGGAGCCAATCTTCGTAGAGAAAAATGGAACGAAAGAGAGAAAGAAGTTCAGGTAAGTCTCTACAATTCCTTCGTATACAATTGGCTTAAAGTAACTCTCAGAATCTCGAAAGAGCCCTCTCCGAAGCGAAACACGATCTCGAAGCCTTGTCTCTGGCTCGCCAGGACGTTCAATCAGAATTAACCGACTCAATCCGATCTCGTACTGAACTTCGATGTGTTATAGATGACCTTCGCAACGCCGGTGTAAGGGAAGGAGGTAGACGCGTAAATCTCGAGACAGAGCTTACCAAAATCAATTCCGACATTGCTGACCGCCAGGGGGCTCTTGCTGTATTGCTCCCTGATTGGGAAACGCGTCGTGCCACTGAAGCCACCGAAAAACGCAAGCTCGATGAGACAAATGGACAGCTGCAGGCTCTATACGCGAAAGCTGGACGCGCTACCCGATTTCGAACCAAGGCCGAACGCGACAAGTTTTTAAAGCAAGAAATTGAATCTATGAAAACCCATCGTCAAACACAAGAACATAATCTACAGTTCAGTCGCTCTCAGATTGAGGAGACTAAACGCTCTGTTGTCGAGCTCGACCAACAGATCCTCGATGTACAGAAGAAAATTGATGACGGTCGACAACGCGTCACAGATCTATCCGAGGAACATTCCCGTCTACGAGAGCAGCACTCCAAATTAATCGAAGAACGCAAAGATCTGTGGAGGGAAGACACAAAGTTAGAGAGCTTGGTCGGTCGGGCTGCAGATGAGATGCGAACAGCTGAGAGGCAGCTGGCTAGCATGATGGATAAAGTGGGAACTCCTCATTTTTCACCCCACTCGTGCTGATTTCTCCTTGTAGGATACTGGTATGGGTCTGCGAGCCGTCGACAAAATTGCAGAACGGCATCGCCTTACAGGCGTGTATGGTCCACTATATCGGTTGTTTGAAGTGACCGACCACAAGTTCAACATTGCCATCGAGCTCACTGCCGGAAACAGGTTGGCATTTTTGGCCTTCGCGTTCTTCTTTCTGACTTACAACCATCCTCAGCCTGTTCCACGTTGTGGTTGACAGTGACGAAACCGCTTCCAAAGTTCTTGATGTCATGCTCCGAGATAAGACGGGTCGAGTAACGTTCATGCCTATTAATCGTCTTAAACCAAAGAATCCACCGCTTCCCAACAATGGCGACGCCATCCCGATTCTCGATAAACTCCGCTACGACGATGTTCACGCGAAGGCTTTCCAACAAGTATTCGGAAAGACCTGCGTATGTAAAGACCTCACCGTTGCCGCTGCATACGTCAAGAGTCATGGTATCAACACTATCACCCTCGATGGCGACAAAGTTGATAGGAAAGGTGCTCTGACCGGCGGATTTCACGATATTCGACGTTCGAGGATCGAAGCCATCAAAGCTGTTACCTCTTGGCGAACAAAATACGAAGAAGACACAAAAAAATCGAAGGAGACCAAAACCGCCATTGTCGAATACGACCAGAAGATCACTCAGCTTGCTGGGAAAATGTCTGTGTTAAGTGCCCAACAAAACCAAATCCGGGAAGCGAGAGAACGTCTCCTTGCGGAGGGTGTCATGTTAACCAAGGAGAAAGAGAAACTTTCGGGTCGTTTAGTGAAGTTAGAGATTGATGTACAGGAACTAGAGGCAGAGCTTGCTTCCCTGCATACAAAACACACTGGTTATGAAGCCGAGCTCAAGACACCTATGATGCAGAGCCTTTCTGCTGAGGAACAAAAACTTATCGAAACACTAGGTGTCGAAGTAGAGCAGAAAAGGCGAGAACTTGTGGAACTGGCCAAATCCAAAACCTCCGTTAGCATCCTTCATTGTTTTCCTTGTGCCGCACTTAATTTTGACTGTGTACAGCTGGAAAGTAGAAAAAACGCTATCGAAATCGAATTGAATGAACGTCTTCTCCGTCGCCGAGAAGAGATCCAGACGCGTATTGACCTTTTAGCAGAGCCAGAAGCTAGTGATACGGCAGACGACCTTGAAGCCCGATTGAAAGAGCTCGAGTCCCTCGACCACGCTATAACTTCTTGGACAAAGAGAAGTCAAAGTACGTTAAACAATATTACGGATCCACTTATTTTCTAATCAGTCTCATAGGCATGGAAAAGGAGACCGACGATATTTCGAACAAAGTTCAAACCCTCATAAAATCGCTAGAGGAAGTACAATCTCAGCAATTGGATGATGGTCGGAACATAACCAGGCAGCAAAAGGTCACTGAACGCTATCTTGCCAAAAGACAAATGCTGGTGGGGCGAAAGGATGAATGTAGTCGCAGTATCCGAGATCTAGGTGTACTGCCTGAGGAAGCATTCGAAAAATACACGAATGAAAAACCTGACCGCGTACGCTGCATCTCTCCTTTCATATGCTGCTCAACTAATCGATACAAACAAGCTTGTTCGCAAACTACACACCGTTAGCGAGGGGCTGAAAAAATTTGCTCATGTCAACAAGAAAGCTTTTGAACAGTATAACAACTTTACCAAGCAGCGCGATCAACTTTTGGAACGACGAGAAGATCTGGAAAATTCCGCTCAGTCGATAGAAGAACTCGTAGAAGTCTTAGATCAGCGAAAAGATGAAGCTATCGAGCGAACGTTCAAGCAGGTTGCAAGCAATTTTGAAGAAGTGTTTGAGAAACTCGTTCCAGCAGGTCGCGGTCGCCTTATCATTCAACGTCGCATTGACCAAGTAACAAAATTCTTTTGGTCCATCAAAATTTACCTGATCCTGTTTTAACAGGATGAAGATGCTGAAGATGGAAATGAAGCCCAAGCTAGTTCTATTGATAATTACACCGGCGTATCCATCAAGGTGCGTTCATAGTATCTACCATTCATGAATAGAGCTGATATCCTTATTCAGGTTTCATTCAATTCCAAAGTTGATGAAGGACTCAGAATACAACAGCTATCTGGAGGACAGAAATCCTTGGTAGCTCTTGCTACTGGTTAGTTACCTTCAGATTTGAGGCAATGCGGCTCTTCAATACCCTTCAGTTTTTGCTATACAGAAGTGCGACCCAGCTCCGTTCTACCTTTTTGACGAAGTCAGTTTCACATTCAGTCAAATATCCAAGTTCCTTACATTACATCTACTCTAGATTGACGCTAATCTGGATGCACAATACCGAACCGCGGTCGCCTGTGAGGCTTCTCTCCTCGATGTATTCCCGTTGGTACCTGACAAATGTGCAATCATTAGCCATGATCCAATCCCTCTCATCTAAGGCGCAATTTATTGTCACCACTTTTCGACCGGAGATGTTAGTGACCGCCGATAAATTTTACGGTGTGCTTTTCAACAACCAGAAGGTTTCCTCCATTCGTCCTATCAAACGTGAAGAGGCAATGGAATTCGTTGACCAGGTATCGGTATTGTCTATTTTGTCAACCTAAATATTGCTGACTTCTTTGCAGGAAGCGCAAGCACGATGAATTTCCGATGACGCTGTCTATCTTTATATTGCTTTCTGTAGCTGTAAATGTACTAATAGTTGTTGTAGCTCCTATGTACTACGTACGCCGTCACGCGGTTCACTGCTTGAGTTCTCTTTCTCATCCAGCTTCTACCCTCTTTCTACCTCAGATTACATTTTGCTCGCACTTATTACACAAAATGCTTGTGTAACCGTAACCTACGGTCTCAAGCGGCCTCCGACGCTTAAGGTGAGAATACAAGAAACTACATTGAAAATGACTCATGTTCGTTACCTCCTCGTCTATACCTCCACCTCGTACAAAATTCGTTTGTATAAGCGCACATGAGTATGTACCGGCGATTGAGAGTTCTATAGAGCGGTCACTCACTTTTTTTAATCAGACGCGGATTCCCTCGACGGACGTCTACTGTTTGCAATTCCCAAGAAAGGTATTTTGAACTGCCTTTGAGAAATACCCATTAATGAAGGCATCCCAAGGGAGATTGTATGAAAAGTGCTTATCCATTCTTGCTGGCGAGTCCCTATCTTTATGCCCCTGTTTCTCAAATCTAATCATATATCCATAGGTGCGGATATCCAGTTTCGACGACACGCTCGATTAGATGTCTGTCTTGTCCTCAACCATCCAATCGCTTTGTACAGTCTTCATACGCACTTCCCTCAACGGTCATTGATTATCGTACTCAGGGTGTTCCTCCCTGCATCGGATATCCCAAGCTTTGTTGGCAAGGGCAACGTCGACCTTGGTATTACAGGACACGATGTGATCGTCGAATCACAGATGCATGAGCACGTTACCGAAGAGCTCCGGTTAGAGTTTGGAAAGTGTGCCCTGCAAGTCCAAGTTCCAGAAGCTGGGTCAATCACGACTGTCGAAGACCTTGCCGGTAAACGCGTTGTTACCAGTTTTGAGGTGCTCTCAGGGGATTATTTTGGTAAACTTGACGACCAGCTCCAACTCTCAGGCGACAAACGCACAAAGATCGAATACGTCGGTGGCAGTGTTGAAGCCGCATGTGCGTTAGGACTTGCTGATGGAATCGGTGAGTTTCTCGCTCTGTTTTCAGCCTTCAAATTCTAACTGTTTGTTTCACAGTTGACCTAGTCGGTGAGTGATGTTCTATCCTATTTTACTTCGTGTGCTATCTGAATTTATATATTCAGAGTCCGGAGACACCATGCGTGCAGCTGGTCTTCATGCAATTGCCACGGTCTTAGAAACAGAAGCTGTCCTTATCAAGTCCCGAGTCCCGAAACACGAAGCGCACTCCAATCTGATCACCCTCATCACCAATCGAATAAAGGGAGTTGTCGCCGCAAGCAAATACGCTATATGCCAGTACAATATTGCCCGGGACCGACTTCCCTCAGCTATCGCGATCACCCCAGGGCGTAGGGCACCAACTATCAGCCCATTGGAAACAGACAATTGGGTGGCTGTCAGTAGTATGGTTGAGAAGAAGAGACTTGCTCAAATAATGGATGATCTCGTAACAACTGGTGCTGAGGATATACTCATATTCAATCTTGATAATTGCAGAGTTTGATTGTGTTGCGGCATCGATTTTAACTATGTAGAACATTACGTCGCACGCAACCGTTTCGAGCTCTCATAACACTCGAGCGTAATGCTTGCCAAAAAACCTGGAATGCAGGCTTCGGTCTCTATCCAATATCGCATCAGATCAGGCAGGTCTTGTGGGCCGCCCTCGCCTGTAGCAACAAGTTGCATGTTCATTCCGTTAGGTTCCGTTTGAGAACTGACTTTCACAGTCTAATGATAAGAAAAGGTCAATAAGCTTCGAGTCGTTGGACGATGTATCACAGACCTTGTCTGGACCAAAAACAAAACTGGCATTCAAGTCGAACAGTGAGGTTACACGGACCTGACCATTCGGATAAAAAGCTAGTTTGACTCCCATGATAGACTCGATGGCTTCACGAAATTCTGCGGACTTTGCTTTAAATACCTATTGCATGTGTTTAATCCTGTTGTGAAAATACTTAGGATGGATAAATCACCTGTTGAAGTCGTAGCAGCCTCTTCTCTTTCTGTTTCAGAACGTCCTCCAAATCTTCCTTATCCTTCACTGCTATATCCAAACTCTCTCTCGGAACCAATGTTGAGACGCTTACGTCCGACTTTGTTTCAGAAGCCTGCGAGGCTTGCGCAGCACCCGCTTCTTTCAACACCGCTTCAATGTCTATTAATCTCTTTAACAGAGCCTGATTCTCTCCTTTCAGACGTTCCAATACGGCAGTGTGACTCATTTCCCATTCAGCATGAGGGTTATCTTTCATTTCCAGAACACGAGTGTTCGGAGGAATATGTCGGCCTCCAGCAACTTCACCTCGAAGGTCAAACAGCTCTTGCTCTACAATGTCAAGAGCTGACGTACAAGACGATGAATTCATGAATTACAGAAGAAGACAGTGCGGGATACTCACATTTTTCAAGCTCTTCCCTTTTCACCTTTTCACTCTGAAGCTCTGTCCTCATCTTCTCTAACTGGTCTTGGAGAAGCTGGTCCCTTTCTTCATTCTTCTTTTCTGTTTCGATGTCCTGTTCGCTATGTTGCCTCAATTTGTTCAACGAAGTCTCAATCTCAGAACGCAAGTCAGCATTTAAGCGCTTTGCATCGTTGAAAAGGGCTTGGTAGTGCTTGACTTCTGCGACAGTGTTCGCGTCATTATGTAACGAGGAGTTATCGGAAGTAAGCCGGGCCTAATTCGTCGTCAATTCGAACAATGGAATAAATCGAATTGAAATCTAATCACCACTGCGGCCTCCAAGAATGCAAGCTCCTTGAGAGCGGTCTCCAGTTCTTCATCCTTCAAACGTAATTGAATTTGCAGATTTGAAGTCTGTTATAGACGATCAATGACGGATATGAAGTAGATAGTCATCTATCCTCACAATTATGTTTTGACTGTGTACCTCAGGTACAGCCAAATTTCCACGGGAGCTGGTCTGTTGTAATAGTGCTTCCTTCTCACCTCTCAACGCTGCAAGTTCCGAAAGAGTAGTACCGTGCTGGTCCAATAAGGCAGCATGTTCCAGTCGTAAAGCAGCGAGTTCAGATATTTCTTTGACTGTAGGATGCGGAAGGTCTTTCAGTGAATCATTCACTCCAACGCTAGCGTCGACATCATCCTGATCGAGTCCAAGATGAGTTGCTAAAGTAGATGGATTGAGAGGCAGACTGGACCGTTTGGAGGATGAGGATCTGTGATCTCGTCGAACTACCTCACGAACCAGCTTTTCAACCTCGACCTCTTTCATCTTGAGACGACTCTCCAACCCCCTCTTCTCCTCTTTCAAGACCTCCACTGTCGCATTACGGTCACGCAGGATAGCATTGTCACTCTTTAATACAACGACGTCGGCATTAAGCCTTGTATTCGTGGATTCGAGCTGACGAAGGTATGTTGCCTGGCGTTTTAACTCAGCAGTGAGCAGTCTGTTGTCTGTGTCTGGAATTGATGATGTGGATTGAGATAGTGAGGGAGTTGAGGACGACGCAGAGGCGATGTTGGACGCTGCTATCTTGGCAGCATTCTTCTCTTCTTCGACCCTGGCCTCTAGAAACATGGCTTGCTTCTGTGTCTCTTCGAGCTGAGTTTTGAGTAGACTGACTTCATGATTACGTGACCTCTCCAGTTTGGAATGAGCGTCCTGTAATTCGGCATGGGAGACCTCCAAATTCGACAGAGATATTTTCGCAGCTGCAAGCTCATGTTTCAATTTAACCTCTCTTTCCCTCGCTTCCTTTCCTTCTCGTTCACGAGCTTCGCGTTCCTCAGTTTCTCGATCATTTAGCCATCTCCGATCCTTCTCAAGAAGATCCAGTCTCTGGTCTTTCTCCCGAACTTTCTTCTCCAGCTCTGCGCAGTTTGTTTGCAAAATTGCGAGTTTGCGCTCGACGGCAGCGGCGTTGAGATTGTTGTTAATGGTGGTGCGGAGATGGCGCTTTGTATTTGGAAGAGAAGAGTCTGGATATGATTCAACATCACTGGATTTTGCACAATAAAAATAGAATGGCACCTCGTTCGAGTTCGCTGGAAAACGTGTCTCTGTCACGTTTCAAGCCGCCCTTTGTCAGAATTGACGAGCTTGAGCCTGATGTAGATGCGGAGAAATTGTTGGAACGGGATTTACTCGTAGAAGAAGAGGTAAACAAAGAGGAGGAATTACTAGTCGTTGACATTGAACAAGCATCAATTGACTGGGATCGCGTTGTGTGGCCCGCGCCGCGATTTTCTCGCACGGGCAGGCACGGCAACGGCCGCCACCCTCTGTACAATAACAGTGTAATAACTAAGCTTTTCATTTTGCTGAACTTACCAAGCGACGTTGTGCTTTCAATCTGATTCAATCATATACAGTTCCAGAAATATGCAAGACTATAAAGCCTCATATCGCCTCAACCGATCGTCCTATCGCAGCTTCAAACATGCCCAGTTCCCTGTCCCTCACACAGGACATACCATTCAGTCCCACCACAACGATATGTGTAGATGATACTACCTTATCGAATCCCCGCCCCAAGACTGAGCCTGCGAGTGACTTGGAAAAATCGCCGAGCAATACGATCACTACTACATTGCAACAGTTACCACTATCTACCCTTAGAAAAAATTTAGTTCTGACTGTCCTATCTGGCGCTCAATTCTTCGATATCTACATCTCATGTGCAGCGATCATCGCCCTTCCAACAGTAAGTAGTACTCTTAGGTCACTCTCCTTTGAACATGCTTCTGACAACCACTAACGATTAGCTGGGCGCTGACTTAGGATTTTCACCAGCAGCTCTTCAATGGGTTCTGTCGGCATATACGCTCACCTTTGCCGCATTCATGCTCATCTCTGGTCGGCTGTCTGACATGTTCCATCCAAGGCCTGTCTTTGTTGCTGGATTCCTTGTCATTGGTCTCCTCAGTGTCCCGATTGCGGCCAGTGTCAACCCAATTATGACTATTGTCCTGCGAGCCCTTCAGGGCATAGGTGGGGTTTTTATCTCCTCCCTCTGGGCTCTTGAAGCTTGCTGTTAAGTGCCTTGTTGTAGGTGCTGCACTCAATGTTCCTTCGGCTATCGCGATGATATCAACATCTTTTCCAGATCATAAGGAACGCAGTCGAGCGTATGCCGTATATGGGGCATTTGGTGCGATTGGTAACTGTCTTGGTTTCATAATCGGTGGTGTGATATCTGCTAGGACTTCTTGGCGTTGGGGTGAGCACCTGCGTACCCCGTTCTAAACCCTGATAATAAAATGTACTCGGCAGTTTTCTATGTCATCGCAATTCTGGTCATACCTTTTGCTGTGGTCTCATGGTTTATCCTTCCAGCACATACCAACCGTTCAGCAAAGGGGACAAAAGACCTTGACTGGCCTGGGGTCTCCAGTCTAACGGTCGGACTAATTCTCTTTGTTTTTGCCGTCTCTCGTGCCAGTGCAGCAGGTACATCGAGATTCAAAATCATTTTGCCATTTGTTGCACTTACCATGTACACACCGTAGGTTGGCAGTCTCCTGGCGTGATTGCACCCCTTATTCTTTCTATCTTTATGTTCGCCACTTTCGCTCTTATCGAACACCTGGTGAAAGATCCTGCCCTTCCACCGAGAACTTGGACAAATAAGAATTTTACTCCGTTATTTTTTTATGGGTGGTCTGTGTACTGGTGGTTGTTCTCCTCTGAACTGCAATTGGTGCAGGTCTTCACGGTAAGTCTTCCAGCTCCATGCTGTACTAAGCCTTTCATCTTTCATTCACAGAATCTCTGGTATTTGTCTCCACTCTCTGCTGCTGTGCGATGCCTCCCCTTGGGAATATCCGGGGGAGCTACAGCGATGCTCACTGGATACATTGCCTCGAGAATACCTCGCCGACTGTTGTTGGTTGGGGGACAAGTATTGATGGCTGTAGGAGCAGCACTGTTTGCTCTCGCCAATGACCCATCAAAGTACTGGTCCCATATTGTCCCGGGCATGGTTTTCGGGAATATCGGGGTCGCTGTTGGATACGTAGGTTGCACTATTGTTGTCATGGAAGGTGTAAGGGAGGGTGAGCAGGGAGTGGTGAGCGCCATTATGTATACCGCATATCAAATCGGTGCCACTATAGGTCTAGCTAGTAAGCATTTTCACTTGGCTGTGTAACTAAGAAGCAAACCTAATCCGCATCTATGCAGTTGTCACTTCCATAACACTAGGAGTCAATCAACATCTGGATGCTGATCCAGTTTCGCAGTTCAAAGGCTATTCCATGGCATTCTGGTCCATACTCGCTATGAATGGCTTCGCCATACTTCTCACTCTAGTTTTTGTACATGATTCAAGTTAATTTTGTAAGGCGCTTGTGCGACAATACATTTCCTTCTTTGTCCCCTGAATTAATTGCCGTTCTCTTCTCATTCTCGACATAGCGTTTCACTGAACGCGTTTGAGAGGCATAATTGATGCCTTTGTAGCATCCCCCACAGTTTGCAAATTGTACAAGCAAGGGCTTAGGTCTGCAATTCTCGAGTCACCTCTAATCAATCGATTGCGCGCAATTCATATTGCATCCAACTCACATAAGTACCAACTAATGAATCATAGTATATGTGCATTATAGCTGAAGTAATATATCAATGACATCGAAAATAGGGTGCTTCTGGTACTTTTTCTGCAGGGGCCTGAAGGGGCTCACCTGTATTGTCAGCAGCCACTGACATAGTGAGTGCGATTAAGATCAGGCCATCGGATCGGGGTGAGCTCGAAATACCACTGAGTAGCACTGAGTGCAATATATTAATTTCTTGCAACAGATTTGTCGTCAAATCGGCCAGAATCGACCACCCAATCGACATGCATCGATTTCGGCCAGTTTTTCAGTAATGCAGTGATGGAGCAGTAGTACACCTTGGTGCACTGGCAGGAAGACTGAGAGCGTGTGTTGTGAGATTGACTCTCTTCTACTTTATATCAGTGCTCTCTTTGAATCACTTCCTCCTTCTCCGATGATAATTGCATTGCTCATTCCCAAATACCTTGCTTGATTTCCCTCATAGTGCCCTTTTCTTCGTCCACATGGTGACTGTAACAATACATCGGTGAAATATATTATTCTTCTCCCACAATTGGGAGGCATGTCGGCGCCTTAGGGTGCCCTTATGGTGCAAAAATACTCGTATCGTAGTAGAAAAGCCAGAGCTTAGCCGAGTCTCTAGTTGCCCTGCTCTTACGGCTCCCCGCGCCCGAGTACTTGCCCTACTTCCATACATACGCGGAGAAGGATCCTTCCTACTACATCCTGTATTCCTATATTCCTGTATTCCTATATTATAAAACATGAAGTTTTGATTAGCTAATTATCAGTCGGCGAGTTAGACGCTCTTTGAGTGCGGAGGCGCAAGGCGCCGACTAATGGGTTCAGGGACTTGCCCCCAACAAGCCGTGAACCCAGCTGTAGCATACGGTACGAGCGAAGCGAGCTACCGTGGCGAAGGCATGGGTTCTAAATATGTAGGTTCTATGTAAAGCTTGTTTTTTAAAAAAATATTGAAGATTAGTCATTGCAACTCTGTTGCAACTCATAGGCGCTGAAGCATAGCCACACTCAGACGTACCTATTGAAAATATCTCAGCCCGACCCCCATCGTCACAACAGGTTCGTGCATTCAGCTCTCAAAGTCTCTCATACGCTCTTGGAAACATGTTGTATCTCGCTGGTGTCATTTGTACGAGCTTTTGGCTGCAGCTTTGGGCTGGATTCAAACGAATTCCGTTGGATGGAGATCGTACTGATTGGATGTACTTCGGCTTGGCTTAAGGCTAATTTGGGGATCCCTTCTTATTTCTGCCCTCTGACTGGCTTTGGATGACACGTCTCGGAGCTGAGGCTGTTGTTTACCTTGATTTCTGAATAGCAACTATCCATCAGCTGACATTCTGGGCATTTTTTTAGCCTCAAGACAATGGCCACGACCAAAACCGCTAAGGGCAAGGCTGCAGCCACCAAGGCCTCCAAGTGTACGTCTTGCTACTTTTGCTTTCAAATAATTATTACAACTGTGTAATATAGCGACGGCCAACTCGAAGGACTCGAAAGCTAAAGCAGCCAAAAAGGCTGCTCTTCAGGGTGTTCATTCTCACTCTTCACGCAAGACACGATTCTCAGTTTCCTTCCACCGACCAAAGACCCTCCGTCTCCCAAGAGATCCGAAATACCCCAGAAAAAGTGTCCCTCATGTACCTAGAATGGATCAGTTTAGGACGATTGTTTCGTGTGTAACTAAGACTCATCCTCTTTTGCTAGTGCTGATGTGATTTCTCAAGGCCTTTGAACACTGAATCAGCGATGAAAAAGATTGAAGAGCACAATACCCTCGTTTTCATTGTCGATATCAAGTCGAACAAACGTCAGATCAAGGATGCTGTGAAAAAGTTGTATGATGTTCAAGCAGCTAAAGTGAACACACTCATTCGGTGAGCTGAAAGTTCTCTTTTCAACAACTGTGTTTCTTAGGGATGTGCGATTCAGTCCGGACGGTAAGAAAAAGGCATATGTCCGCTTAACAGCAGACCACGACGCTCTGGATGTTGCCAACAAGGTTCGTTGATTTTCATGTCATGTTGGGCAGTAACTGACCTTGATTGATATTGACAGATTGGTTTCATCTAAGGGAGGCATAGAGTATGTACGGAGGTTGTAATAGCGCTTCCTTTTTTCTATATAATGCTCATGTCTGTATGCGACTCTTCTCTACGTACACAAATCACCATGCAAAAAAGATTGAATGTGTGCTTGTTCGCATTGGAAACTGGAAAGGATAAGAAAAGTCTGGAACATATCGTTACCAGACCGTTACTGTTCTATCTAAATATGATTATTTATGTACACATGCGCAGTCATTCGGCAGGAGTCGGCCAGTCTGGGTTTTTTTTTGTAGGGGCTTTCCAAGAATTAGAATTTTGGGTAGCAGTGGAAAGATGTATAGACAGATATGTGCATAGCTCCGTCCTGAGTTAGTCGTGGACTGTTTGAACCGTTTAAAACAAGTCACAGTGTGCGGCAATACAGCGCCCTGATAATAGATCTGTGTGAAATGATGAGAGCACCCGTTGTTACTTATACTTTCCCATCACCCTCTTTTTCTTTCGTTCCATCCTGGCTTTGGCTTTTTGGCCGTAGCGTGCACGGACCTCACGCAATCTCCCTCAACTCCTTCCCTGTTGTCTCGACTTACACGCTCTTTCTCCAGGCAGTGCTTTAGCACCGCGTCCTGCTATCCAGCAATCATTCGTAAAAATTGTCGCCATGAAACCGTTATTACCTCTTATTTATTTCAGTGCTCTCTTGTTCTCTCTACTTGTTTCCCCTGTCGATGCTGTACATTCGTCCACTGAACATTCTTTTGCTCGTCGTTCTATGAGCCATGCTAAAAGACGTACTGTCCTAGGTAGTTCTTCAAGTTCCTTGTTGCCCTTCTTTCTGACTTTTACAACTCCCAGATGTCATCTCTCGCAACCTGGGCGACGTTATTACCGGCCTTGGTTCAGATATAGGTGATACCGTGTCCGACGTGGGTAACGATCTTGGTGATACCGTGTCCGACGTTGGCAGTGGTGTGGGCGACTTACTGGGTGCGACTTCCACCACGACATCGTCCTCTCCCACATCTGCATCATCTGCGCCTACGGCCTCTACGTCAACCGCTGGTAGCAGTCCTGCTCCTGTTGCCTCTTCCAGCTCCAGTAGTGACAGTAGCAGTAGTAGCAGCAGCAGCAGTAGTACCAACGTAAACAGTGTGAGCCCTAGTTCTTCTAGCAGCAGCACTTCATCCAGCGCAAGCAGCAGTGCTAGTCCCACCAGCAGCTCTTCCAGTTCAACTTCCAGCTCGACCTCGAGTACCGTTTCTTCGAATAGCCTGCCAACTACCTCTGTCTTGGATGCCACGTCTACAACTGCTGTCCCTAGCACGTCTGTCGTGTCGGCTACTTCGAGTGACTCCGGTCTATTGCCATCCATTTTATCGTCTTTACTGCCTTCAGTGACGTTACCTTCGACAACTACCAGTGCCGCTGAATCAGATTCTACCACAGCTGCTAGCACAAGTCCTGTCGATTCAGATCCCACAATAGCTGCTTCTACCACGAGTGCTGCTGATTCGGATACCGCAACATCCACTGCTAGCACCACTGATCCTGGTTTATTGTCTTCAATATTATCGTCCCTATTACCTTCAGTGACGTTGTCGCCTTCGATTACTACGAGTGCCTCTGACTCGGATTCTTCAACAGCTTCCACCACGGGTGCCACTGACACTGATTCGGTTGTCACGTCTCCTACGGCTTCTAGTACGACGGTCTTGTCAGCTACTTCGACAACTGACCCTGGTCTACTGTCATCAGTTCTATCCTCTTTACTGCCTTCCGTGACGTTATTTCCTTCAACTGTCAGCAGTGTGGCCGATACGTCCAGCAGTTCCGTAGCATTGACGTCAACTTCGACTACGTCCGAAGGGCTAATACCAACGCTGTTTCCGACTACAGACTCCGGCACTTCTTCATCGACGGACTCGAACGGGATAACACTTACTACTGCTTCTTCCAGTAGTACCTCAACTTCGACCTCTGACTCAGATGGACTTACTCCGACAACGACATCTGATTTTTCTAGCAGCCCAGTAACCACGTCCGCCGATTCCACCTCAGCCGTGCTCTCCATTTCCATCTCGTTGTTCCCGACTACCACTGATTCTTCTGTGTCAAGCTCCACCGATTTATTCAGTAGCTCTGCCGCAACTTCTACAAGCGACGATACCACCACCGCTACAAGTAGTTCGCTTTCGTTGTCGCTACCGGTGTCCATTCCGACAATATCAGCCACTACCAGTGACTCTGCCTTGCCCAGTTCCATCATATCATCGCTCTCGTCTGTCTCTACCAGTACAACTGATACCTCACCAAACAGTCTCTCGACTACTGTATCTGGCTCGCAATCGAGCTTTTCTGCTTCTACCATTGATTCGGCTTCCATCACCAGTAGTACAGATTCAGCTTCTGACACCACTACAACAGGTTCGGCTTCTATCTTTAGTACTACCGGTTCAGCCTCTGTCACTAGTACTACAGGCTCAGCTTCCATTTCGAGCACTACTGGTTCAGTCTCCGTCTCTAGTACCACAGGCTCGGCTTCCGATTCAGCCTCCGTCACTAGTTCTACAGGCTCGGCCTCCATTCTGAGCTCCACCGGTTCAGCCTCCGTCACCGTGAATTCCACCTCTATTCCGGCGTCGGTTTCGCAGTCCTCGTTCAGCGTGTCAGGAAGCACCACAGTGTCTTCGTCTGCAAGCAGCACTGTCACTATCTCGTTTCCTTCGGGGTCCGTCTCTTCTACTGCTACTGTCAATGGAACGACGACTGTGGTCAGCACGAGTGTCACGACGGCTCTGACAGTTGTCTCTGTCCCGTCTGACTTGTCGTTCGTGCTCACCCAGACAACCCTTGAAGTTGCGAGTGTATCGTCGTCCGCCACGTCTCAAACACTCAGTAATCCTGACCAGGCTACAACAACGTTCTCTCAGACTACATTATCTGCTTCAGCGCCTTTAGCTACTGCGGCTCTGCCCTCGAGTCTTCCTTATAGAATTTTGCCCCAGGACCAGCTGGCATCTAATGAAGATTTATCTGGATACACGCTGGTCAGCCTGTTATTTGATCTTCAACTCAACTGGCCATTTGTTGTCAGCAGTCCGGACTCAAGTAGTCAGCTATTTGCATATATGCCTGTCATCTTGCAAAACTCGCTGGGTCTCACTGGTTTGTCCTTACTGCGATTCAAGTATTAATGTCTAACATATTTTTAGCTGACCAGGTGAAAACATGGACCCTCCAAGTCAATATACCCTCAGACTACACTGGTCCTTCAGATGCTGACTTACTTGAGACTATGTATCTAGTCTATATTCCCTCAAGTTCGGTGTCCAGTCTGCAAGACCAGATTAAGGCTCAGCAGTCGGCCTTCTACACTGGAGTTGATAATTCCGTGGCTCAGCAACTTGCTTCGCTGGTGAACAGTGGATGGAATCTCCTTTCTATTGCAGCTCCTGATGATTCCGGCTCAACTGGCTCGTCGTCCAGTGATAGTGACACCGGTGCTTCCTCCTCCGACAACAAGAGCAAGGAAGATGCCATCATTGGTGTCACTGCTTCCCTCGGAGGAATTGCCATCTGTGTACTTGGGTTCTTGATCTACCGTTCTTATAAACGTCGCAAAGAGCTCGCTCATAGACGTCTTTCGGAACCCACTGGCACAGCTGGTTACAGACCTGAAGGACGCGAGTTTGATCAAGACAGTGTTGGTGGTCAGCGCAGACGTAGCTTCTATTTCGCCGAGGACTCGTTACGGGGATATCAAGGTGACCGAGTAGACGATTCACACTTCGATGCTAGGACTGGTCAAATGTCGCAGCGGAGGAATGTAATGCCAGCTGCTATCTCGGCCCCCATCCTTCGGGAGAGTAGTATGAACTGGTAAAGGGCAGATGTGTTCAGTTTCAACTTCAGCCCTCATAATGAATGATACGTGAATAACTAGCCATCACTTGGTCATAGCTTACACTCCTACTCCTACTGTCCTTCTGCGGCACTCTCAAACCCTCCCTTCCCTGCCCCCTGGAGTCAACTGGAACATTGTAACGCAGAATTGGCTCCTGGATCGTTGGACCATAAAACCCTTCTCTTTTTTGTTACCGTTTCATTTAATCTTGCGCTTCTAGTTTATTATTATTCAAGTTACATTGTTGCTTCTTTTTGTTTTGATTGGTTTCCTAGGTTCTTCTCCTGCTGCCCATGTCGGTTACTCTTTGTTTTGCTTCTCTGGGATGGTGGGTAGTCCGTTGGATATACCTTTGGTAATACCGATGTTTGTGTGTGTGGCATGTTCGACGAAGTCAGAGGGGATGATTATGGTTGTTGCTTATGCAGGTCAGGCTATCCGTACCCCAGGCCGACCTTTTGTCAAATTTGTCTTCATAGTTGAGCAATCATCGATGTATACCTTTGTTGAATTGTGTACCTCCCAGTGCAAACAATATATATGTATCTGCGCTTACTGACTCATCGCTCGCAAACAATGCCTTCCATTTCAAATGAACGAATACCTGCAAGAGATCTTTGGTTGTCTACCGGAGGCGGCCTTCCTGAAGATGCTCTCTCTTCCCTGACTTTGAGCAAGGAGCCTGATTGCGCAATAAATTCATCATTCAAGATAGGGAGTGCTGCTCAAGTAACTTTCCAGACCCTTGCTTTTGAATACGACTAATTCAGTCAAAACCAGACTACCATCGGACTTGCAGGACTTTCTGCATCTTATTTTCATGAGTTACGGACAGGAGTAAAACAAACTGTCTTGGTGGATGCTCGACATGCCGTTCTTGAATTTCGTCGGTATCACTTTGCATCCTTCGGCATTCTTACAAACAGCTCACATCTTTCCAAATCTCCAATACTCGTTCAGGAAGTGAAGCCTATTACAGTCTCGAGAATCGACCCCCGGGATCTATCTGGGACACAATTGCAGGACTATACAAAACCAGGGATGCTAAATTTATCAGAGTGCATACTAATTTTCCGCAGTAAGTTTTGGGATGCACATAACATTCGTCTGAAGTCTTGCCATTTAAGCCATCGTCGTGGTATTCTGAGTATCTTGGGCTTGAGTGACTCCCCAGATCTCACGAGGAATCATGTACAAAAGGCATTTCTGCAATGGGACGCCGACGCATTTGAAGAGAAAGCTGCAGAGTCTGGAATGTGCGCTTTTGTATCGAGGACTTTCGAGGAGTGGGACCGACATCCACAGGGACTAGCCTTGAAAAATGTTCCCCCCGTCACTGTTACAAAGATCGCTGATGCTCCGAAACGACAAATTTCGTTTTTGTCTTCATATGAGCATCCTCTTCAGAATGTCAAGGTCTTGGATCTTAGCAGAGTCTTGGCTGGGCCTGTTGCAGGGAGAACCTTGGCTGGTCAGACCTATGCGTTTTACACCGGATTTATTTGACAAATATACATAGCTCATGGGGCTGATGTACTACTTGTAACATCTCCCAAACTCCCGGCGCTCCCCGCCCTTGATGTCGACACATCGCGCGGGAAACGAACTACACAACTTGATCTCACTTGCCCAGAGGACAAAGAGAAGCTACAGAAGCTTATACTTGATGCTGACGTCTTTCTCCAAGCCTATCGACCTGGCGCTTTGGAAGGTAAAGGGTTTGGCACTCATGAGATTGTCAAAATGAAGGGAGATCGTGACCATGGTATAATTTGTGCTAATCTTTGTGCATGGGGCTGGGATGGTCCATGGAAGAGCAGACGAGGGGTTAGTGATTCTTCTAATGAGAACATGCCCATAAATGTCTCAAAGTGTGATCATGATTAGTTTGATTCTTTAGTGCAAACGGCTACAGGATTCAATACAGCAGAGTCTCAAGCTCATGCCGAATCTCGAAACAGTCCGTCTGTTATACAGTTACAGCCGAAACCGTTCCCGGTCCAAGCACTGGATCACGCCGCTGGATATCTCATGGCGTACGGGATCAATGTTGCTCTATGCAAAACCATCAACGTCAGTTTTACCATGTTCGCTGCGATGAAATTCAGTCCTCATAAAAATTTCCTCTACTAGGAGGGTGGCTCGTGGGAAGTCCGCGTATCGCTCGCCGCCGTTGCGCAATGGCTCAGATCGTTGGGTAGAGTATCCCCTGAGGTAGGATTTGGGGAAACAGCCAAAACAATGCCTGCTGTTACATGTCCTCCTAATGATGAGGTCAGGAGCTTATCCTCGGAATGGCCGCAATCTGGTCGTTCGCCGAATGAAAAGAAGATGACCGCTTTGAGGCATGCAGCTATTCTGTCTGAAACACCTGCGATGAACGGGGACAAGGGGACAGCACCTATCGTTCTCAATTCCTCTCCGCCTCAATGGTATAATCAATGTCGAGTGATATGTCGAGAAATATAACGATCAAAAATATACATAATTCCAAGTTAAAGATACACATCCTCATTTATACTCATCGAGGCCTCCCTCATCCACCATTCTATGAATCATCTTCCCCGAGCATCATTGCTAAAGCATCATTCCCCTCATCAGCTGGAGCGTCGTAAACCGCAAACGCAGCTTTCTTGCTACTTTCAACAACAGATTTCCCGGGTGGATTCGCCGACGTCCATCCTTTGCCTCTATCAGTGAAGACTTCGGGTGAACGATCTAGCAGCGAATCCAAATCTTCGTCGGTCAGGACATTAGCCTTCCCTTCGTTCGTGTTTGGGACCACGTCAATCTTCTCTCCTTCAAGCCGGAGAAGAGAAGCAGCCATCTCCGCAATAGTTTCGCTTTTGCCACCACGTTGAGCAGCTGCACTGGGCATTCGAAATTTACCTAAAAATGAATATGAGAATGCCATTAAACTCAGGACCCAAAAGGAATGACCTTTGGCAATGACAAGTGCTTCTAATTGACGTTTCTCTGTAGCCCGTTGCATGATTTTTGTCTCGATCGTGTGCGCGCTGACCAGTCTGTATATAAGAACGGGTTTCGTCTGGCCAATACGATGAGCACGATCCTGAGCTTGTGCGTCCATTTGTGGGTTCTTGGAAGGACGTTCACTTATCGAAAGGAGGATTGAGGAATGAGAACATACCCAGTCCTGGTCATAGAAAATGACGGTATCGGCTGCCACCAGATTAATTCCAAGGCCACCTGCTCTTGTGCTTAGCAAGAACAGATGAGGCGCCCCGGGTGAATCGCCTCCAGTCTGGAATGCAGACATCTGTTCTCGCCGTTCTACTGGGGAGCTTGAACCATCAATACGACAGATTATCCAACCTTTAAGCTCCCGCGCCCAATCCTGTGAAGGCAAGGAGTGAGCCATAATCGTAGAGGAGGTATTTACTGCATGAAACTTGCCTCTATAATATCAAGCATGGTTGTGAATTGACTAAACAGTAACACCTTGTGTTTGCGTTTGAACAACTCTGTAAGGAGACGATCAAGTACCATCATCTTTCCACTTGCTGCCACTAATTCGTCGTTAAGTATCGGTTGCAAAGTGGTCGGATCAACAGGCCAATCGAACAGGAATGGATGAGAGCAGACTTTACGAAGTTGCATCACTGTATTCTGCAGCTTCATATTGTTGACCTTCTTTCCTATAGGTGGGGGTTTCATACACATACAAGGGAGCAATCTTTGGATCACATACGTGCTAGATCTTTTCGATGTGTTTCTCTAAGTTGTGTGAGATCAGCTTCCCTTTCTGCCTGTTGACGTTCGTTTTCTCCCGTCTCTAAGTTTTTGAAATAGACATCATCGTCCTCTTCCACAAGATAGCTTGGCCGACCCTTATTTGTCTGCGTTCGAAGCTTTCTTGGACCGTCAACTTCGGGGAGAAGTTCGTCGGCTCCCTTGTTTTCCTCCTTACTTTGCATCAGATAAGCCCTTAGGGTGCCATCTAGGACCTTATCGTATGCCTCTCGTTGAGTTATACTGAGAGGCGCATAAAGAACATATTCCTTTTTCGGTGGAAGACTTGTTTCCACATCGGATTTGAGCCGACGGAGTAAAAAGGGTTTCAGGATGGCGTGCAATGACTCGATGATGTGAGCAGTGCGGTCATTACCAAGAGATGTTTGCATCGTTGGCACATTAAACCTAAACACACCAGTCAACGATGTTATCAAGAGACATATATGGATACTAACCACGATTGGAAAGAGTCGACATCGTTGAAGATATCAGGGAGAACAAAATTGAGGAGGGACCACAGTTCAGCAAGATTATTCTTTTGAATGGATGGACATCAGTCAAATGGTGTACGATGCACCTGAATACTCACATGCAAAGGAGTGCCTGTTAAAATCATTCTGGAGGCACTTGGGTATTTCTTGATCTCGCGCGTGAGAGTACAATCGAGATTTTTTAATCGATGACCTTCATCCACAACGATGTATCCCCAGTTATATCCTGCAAGTTGGGCCCTGTCTTTTATTATCATTTCGTACGTTGTGACAACTACCGGGAACTTGAGGGCTCGCTTAGTTTCTTCGGGAGTCATCACTTCTTCTTCGATATCCTTTTCCATCTTTTTCGACCTGGAAGCAGCAGATTTACGAGTAACACCACGCCCTCTTCCCCTTCCCCTCCCTGGTTTCACGGGCGGTTTTGATTCATCAGCTATTCCATGAGTCTTCTTGATTGGAAATAGATCACTACGTAGAACTTCCCGGCGAAGAGTAGCTCTTTCCGCGGGAGTACCATGATACATGCATACAGGAATCTGAACTCTGAAGTCAGCTCGAGCAAAGGTTGGGAGAGGGAGGAGATGGAAAGGAAGGGACGAGACTCACTTCTGGCGCGAACTTGGCATACTCATCAATCCAATTATGCAAAACACTAAGGGGACACACAATGAGAAAGGGCATTGCAACGCCAAGCTCTCGAAGATGAGCGCTAAAAGCGATTGTTTGAAGAGTCTACGAGTGATCGTTAGTGGCCTGTGGTACACTAGAACAAATCTCTTCTCGCCTTGCCTAGACCCATTTCGTCAGCTATAGCCCGCTGTCAGCTGGATGCTTGTATACAAAATACAAGGGATAGCGCTCACCTAGGATTCCTGATATTCCATTGGTATGTAAGGATGCCATCCATTGCAGCCCTTCAAGTTGGTACGGTTTCAAGGTAGCCCCCGTAATGAGGGAAGGTTGCCGTATTACTTGAGACGCGTCTTCACTCGTTTCCGAAATTTTCCTCCGTTTGCTTACAAGAGACTCTTCCTCCTCTTCCTCTTCTTCTGACTCAACTATTGCGTGCTTTCGGCCTTTCCTGCGTCTCGTTTGCTTCTTGCCAGGGTTGACTTTAGAAGTGCTAGCGTCCGGTTGATCGAGCATCTTGCTGTTTGCATTATCCATTGACTGCTTGAGCATTTTCGAAAAGATTGCAGATTTCTCGAGAACGTAGTTGAGTCGCTCATAGCGCGCATCGACATCCTAAAAATGGTGAGAGTACAGTATATTTCACTAGCAAGAAGCGTACTGTTTCGTCCATTGAAATGGAGTTGGATCGCTATTTTCATTTCATTGGAGGTTAGATGGTCAGATAAACAGCGAGGATATAAAAGTGTATCACATTTTCAAGCGCGTCTTCTTCTTTCAGCTCTCCCTCATACATCATATTGGAGTCAGTTGGTGGTGGACTGGACGCAGCAGTGCTAATAGTGCTGGGAGCAACGCTTGTTCCCAGCCTAGAAGGTGGTGGTGAAGACGATGGAGAGGAGGTCTGAGACGACATGATGGTCTAAAATCAACGCGTCAATGAGCAACCACTAATTTGGCATGTGATCTTATTGTAAGTTTCTAACTCATGCCACCAACATTTGTCGAGTCGCTCATCGCAGGCGGCGCTGCGGGTACTGCCGTAGACCTTTTATTCTTTCCGATAGACACTCTTAAAACGCGTCTCCAATCTGCACAAGGCTTTACACACGCTGGAGGATTTAAAGGAATCTACAAAGGAATTGGAAGTGTGGTGGTCGGAAGCGCACCAGGAGCTGCTGCTTTTTTCTGTACATACGATACAATGAAGAAGACACTTCCGCTTCCTGACCATCTTGCTCCTGTCAAGCACGTTGTGTCTGCGTCCTTGGGCGAAATTGTACGTCGCTGAACTTTGTTCCGTAATCTCAACTGTTAATTATTCTAGGCAGCTTGTCTGATACGCGTTCCTACAGAAGTGATCAAGACACGAATGCAGACTTCTAGCTATGGTACTGGACTATCCTCATTTGCGGCTGCCCGAATTCTTTGGACAAATGATGGATTAAAGGGCTTCTATAGAGGTTTCGGTATAACCGTAATGCGAGAGGTTTGTGCACTGCCTTCTCGGACATCTAGTCTTTCTCAACAAACTGGCCACTCGCAGATTCCTTTCACCTCACTTCAGTTTCCATTATACGAACTTCTCAAACTGCGTCTGTCCGGTGCTCTAGGACGAAAGCCGCTTTATGCTCATGAGGCTGCCATATGTGGAAGTATCGCCGGCGGATTCTCAGCAGCAGTTACAACCCCTTTGGATGTCCTAAAGACAAGGGTTATGCTTGACATGCGGGTTTGTTAGATTGATCTGTTTGAAACGCGTTATCAAGACTCATCGCCATCCTCACAGGATCCAACCTTGCCTTCTCCTAGCTTGTTATCCCGCTTTCGTACAATTTATGTTGAGGAGGGCACGAGAGCACTATTCGCTGGGGTAGCCCCCAGGACGATGTGGATCTCCGCCGGAGGTGCTGTGTTCCTCGGGGTTTATGAGTGGGTCGCCGGTGGCTTAATGAGCTCTCGTCATGATACGGAAAAATAAAATATATCAACGAGGAACGTCTCTCTGCAGCCGTCTACCAGCTCTTGCCTTGCATTATTTTACGTAATCCGATGGGCCTCTGTGTTTTGGATGTCCTGCGCTCACTCGTCCGTTCCACTCAGGTTCTACCAATGATATTCTGCACCCTGATGAATTCCAGTAAATTTGGCATTGATTCCTTGGTTGTACCGCCTCTATTCTTGGCTCAACTGGTGAAATTCAGTCAAACCCTGATCTTCTACATATGTACATGCATCGTCGACTTCAAAAATGTTCGCTGTATGTTCGCAGTTGCCGACATTAGAGAAGAAACTGAGAACACGCACGACTCGCACAAGAAGAAAATCACATTTCGCAACTACTTTTATGCTCGCGCTCTTTGTAGCGAGCATTTTTACGGTGTGTAACGGTTGTCCAACGAAAGGAAGTCATTGTTTGATTTCATATTTGTGGAAGAGACGCCTGTTAGAGGTTGAACCAAGTTGAAGTTGGATTGGCCTCAATGTTGATATCGAGATCGGTTGATCACAATGAAACACAATCTTTCGAGTGCAATCTATTAACTTCTACATATCTAAGTTAGTATCAATCGTATGACAATGAGAGCGTAGGCGCTAACCTGCACTAACCTGTCCAGACCTGTTCTAAAGCGTTCTAACCTTTTTTAACTGAATGGTTAACCTATTAATTGGTGCTGGTCATCATGATCAAAGATGTACTGATATGAAGACTTATTCAAGTTGAAGATGCCTGGAGAGGTAAGAGATGCAAGGGAGGTAGAGTAATAAACATAATATGTATAAAAGAGAGTACCTAATCCTGAGTACTGAGTCCTGAGGCCTGAGGCCTGAAAGCTAAAGGAAAAATACTCGGATTTTGCCCGACGAAAAAGCATACATCAAATGCTCATGGATCATTTCCGGCGGCGACACTCGGTGAAACCGCCATTTCTGAATTACCAGGGTACAGAGGTTACCCGCCTTCTCCGGATCTATAGGAATGTATTCCACTTTCACTGCCTCCGGTGTAAAAAGTCATATCCAAGCAACATCAAACAGCATTATTGAAACTGTTTCCGTACAGGATCATCTCGATAATGTATCAACCTGATGAACGATTCGTATAAAAAGCCCAGAAACCCTGGTAACTATTTTCCCCCACAAGAGTTGCCTTATAGCTGGCCTATCGTCTATTCCGACATCTACACGACTTTTGACCTCACGGTTGTTGACGACCTTTTACGACCTTCACGAAAACACTATACGTATACGTCCGCACAATTTTGACGGATTTCCACATCCTCTCTGATTCAGCTATCCATTATCAACCCAAAGAGATTATATATCTGAACCCTATCCAACATGTCTTTTGTTGGCTCCCACACTGGAAGCGTTGTTTATCCCAGCTCTGCTCCCTCGAGCGTTGTTTATCCTGGTTCTTCCGCTTCAGGTGTCGTCTATTCCGGTTCTGTCCCGGGCGTCGCCTATTCCGGCTCTCCTGCCTCGGGTGTCGTTTACCCTAGTTCCACTTATACATCGTCTTCTTATGGACATGTACACCATGCTCCAGCCCCTGGGTCATACTACAGCCAACATGGTTATCCTTCGCACAATTCTGTACCGATGCAGGTACCGATGCAGCACAATTTCTACGGTGCTCCCCCAGTAGCGATGCCGTCCTACGTTGCTCCTATGCCAGCATATCATCGTAGTTCCTACAGTGTTCCTTACAGCTACGGCTCCCCTTACGCTGGATACAGTAACTCTCAACCCACAGTCATTGTCGCTTCTAGGTCGTCCAGCAGGCACCACCGCCGGTCGTCTAGCAGTAGCAGACACAGGAGATATTATTACTAAGGCAGGAGAGGTGAGAATGCGATAAATAAGCCCTGGAGACAGTTCAGTGGGTTTTCGGGATTTCGTGTACTCCTCGATGTACATAGATAATTGTATCAGAAAAGAATCAGTTTCTCGTCACAAAGTAGAATTTGAACAGGTGCTGTTCTTACGAAATTGTATCAAGGAGTATCTATGTACTTGAGCTAAGATCGATGCGTATATGATTTAAATAAGAGCTTTTAACTACTGGATATATAGCTACATGTAGTGCGCTGATAGCGATGTAAATTCAAATTTGACCGGAAGGAGCAGGGGCAGGTCCTGGTACACCGGGTGCAGGTGGTACTACATCAATAGGCTTCATCGCTGGGAAAAGAAGGACCTCTTTGATATCTAACGAGCACATTAATATCACTTCGGGAAGAAAACTGCGGGTATCACTTACTGGTAGAGTCGGTTAAGAACATCACAAGACGGTCAATACCTAACCCCCAACCGCCAGTAGGAGGAAGACCGTGCTCCAAACTACAGCAGAATATAAACGATGACGAAATCACTGGGAATATTGAGTAACCTACGCATCTATGAAAGTGTCGTCAATCCCTTGCGCTTCTTCATCACCTTGCTCTTTTTGGTGTACTTGCTCTTCAAACCTTAAGCGTTGCTCGAAGGGATCATTCAATTCCGTGTATGCGTTACAAAACTCCTTGCTGCACATGAACCCTTCGAAGCGCTCGCACAAACCGGGTCGAGAACGATGCCACTTTGCGAGAGGTGACATGACTTGCGGATGACCAACTGAAGTACCGGATAGATAAGTACGTATTCAAATCATTCGAGGTGTTCATACCAATGAAGGCTGGAGAAATACACAAAGGTTCGATGTATTCACCCACGAGCTGCAGGTATCACCAATGAATCGATGTACCAAATGAAGTAGATAAATCAGTACCTTGTCAAGGAGGCGAGCATTTGTTCGCGGCTCGCTGCACTCCACGTTGTGCTAGATGTGCCAGTTCATTTATGCATGAAGACTAGACAGTATGAATCACAAACCTTGGTACAAAGTTCTCGTAGGAATTTATTCGCCTCATCAGTGTGCAAAGTATCACCGGGGGGGAACTTGACGCCCAACTTCTCCTCTAAGGTTTCAATCATGTCGTATCGCTTCCATGGTCGCTGAAAGTTCAACTCCAGAGTTTTGGCCCCTTCCTGATCCTTGTCCCCATCCGGGTGATAAATCAACTTCGTCTCCCCTCCAGTTAGATACTTAACAAGGCCTTCCACCATCGCTTCTGTGATATCCATGACATCGTACATGTCCGCATAAGCCATGTAAAATTCACAGATGGTGAATTCCGGGTTATGCGTGAGATCGATGCCCTCATTTCGGAAAACGCGCCCAATTTCGAAGACGCGATCGAGCCCTCCGACTACAAGTTCCTTTAAATAAAGTTCAGGCGCGATACGTAGATAAAGATCAAGGTCGAGGTCGTTGTGGTGCGTGATGAAAGGTTTGGCAGTGGCTCCACCTGCAAGCAGTGATGTGATAGGCGTTTCGACTTCCATGAAACCAAGGTCATCCAGGAATCGCCTAATATAGTTTATGATTTTGCTTCGTGTAACGAAAATTCGACGGGTGTTCTCGCTGATGATGAGGTCGAGGTATCGCTTGCGATATCGTGTTTCTTGGTCCTTCAAACCAAAATGCGATGAAGGGAGCTGATGCAAATTGGGAGCCAGAAGAACCATAGTGGAGGGAGAAATGGATAGTTCACCCTTTTTAGTTCGCGAAGGAGTACCAACGACTCCGACGACATCACCGCGCTTGAATATTTCGTGTGTAGAAATAAAGGAGTCAGGATCTGCTGCATCTCTGGAACATAAGTCAGAACGAGACACGTTTCTATAACTCAGAGAACATACTGCTGATTAGCCATAATCTGTACTTTCTTCCCTTCGCCATGGAGGTCATAAAACACAAGCTTCTGCCCGCTAGACCGAATGTTGTGAATTCTGCCGGACAGGCTCTCCTCCACACCCGTAAGTTTGGTTCCAGCTATAATCTTGCCCTCGGGCCCATAGGTATCGATGTAGGAGGTGATCGACGTTGAGACGTGGAACTTGTGAGGATAAGGGTTAGGTTTTTGGGTTTTTTTCAAGTGAAGAATTTGACGAGATCGAAGCTCGAAGTATTGCTAGAGGAACAAGTTTGGCATTAGCTTCCGACTTGCAAAATATTCGGAAACACACATTGGGATTGAGGTCCTCATCGCTGACGTCCTTTTGCTTCTTTTGAGGCTGCGTTGGAATTGGTTTTGCAGCCTTGGCCGCTTCTTTTTGCCTTTGTTTTTCTCGACGCTTGAGTTCACTAATCAAGATCGATTAAACTATACAGCCAGGTAGCAAAACTTTTAACTAACCTTTTGGAAATCATCTCCCCAGTTACTGGGTCCTTCTGGGTACCAGCATTTTCTGTAGACATTGTGCGTATAAATTTGGACGCGTAAACTGACTTTCGTGACCTGAGTTCTATGTGGAAAGAGGGGAAAGGTCGCAAGAATCTACGCATTCAACTTTTTTCGAGTCACGTATCAGATCAGATTTGCAAACGGTAGAAACCGCGATGTTACGGACCGGGCGCAACAACTCATAAGTAAGTATGAAAGCTAATCTATTTTACCATCCAAAGTAGAACTCTCTGAATGCGACGTAGATGCCTAGTATCGCGGCAGAGATACGGATCACAAGAAGAGGTTTATGTTCTGTTGTCCAGGTATTATACGTTGCCGCCAGCCACTCTAGCCAAGCAAATATGCCTCCCAGCCCCGGTACGAAGTCCATTGCGTTGTTGGACGAATAATACCTGGCGCAGTTCCACGCTGGACAATTGCAAAGTATTAGCTGAATTTGAACACAACGGAACCTATGTAGCGACTGGCCTGAGATGTAGCCATGGAATAAATGAATGATATTGAAGCATACGTGAATGCAAGTATCTTGTAAGATAATCACAGGGAGAACAAATGAAATTGGACCAAGGAAAACCACACTCGAACAGCAAAGTACACTATATGGATGCAATATCACTGCTCGAGAAAATGAGCACTTGCTGGTGATTCTCGAAGAAGGATCATCTCACAGTAGGATTCAGCAATAGACCACGGCCGGGCCGAAGAAATTGTCAGAGCTCCGTAAACATAGTAGGCTTGAACAAAGTTGTTTATCAGTAGAATTACGCCCTGCGTCGAACGGAGATGTACCAATTCCTGGTATGCTTGAGAAGAACCAAAGACTTGCAAGGACAACTAGTTGCAAGACGGCCGTCTCTATAAGATCACAGTTTTTTTGTGTGTGTTGGTCATCGGATAATTTGGAGCTAATTTAAAATGACACTTACGCCAATTTAGTGTTCGAGATAACATCGTATAGACGGCGAATGCAATAATTCTGAAGTCGCAAAACAGCGTAGTCACGAAGAACAGCGCCAAATGTACCTGATGGTCAGAGTTAGCTGCTTGAACTGTTTGTGCTTGCCTCGTGTTCAATAGGAAGGATATTTCATGGTTCCATGAATTGCACGTTGAAGCAGGCTGCAGAATAAGATTTAGAAGCCGGGCCGAAGATCGCGCTGACGCGTCGCACGCGTCCTTTGGAGATATACCAATTTTTACTCTCTGCCATCATTCGTGCTCAAAATTTGAGCTCACTAAGCCAATACAACCGGACATACATATCTATCGATCATATCGAATCGATTGCAAATCGATGTCTCCTGAACACAAGAAATGTACTCATCTTGCCCAGGTGGCTTCTCTCCAGCCCCCAAAGCTGTCTCAGAGCGTACATCGGGAAGAGTGTACACAATGCTTCGATGATCAGGATACTTCACTCGGCATCTCCGTCTGCCTCATTTGCTTCAATGGCGGCTGCCTTAGTACTGAGCGGCATCACGCACAAACGCATTGGAAGAAGACCGGCCATTTGTTCAGTATTGATGTGAAGAGGGTTCGGAAGGAAAAGGACGAGAAGTCTGTTAGTCAACGAGCGAGTTTCAAAGTATCTTACTCTCTAATATTATTGCTGACCTCTTTTAGGCAGAAGGATCTGAACCGCCACTCAAAATGACTAAACTAGCCATCCTCGAAGAACGCGAAGAGGACAAGTACGACTATCTGACGAGTGTCAGATGCTGGGACTGTGACACTTTTGTGACTGACGAAAGTAGCTCCAAGGTACGCTTTGTTAATTCATTGTGGCTTGTCAAGTTGTCTTCACATTCTTTCCATCTTCGTCGTCGTGGTTCAGGCTTACGATCACCATTTGCAGATTCCGTCCCTGATTTCCTCGATTCTCACATCTCCCTCTTCCGCACGTCAATCCGAAGTTCAAGCTTGGGAGGAAGAAATCCTTCCTTGTGAGCACACACTCACATTGGACCAACTCCCTCTATCTGCCCAACCCATTGCTGAGGCAGGCCATGCCACCTGTTCCTCCTGCGATCTCACTTCTAATCTTTGGCTTTGCCTTACCTGTGGCTCTCTTGGATGTGGACGAGCCCAATTTGGGGTCACGAATGGTGGCAACGGACATGGGTTGGCCCATTATCAGGCCACGAGGCATCCTGTCGCTGTTAAGCTTGGGACCATTACCCCCGAGGGCAATGCAGACATTTATTGTTATCTGTGCGATGATTCGAAACTGGACCCATCTCTCTCCAATCACCTGGCTATCTTCGGCATCAACCTCTCGGCCCAAACGAAGACCGAGCTGAGTGTCACGGAGATGCAAATCGAACATAACTTGAAGTATGACTTTAGTTTAACAAACGAAGACGGGAAAGCGCTGGAACCTATCCACGGCAAAGGGCTAACTGGACTGAGAAATTTGGGTAATAGTTGTTACATGGCCAGTGTTTTGCAGACAATCTTTGCTTTACCTGAGTTCAAGGAGCGATATTATGCACTCGAATCAGCCCGTGCGCAGGACCACGCTGAAATTTGTCCCGAACCCCTTCCAGCTGATTGTGTGGAGTGTCAAATGCGGAAGATCGCGGACGGCTTGTTGAGTGGTCGATATACCAATCCAGCCCCTTCCCATATCAATGCTTCATCCCATGCTGGAGTTACTGATCCTAGTGGGTAGTTCCCCTCATTTAAATTCCGGGTGTTGATTAATTGAACATTGCCCTGGTAAGCCATTCCGGCATTTCAGCAAGGTCTGAAGCCCTCGACATTCAAAACCCTAGTTGGTAGAGGCCACCACGAGTTCTCAACTATGAAACAACAAGATTCGGAGGAGTTTCTAGAGTATCTTGTCAGTGTGTTAAGAAGGGATTGGAAAAAACGGGGTGGGGAGGGTAAGTCGCTCTCATTTGTAATGCCCAATTGTTGATCTGCGATTTCGAACCAAAAGATCCAACCCGGATATTCTCGTACTCGACATCCCAACGACTGCAATGCACCGAGTGTCGAAAGGTCCGATACAGGACAGATGAGAACGACGTACTGAGTATTGCCGTACCGGCGATTGAGAAAGGTGCGTTTACTTTGCGACCACTTTTAATGCTGCAACATTGAAAGCAACTCGCTACGCACCACAGGCAAAGACCCTCAAACCGGAAAGATGCTGTATGGAGACGTTTCGTTAATACAATGTATCGACTCTCTCCTCGCACCCGAACCATTGGAAGACTATCATTGTCCGTCTTGCAAAAAACCGGTAGTGGCTGCCAAGTAAGGCCATTTCTTTTCCACTTTTTATGCGGTGCATGTCTTCTATAGACGTTTCCCTCTTCTATTTGGTCATATTTTTCCACAAGCTAACTTCAGCCTCAAATAGACAAACTCTTGTATCATCTTTCCCGTCGGTCCTAGTAATTCACGCGAAAAAGTTCCAGTTAGTGAATTGGGTTCCAGCTAAATTAGGTTCGTTATTTGTGCATTCATTTGTCCATAGCTCGTTTCCTTCTTTCGGCAGATCATTCGTATCATCGTTTACTTTTTCCGCAGATATACCTCTTGTCCTCCCCGACGGAGATGTTCTCGAGTTCACCGAAAAACACTTTGGGAAAGGATTACAACCCGACGAGGAAGAACTACCTGAAGATGAAGCGGCACTACAGGAAGGTGTGTGTGCTCAGTGGAGTATCTTAATAACAGCTTAGCCTTTCACCTATTAGCCTCATTACCCCAATTCAATGAAAATGCTCTCGCTGCACTACAAGGCATGGGTTTTCCTCTCATTCGGTGTCAAAAAGCCTTGCTCGCTACCGGAAACACGGACAATGCCGAAGTTGCAATGGAGTGGTTGTTTGGGCATATGGAAGATCCTGGTGAGTTTGAAAGATAGTAGGGTTTTGATTTCCCCCATTAAAGACACATGTTACATATACATATGAGCTAGTCCTATACATTTATCTGCGATCGGCAAATTGACGCTCGTTTTCTCTTTCCTTCTGTTCTCAACTCTATCTATCTCTTGCTCCCTCCTGATTGCTTCCTCACGCTCTTTGTATAGATATAGACGAGCCCATCCAACCTGTAACAAGCTCACCGATGTTGGGACCTGAGCCTTCGGCGGAACAGATCAGCATGTTATCTGATATGGGCTTCACATCTGCACAAGCGAAAAAGGCGTTACGCGAGACGGTCAGTGTTTATTTTTCAAGGAGACTCTGGAATTGGTGGAGATTTTAATCCATTATGGATTTGGGGTATGCATTGACTCGTACTGATACCGGAACGTGTAAATAGGGCAACGACATGGAACGTGCTGTGGACTGGTTATTTAACCATCCGGATGATATAGGGGATGACAATACCGGTATGTTCGAACGACTCCATGTCTACTCACTGACAAAGGATATACGGTATCTGCCTTCCCACTTTCCAGTGCCAGCCCCAGCTCCTCAGGAAACCCAACCCAAACCCTTAACCGACTCTACTTTACTCCCCGCACGCTACCGTCTCAAAGCTTTCATCTCACACAAAGGACCCTCAGTTCATTCAGGTCACTATGTCGCTCATATTCGGATGCATGTTTCTGCTTCGAGTAACGACGGTAAAGAGGTATGACTAGAGTGTATTCTGATTTGTTCTCTGTGCTGACCTTCGAGCATAGGACGCAAGCATGGATCTAGATTCAAAAGAGGAAGAACGATGGGTTCTCTTCAATGACGAAAAAGTAGTCAAAGCGGACGAGGAAAGCGTCAACGAGTTGAAGAAATTGGCCTATCTATATATTTTTGAGCGCATTTAAAATTTGTCGTACAGCAACTACTACTAGCAACCTTGATGGGTAGAATTGCGCACAAATACAAATTTCATACGTTCTTTGACAAAGTGATATGGACCGTTTGCCAGTTGGATATCCAAGGGCTGTCCATTTATGAAGGAAGACATCCCAAGGAGAACAAGGACAACTGAATTTAGAGAACTGAGGACAAAAAGAAATTCATCACTTATGTAATAAGCACGTTCGGGCGCTAGATATGCATTCGCTCCTCCCTCTATTCTGTCTTCAACAACTAACACATCTGCTGGTTCATCCTAATCTTTGACAATATCCCCGACGATGGCCTCGGCCAAACCTTGTGCTCTATTTCATCTACTAATATGCATACCAATTATGGCGCTTGCCCTTGATGACCACCAACGACAACCACCATCTTTTCCTTCGCTGAAGCGCACATCCCATACTCGGCGGAGTGTTCCCTCAGACGGCTACTACGATCCTTCTAGCAATGGAGGCTCTATGCTGACTGTGAGGTGCAAACTTACCTTTATTCATCAATCACTGAATATCCTTAGATTGTCGACGGTACTTTTCCTCCAGGTCAAGGAGAGCCTTTGAACATTATTATTTCTGGAAACTCGGATGAAGCAGTGCTCAAGGACCAAGAGACAGATGGAGGGCTGAGGAACTACTGGCTGTACGTCCTCGTTTTTGGTTTGTTATTTGGCTCATTTGAGGTCATAGTTCATTTGACTATGCGGGTGAATGTTTGGGACAACATGCTGGCTCACAACAGGCTGCCAATCTTGGAGATAATAATGGCATCTGTATGTGAACAATGTCATTCTCCATTGCCAACACTAAGTCTACGACAATCAGTGAACGAAACCGATGAAATTCGGTATGACTACAATGATCCGCAATTAGGTACTTGTACCGAGACAATACAAGGTGGTGGTCATTTCCGTTATTGGACACAAAACGGTCCAGGCGCAAACAGCGGTGCTATCTTCATGGCTTCCTCATACGAACTACCTCTGACTGGTATGCACAATCGGTTCGTCATCCTTCATCATCACTCAAAGTCGCTTAGATGGCCATGACATCGTATCGAATGGTTACAACCTCGGTCGAGATTGGATCATTGGAAACATAACCCAAACCAACATACCCACACTTAACCTTACAAATTCCTCCTCATACTCTGGTACGACGTCTTACGGAGGATACACTTATTCTACCACTGTCAAGTACGTAACGGGATTGTTGAACAACACCAGCGTCGGCATCAATCACAATCTTACTGTGATGACATCGAGCTCGAATGCAACTGATGGGTTTGTCGCAGTCCTTGAAGTGAAGATCACAGAAAAGCCTGCGAACAGCGCGTAAGTAGTGGTTATTTCTCTGCCCTTGCATCACATTAAACATTCAGCCTTTCCGTCCGCTTAGCGATCTTCTCATTCCCTTCTTCGGATGGCAGCTTCCGCCATTACTGCCCCTCTTTTTCGCTACCATCCTTCCACTCATCTCACTATAAAAAATGATAGTGCCATAGATCTGGTCCCGGTGACAGAACACCTACATTACCCTTCTACCCTCTAGTATTTTGGAACATGCCTAACGAAAAGACATTCCTATTGCCTCTCGGATAATGAACCATATTTTCACACTACAGCTTTTTCTTTCTCTCATATTCAACTTCGTTAATTCACTCATGTCACATACCGCACACCAAGGACTATATCTACCTAAGCCCTCTTACATTTGCATGTCATACTTATCAATTGAATCCAGAGACACCTCGGCATCACTCGAAGTGTTCATGCTTCTTAGACCTATTGTTGTAAATAATCAGGCTTCTTCACGTTCTTGCACTGCGTTGCGCACCGTTCATCACTCCTTGTAAGTAATTCCTCGTATGCATGCGGATAAAAATATACCATGTAAGGTATGTATTATCTCCAGACTCCATATCATGATGTTCCCTGGCTTCGCTTGTGACACACAGGACACCCACGTCCGATCCGAGCTCGAACCACTCCTTCACTAAGACAAATGTCAGAGAACATACATCTATGACCACTAGATGATTCGCACAATGCAATTCGACCACTGAGTCCTCTCCCTCCCACACCACTAAGCCCCACACCCCTCAATGCCGGGTCAGGCAGCTGTGGTAGCTCCGTCTCGTCACCGTTCGGGCGTGCACATCGGGCGTGAACTGTATGTCTACAAAGGAATAGTAGAACCAACTGTTGAGGGGTTTCTTGAAGCAGTTGAGAACATATGTGACATTTAGATTTTGCTGGAAATTTTCGAAACATTACTTTGATTGTAGAACAAGAGAGAGGGCGTACTTACCAGTCAAAAAGAAACCACTTGTCTGATCTTTTTGAACCCGTTTGCTCAGCTCGGAGCTATCACCGTTGAGAATGGTCTGACAACCTTCCAGTAATGATATCTGCAGGTGGAAATCCTGTAAAATCTGTTTTGGATGGGTTAGAAGTTTGGAAACGGGACGCTGATTTGAGACACTCACTTTGATTAAAGCACCCTTCAGTCCCGGAATCTCCAGCCCATTCCTGATTCTACGAATCAGCCGGATGGGGTTGATATCCGAGCCAACATTTTCAAGGAGGCCACGGATGAATGCTATATGTTGTGTGAGTCAATCAGTGCATGCATAAAACGCAATGAAAAAAGAAAATGGGGGGAAGTGATGAGACAAGAAAGATTGAGAACTCTGACTCACCGGGTCTTGTCTCCGCATATTTCAGCAAATCTTCCCATAGCTCGTCGTCAGCTTGACTTTTAGCAAAGTCGATAGCCTGTGCAACAAGAATTCATTTTGCATGGACTATGACACAAACCACGCACTCACTCTCTCAACATCGCCCAACCTTTCGATAATCAACCCCAGCGCCTTCTTATTATCACCCATTCGTCCAAGGAGAAAGACCATTTCAGGGATGAGGTCCCGCTCCTGACAAACTTCGTAGGCCTTTGGGTGATGGGGAACGGGGGAAAAGCAAATTAATCATCTGTTATCATCCAAGCGAACACATTTCGAATAGACAGCCCACCTTTTCTAGATCATAGTCCGTACTTGATCTCAGAAAGTCAATCAGCCTTGGTCGAGCATAATCGGCGTAGAGCTTAACCTAGGACGAAATTCATTTCACAGCCCCGCGAACAGAAAACAAGTTCTCACCTGAAGATTCTGTAAATCCATGAAACCAGAGCCTGAAAGTAAATTTGGATCTTTCCCAACCAGAGCGTCGAGATAGAAGAAAAGATACTTTGGTCGTGGAGCAAGCTGGGAGACAACTTTGTTGATCTATGGAGAGAACGGCTTTCCTTGGTTAGGAAAGAAAGCAATGTGACACAAACATCACTCACAGGTATAGAATGTATGTTATCCACCAGCAGTCTTATTGATTTACTTGGCGGATCTTCATCCTTTTCTCCATTCAATCTCCCATCAAGTTCGAACTCGAATTCGACCAAACTCAACACCATGTCCTTCACGTCCGTGTATAGGTTATTCTCTTCAATGAGCTCAAAGACATTCGGACGTCTGAGTTTGAGGAAGTAATGTAATGCTTTCCCTGGTTGACGATTGGATGTGTATCTGGGGAGAATATGAGACGAAATAGAAGCCCCTAAGTAATGTCGAAACCCACAGTTCAGCCAAACACTCCATGAGCACGACCGACTTGGCTTTGTCGATAGTCTCATGCGATACCTCGACCTTGTCCAATTCATCTTTCACAGCGACAATGACCGCACCAACGTGATATATATCGTGTGGCCATTCTTTGATAGTTTGAAGAATCATCTAAAGCACGGTGGGTCAGGATAGGTCTAGTATTTTGGTGAAAAGATACCTTAGCGTCATGAGCGAGGAAATAGGCTAATATCATTTCATATACCACCCTGTTCAAACGGGGTTGTTGTGTTGGCACGTAGGGGATGATGGACTGTGGAATGATGTTGTGAGATAAGGTATAACGGTTGGCTATTTCAACAGACCTGCAATTGTCTTTTCTCTGCGAACACGAATATCCAATCCTCCCATCGCTTCGGATCCCGAACACAAATTTTGGGAAGGAGTTCAGCAGCTTTGGGAAATGAACCTAAAGTACGATGATAAAAATGTGTGAACAGATAATCAATAAATGAGACTGACTCACCTTCACTTATCAAACTCTCCGCTAACTTCTGTCCCACGTCGACTGAGGTGAGCTTGACTCCGTTGACTACTTTTTCACTAAATCCATTAGCACTGTCACCTTCTTCGTTTTTCTTCGATGACCCCAGAGAATGCTCTATGACCTCCAGTGCTTCCAATGCCTCCCCGTACCTTTCCCTCTCGACCAACCATGCAACATGGTCATGCTCGTCTCTCGGTCGGACAAGTATCAGGTCGCGGGGGGAGAGAACCACGTACCAATCGGTCAGGTTTACGGTTGGACTTTTGGCCGATGCTGGATCCAACGTCCTAGCCAATTCGGCGTCTGCAGATATTGGACCGGCAAGTTTATAGTCTCCACAGGTCCATGCTTGATACCCACTGACACTTAGTGCATCTGCAGCTAGTTCCTCACCGCCCCGACTAATGATCCTTAGTTCCGGGCGCTCGGAAAGAGCCTTCGCTTGTTTGGTGCGGTCGGTATCAGAGGTAAGGAGGACATCAAGGTCCAAAAGTGCCGTCTCCGGTGGCGAAAATGTAAGTAGTAGGAAGGACGTAAGAGGTGGTGGATTATTCGGCTGAGACGAGTTTGGCTTGAGGAGACCATTTGTGTTGTTGGAACGGGAGGATGAGGTGGTGGAAACGATGGACTGTGGTCGAGATCCAGGCGCAGATGCTATTGCTATCGGCATGGGGTGGGGCATGATTCCTGCAATCATTGAATCTAACTGAAAGACTTTGATGACTTCGACCATAAAACCAGTCTCCCTTGTTCTGACCCGAGCGACTTTAATAAAATCTGCCCAAGCCAACAACAACGTCTGCTCGTCCTGCCACACCAGAGTAACAGGAAACAAGTCTGGCCGGGGAGCATCCTTGGGACGATCGATGAAGGCTATCGTTGATTTGTTGGACATATCATAGATCTTCACACCCAGGTCATTTGCCCATGCAATAAGACGACCAGAAGGCGACCAGCGAACCAGCCAAATTGGTCCCTCCGATGAGTGTAGAACTATTTCAGTATGACCGACTCCAAAAAAGCCGCGTTTCTCGCGTAATGACAAAGTACCGGCCAGGCCTCCGCAGACGAAGGCTCGAGATGAACGATGAGCAAAGAAAGGCTCGAGGGCAACGGTCCTTAATGGGCGTCGGAGGTCGAAGGAATAAGATTCACGGGAGGAGAGGGATATGATGATTACTTGGCCGTCAATGGATGCAGTAGCAATAAAATCACCTGTTTCGTCTACACAAATGTCGACAATAGATGCTTGGTGGGATTTGTATGACTTTATTCTGCCACCATTGAGGTCAAGAAGATGAACAATGCCTGCGTGTGTACCTAATGCCTGTATGTACCAGTTGAATATAGCATATTAGTTCAAATGGAAAGGACACGTACCATGAATTTATTCGATATAGCCAGCGCGGAGGCTGAGTCCTTCTTCAGCAGTGCAGGTAGCTCTCCACCAATTCGTTCATATTTCAGTGCTGGTTCTTCTTCTTCCCCCTCCTCCTCTTCCTCCTCCTCTTCCTCTTCATCACTATCTTGCTCAACACCTTCCGAGTCGTCTTGGAGCTCTTCTACAGACTCTTCACTCGAACTAACATCCTTCTCCGTCTCACTATTTACCACTTCGTGCTCCTGACCATCCACATGCGTAACACTAGAATCTGCTTCCTCTCTTGTCGTATTGACCTCCGTATCCGCCGTCGTTGACATGTGCTCATCGGCCAATTGCAGGTACCAAATAATACGGTGGTAACGTGGCTATCCGAAGAAGGAAAGGAATTTATTCAAATATTGGCGTCAAAGTTTGGAGTAGTATAAGACGCGTTCGAGTAACAATATAGGAATGAAAATTTAAGCTAGTGAGTTGGGGAGCAAAAGTGTTCCGTTCCGGGGGTCCGGCTGCATAACTTAGATTTGAACTTTTCCTAACCTTCAAGTTGAAACCGCGCCCAAAAGGTTTACGCCATAGAGAGATATATTCAATCCGATGGGTATACAAGATCATAATGATTGAGAACATAGTCCTCATCATCCGTAAATTCCTCATTCTGTACTCCAACCTCTTCTGGACATAGTTCTGATTCCACTTTAGCGTCCGGGTCCATCACTCCCTCTGCTAAAGCATTCCGACTGGATTCTCGACCTTGCTTTGAACGATTGACAACGTTAACCGACACGGTTGAACCCGATTCAGAAACATTGTCTCTCATTATGATATCTTCTTCCGCTGAGGCGACCAAAGTAATCCCATTGGATCCTTGCCCCTCCTCGCTCTGTACTTCAATTGATGGACCCGATTCAAGAGATCCGAAAGTTATACCTTCCTCGACCTCAACTTCCATCATATTTGCTAGGGTGGCAGGAAGTGAATGGGTCTTCATTTTCATTTTGCCAATCGATCTAGCCTGTGGTTCGTACAAGACAGAAGGTGCATTCGGTGGTAAATCATCTAGATGGCTAGCAAGAAGTTTGTTCAACGAGTTTCCATAATAATTGAAAGTAGGAATGCGAGTAGGCGATTCACAGGGAGACTCGCTTGGCGGCGGAGTAGGGTAATCCGACCGAGGTGGAGGTAACGATTCCGAAAGAGCCTTCGAATGTGACGGAAGTGGTGGTGGCGGGGTAGAAAAGAAAGGACTCGATGATGCACTTAAACCTGACGCTGCGGCTTGCGTGGTCATTTCGGGACCATTAATCAAGTGTCGAGGAAAGTAACTGAATGGACTCCAGAAGGATGATTGTGTCATGGGCTCGTCCTGAGGATGAGGTGAAGAATATGGATTGATTTCCTCACCATCATCATCGGACATGAAAGCATTGGATCCCTGACGGGTAGAAGACGCGGAAGATGATGCACTAGCCACGATAAGTAGCTCATCATCGGCCATTATTCCTACCTCGGTAGACGCTTGAGTAAAAAGTGAGTAAAAGAAAAGGAAGCTTAAAAAATCTAAATACCATCGTTTTCTGATTGAAACTTTCCTCCATTTGCAGTTGGGTGTCTGAGATTACTCGGAATCGTCTCTGGGGCGAAGGCCCCTTCACCGAGATCAAGTATCACCTCCTTCTTTCCCTCGCCTTCGTAACGAGCGTCCATATCAATTAACGCATAATGAAGATCTAGACCTGTTCCAAGAAATTTTAGGGATCTACACCACCACCATGTAACTTCCAAAAAAACACTTACCTGCAGTCGACTGAGAGCGTTGTATCGTTTCCCGGGCTTCTTCGTTCAATGATCTAAAAACTACAGGCGGCGGCGAAGCTAGCCTCTGAACACATCGTATCAAGAATTTCTTCCTCTTTGCACGTTGATCATCCTTATTTTGCGACAAAGAATCTTGACTGGGCAAGGTCGGGATATTCGTGGGGGGAAGATCAGTTGTTGCAGATTCCTGAGACCGAAAAAGGTGATGTCCGCTAACTTTGTGCATGATAAGTACAAAGATCACCTTTGAATAGTGAGAGTGAACCAATGAAGGTATCCGAATCGTCAACTTTGGGTGGCCCGCATCAACAGAGATCGGGTTGATTGGGGCACCTCTAAATTTAATTTTACTACTATTACCAGTATGTGGCGTCGGCGAGTTCGTCATGAACTGAACGGTAGGATTGTTAGATTTGCAGCATTGGTAGGATCGTTAATATAGGATAGTCACTTACTGCAGCAGGGATATGGAAGTTAAAGGAATCAGCAGATTATCGAAGTGTCACTAACGTTAGGCTGATATACCTTCAGCGATGAGAACGCGCAGTTAGGAACAAGCAAATGAAGGTGCTGGTCATGGATTCTGAGCTACGGAGATTGAACTACGCAAGTTACGAGAAGGAATTCACTATAAGAGAATTTTGATTGCAGTTTTTGCCGGTCACGGTGGTATCGGGCTACTACTACGCTATCATACTATAATGTTTATTGGAAAGTGCTGCATTAGATCGTAAACATCGTGAATGTCATTAATATTCGTAGATTATAGGCTTTACTATGTGAAAACTAAGAAACGACAGAAGGAAATTGCAAGTGATTCGAAGTGATCTTTAAAGTTATACTTTTATCATCGGCAAGTTGGTCGAGCAACGCCTTCAAGCTTAGATCCAGGTCGGTGGCGAGACCAGGAATAAGGGGGAGCAAAAGGTGGATATGAACTGCTCGTAACCTAGTTGTTGTACATTTGTCAATCAAACATCTGCATTCAATGAAATCGCGAAGGCTTGCGGGATGCAGATGCGGAGTGATGCCAAAACTTAGAGTTTCTAGAAATGGAAGAGCACGATCCAACGGAAGAGAGGAGGGATCAGGAGAGTTAGAGACGGTACCCATGAGCCTGGGGGGCGTTATAAACCGAAAAATCCTCTCGGACGTCGATTTCCAAGTCGGGAGATACAGAGCTCTCAAGCTTCGGTTCACTACTCCCAGATAGATTAATAACTGATCATCTGTCATCATTTCCGAGTCTAGCTTGAGCTCCTTCAAGATGCATAAGGACCTAGACAAAAAGTGCATCAGCTCGGTATGTGGCCAAGCTTCATCTCCCACAGTGCTGAGTTTCAATGACACGAGAGCAGGTAGCGTGAGGAGATCAAGAACGTTCCCAAGGAAAATATCTTCGCAGCTCAAGGAGAGCTCCTCTAATGCGGAGTGTACGACCTTTGGCATCTCCTCCCAACGGGTAAGATGATTCAGTGACTCGTCTAGGTTCATGACAATCACACATCGAACAAGTTCGGGAGAATTTCGTAGTAGGAGAAAAAAATCCTCCGGAGGGATCCCGTACGCTGCATCGAGGTTAATGGTGCGCAGGCAAAGGCACCATTCTTGACCTCGAACTATGGGGAGAGGTACCATGGACGAATCAAAATAAAGATGACGTAGATTTGGGGCGGAGTGGACCAAGGATCTAGTCCATATAATCTCCTGAGCAGTGTTTTCGAAGGAAGTGATAAGATGTAATCTCTCCAACTGACCACAAACGTTATCCCCTACCGGTCGCAAGGCTGGCACAGCACGGATGACTGGCAGTGCAAAGAGAAGGGCAAGGGCTCGCATGCGGGGAAGATGAGGGATAAACATGGTGAGAACTTTGGTAGCAGCGAGCGGGACAAACTCCTCATACGAGGTCGCGCGCCTTCCATGAAATCGATCCGTAGACCGAACAAGCAGCGTAAACGTCAGAGGTACGTTTCTCGACCTATCGAGCCAGAGTTTGGTGATTTCGCAGTGAGATGAGCTTCCGTTCGACGCATTTATAATCAATGTTGACCATAAGCGTGGAGTAGCGATAGCGATACTGCGCCAGCTCCGACATACCTGAGTCAGTAGCAAGGGTGCTTGATCAGGATGGGGCTCCGGACGCATGAAAGACAAAATATCCACTTCAGGTAAGCATTGTAAGAATATCTCTGAGATGATCTCCATGGGCAGCTTTCGAGCACCCGAAAGCAGAGCTCTGTGTTCCAAGAGATCCGATCGAGCTTGAACGAGTTCACTGTTTAGAATGCGAGCCTTTTCTTCGAGTTTCTGCAGATGCTGAGCCTTCATCTCTAGTAAATCTGTGATTATACATCGTTCTTGAGCGGAAAGGGCAACGTTCGTATGCAAGAGACGGCTAGTTGCAGAGGTGCGAATAGACTCGTCCATCGAAGTATGGGGTATGGAGGTATTACCTTAGAATCCTGAAATTTATGCTTTTTGCAAAGTATCCGGAAACTCTAACCGCGGAGCTCCGTGAAAATCAAAGTTCTGTCATTAGATTTGCTGACAGAAAGAATAGATGCCACTGGGTTCGCGCTGAGCATCCCAAAATGTTCAGTAATGTTGTTTTATCCTTCCAAGCGAGATGCTCCAAGGGGGTGCTTAAGCGTTCCTCGCATTCGCACTGTGTGCACTGGCGTATATATAAGATGAATGGAATGGGCAGAATGAGCACGATAAAAATACAGGATTGATTAATCTGTACCTCTGTTCTATATAGGTTGAGTATATGATATGTAAGAACTGCATAATGTCCTTCCTGAGGTCACACTGGGAACGACAAGATTTCTGCAAAAGTTGATCCCGCTTGCTCATACTTGATCCCACTTACTCATACACGAATAACCATCATAGTCTAGAAACGCGAGTAAGTATCATGAAACATACTCAAATCATTATGCTTACCAAAATTTCGCTTGGGATCACAAGTACATTTCTCCTCCTTCCACGTATCCTCATTTCGTGGACAATGCGTGTAGGGATTGTGTTCATACCCTATCTGGTCAAAAAATTGTATCTGGCTTGCGGGCGCAAATAACGCAGCAGCTATCGAATGTACAGGGGCATCCCCCCATCGCTACATAAGCCATTGTAAAATTGCGTGACTGATATTTGAATTGATATGAGCACGCACTTCGTAATAGAAACCGCCTTTATCGTCCAAATATTCAAAGAATTTGGTGTAGGCCTCGCCACGCCAGAACGACATATCCGCAATCTCAAAATTAGACCAGACTGCATATTTGGGCAAAGTCTGTGAGCTCCTCCGTCGCTTACAATGTATAAGACTTACAATGGCAAAGATTGTACGTATCGCCGCCGGTATCGGACAGGAATCTCATCGCATTGTCTTTGGCCAGGTATTCTGGATGTAGCTTGATGAAGTCTATTATTGCCAGCGTAGATGAATGAAGGTTCAGACAAAGCCACAGCTCGGAACCAACCTTTGACATGACTCCAAAGACTTGGTATAGTTTTCTCGAACTCGTACATCGCGATAGTGAATGCGTAAACTTTATTGTTTTCCTCCATGTAGGCAAAAGGATCGAATCGGATATCACAGTGGAAATGAACGTCCGGCCTGAAAAATATGTGAATAGGTTGTTCTCATATGTCTCCGGAAGAAACCGTACTCTATCCGCCAGTACCATCTATACTTTTCCATCAACGGATGCCGAAAGAAGAACTGTGTTGTTTGTTTTAAATTCATGCATCATTGAACAGCGAAAGAAGACGTACTCCACTGTTGAAACGACACATGTTCCTGTAACTTAAGCTTCCGCCGTAAATGATACCTTGCTCAACCATCCGATTTCTCCCAGCATCTGCCTTCTTCTCGTCAATGGAGCTTGGTTGATACCAATGATCTCTGGGTATGGTTCCAAATTCCATTTTGGCGGCTGATAGCACCGAGACGCGCCTATTATTTGGTAAAGAAAGTAAGAACAGCTCTGCTTGCAGAAGGGCGACCGAATACACACTTTTTGAAATCGTCCGAAAATGATTCCTCATTAAGGAACACATAAGGATATCTGAACCGTCTGTTGAATCTGTCCTCTATTTCTCGAATGCTCCGCACAGTTCCATCGATATCGGAATTTCTTGCCAATATTACAAACGTGGCGTTTGCCCGGTGATCAACGGTCAAACTCTCGTTCGCTGACAATACTCGGGCTGTGAGAAGAATGTCTCTCCAGACGAGTTTGTACTCACAGAAAGGTGGGTAATATCGGTCAGGTATAGGCGTGATATCTGCTGGTGTAACTCCTTTGAAGTGTGAAGTGAGGGAGTTTAACGAAGTGGCTCGTCTGTAGTCGGTGTGCGTGAAAGATAGGACATAGTGAACGGTGATCTACGAATGAGCCTCAAATCAGTAAAACGGGCCAAGTCAAGAATGGTATTGTGGAAATTTGAAGACATATATAGAGACAACAATGGGAAAAACTCACTACAACACCGAAAACGGCTAAAAGGTATCTCAAGGTCGTATTCATCTTTAGCGATTGGAAATGCTAGAGGTTTGAAGATTACTGGAAATTTTGTTGAGTCTTGGTTCAAAGTTGGGTGTTCATCGAAGAAAAGGATGTACTGCGCATCACGCACAGCGGCTCCAAGGCTCTGACCCAGTTACGCAAAAAAACCGGGCCGGTCTTCCAATTCCGCGGACATGACAAGTGAATTGAATTCGAAGTTGTGGAGAAGGTTTGTACTGTACATATTCGGTGGCGATGAGCAGTGGTGGTGAGCTTGCATGCGTCGAAGTTGTGTTCCTCGGACATTACAGCCTGGGTCTATTTTCTTCGTCGGCCCGATATCTAGATGATCCGGACCCTGCTGCTCAATGTCGACACGAGCAACAGCAACCACTCGCTCAATGTCCCGACACACTGTGATCACGTCGGTGACTCTCAATTGTCTGAATGCCTTACCGTGCCCCTTGCGGCCATCCAACACTGTCACAAATTGCATGCATCTAAATATTGATCATGTGCAGGTATGTTCATGGTTTTTTCGTGCACTACATAACGTTGAAGCATCCACTACACTTCAAAACAACTCCGACTGTCCAGCTGTTAGCCCGCCGAAATAACAAGTCAAGGCTTTGAGCTTTCGCCCCATCCATTCCTCCTCGACCTCAATGAACTCTTGGATATCATCTTTCGAGTTATCGTTCTTGACTAAAGCTGAAACCTCGTCCAGGTCTGTGTTACGCGGGAGGTAGTATGCGATATTGGGGGTAATACGGTTAGAAAGCTTGAAGAGGTCAACACCATGAATAGGTTGAATATCTGATAGAGCGAAAGGCGCTGGCATATTTTCATTCGGGGATGAGTTTGAATCAGAAGGCGAGCCTGATCCTGACAAGTATGAAGGACCACCCCAAGGAGGACTGAGAAAGACGACATCTATTTTTCGAGAGGCTGCTGCTTTGGGAGAAGATAAATACATCTCGGCAAATGAAATGTAGTCAGCGAGTATGAATTCAATATGCTGAGCGACCCCGTATATCTGTGCATTATGTCTTGCTAGGGCAAGACGGGTGGGTGAAATATCTAGGGCAATCACTGGCGAATCAGTCAGTTGAGCTAAGCTACTCGATCCACGCGTGCTCCACGAACCACGCTGGCAGGTTTTTGCGAAGGCAATGGCATTACCGCCGACACCACAGAATGCATCCAAAATCGTATCACATCGACAACGCTCTGCTATTTGATTTGCGATTCGTTCTGGAGTGACGCTATACCATCCTTCTTCATCGAGTAAACAACCCGGAGGCGTAGAGTATAGCGAAAAGAATCGTTCCCGTTGAGCGTAATCTGTGGAGGGAATTGTTGAACGAAAACAGACTCTTCAGAAGTACATACTCACACTTCTTCAAATTATCTGGCACCTCCTGCATTGTTTCAAAAACTGGAATCGATCCACTCATATCATATTTTTGCACTAATTTTGTCCTCGAGGTTTCCATATCTTCGGTACTTTCACCATCAGACTTTCTCTTCTTTTTCGAGGATTGAGACTCTGCAGAAGAGTTGAGAGATCGTTTTGTGCCGTTTCGCACATCGACTGGAATGTCAGGAGTTATTTTTTCCGCCTGCAAAAAGCGCGAAAGTCCGCTGAAGCCAGTACTTCGTTTGCCCATGAGGATTCTAAGTTGAAATGAGAATTATGTAATGTCATGCTACTCTCACTCGCCGTCTACGCATTTTTTAGAATTCATATCAGATTTATTACGCATAGACATTATGCTGGACAGAAGTGTAAGTTAAACTGTTCAGCACTACATGGAATCCATAAATACGTGCAACGTATGAGGACATTGAAAAGGCATTGACACAGAGATATTGAAACACGCAGAGGAAGGGAAAGAGAAAAAAGGAAAGAGTCATCATCACATACGAAGAAATGTTGCAACAAGAAAATGAACGAGAAAAAAGGTGATACAGGTTCTTGGTCGCAATCGCAAAGCCCAAAACAGAGGTCGACTAACGGACAGTTCGTGTGGTGAAGATGAATGGCATTTAGATCTTTTGAATCCAATGCGTAATAAAAATCGAGAAAAGACAAGTATGTCTACACAAAAAGACATCAGTGAAGCGCCATCGGGTCAAAATCAAACGACTAACACAGAAACGTTGAATTTGTCATCGAGAGTCAAAACTAGGATCCAGCTCTTGGCCACATGTCCACCACAGTCTTTCTTCGTTCTCTTGGCTTCGAAATCGGGAGAATAGACGTGGCAGCACTACGGTCAGCGGGATGAACGTTTCCGTTCAACGTTCTAGAGCCATCTAAAGACATTCTCGAACGGTCCCCCTGGCGCCCAATGGTGCGAGCTGGACCTCGTTCGGTCTCACTCCCAGATTCAGTTCTAGTAACTCTAGAAACACGCTCGGCCGATTCCGCACCACTGGCGCTGGAATTGGATTGCGTACGTTTTCGCTGTCTCTGCTGTTCTGCAAGTTGCTGTTGTTGTTGAAGGCCTGTTAAAGCAGAAACCGTGGAAGACCTAGAAAATGTGACAGTGGAGCGGGGTGTGGCACCTGAAGATTTACCAGAACCCGAGCCTGAATCAGAACGAAGTATGGGAAAATCTTGACGCTGACTGTTAGAGACGGTATGCGGAGTGAGAGCAGTAGTGGGAATATTGGGACTACTCAGGGGGAAGGGACCGCGAACAGTATTCGAACCTGTGGTTGGTCTATGCCTAGTCGAGGAAGCCGGTGTTTGTGTTTGGCGACGAGTTAAGGATTCAGATGGAAGTTGAGCGAGAGGCTTCGGAATGGATAATGGAGGAAGCGTCCGAGCGCGGTCTAGCGTAGCACCGGGGCGTTCTTGGTTCCGGTTGAGCTGAGCTCGGGAAGCGGGGGTAGGAGAAGGATCGAAAGCAACAGCATGTAGCGTTTCTTGAGAGTCAAATGTAACCAAATTTCCACGACCGGACTCTTGCGCACGAGATACATTTGTACTTTCATTTGATTGTCGGGAGCGGAGAGAAATTGGCGTTTCATGATCCCTCGCATTTAACACTGAAGAGGGTCTTCCACTCAAGGCGCTCTCTGACCTTTTTGGGCCTGTAGACAACCTCTTCACATCATCACCCCAGCTTCTTCGGGACTCTTCACTGCGTCGACCACTTCCAGTACTACCACCATCTGAGCCCAAGCTGTTCCTCGTCAGTCTACCTCCGACCTCATCTAGGCTTACACTCCGCCCATGACTATCTCCCCCTCCTGTCATGTCCTTGACTGCGCGCCCCACACCCAATAAGAAATCAGTCACGCTCCGCACAAGCTCGTCACTAACTCTCATCTGATCCCGGTAATCAGCTCCAACAGTTCTCCAGATATCTGCTGCCTCATCGCTAGTGCCGCCATCAACTTCTGCATTGATTTGAGCATCCAAAGCCTTGGTCATCGCCACACGAGTCATCAGATTGAGTTTCTCTGCGGCACCAGCTATGTTTTGAGCATTCCGCAACAGGTCACTGGTGGTTGCACTTGAGGTCGATGGTAGACGGGTGACATGAGTTTCGAACATGTGAAGACTATCGTGAAGTAATCGATTGTGATTAGAACGAGGAATATTGAGGTGAGAGACCTCTCCGTCATTCGAGAGTAAGTTTGGAATAGACCGTCGAGTACTGCCAAAGGGACTGGGGACATGTCGACTGAGAGATGATGGTGCTCGGTCTTCTCGGTCCTGGGCCGTCTCCCTGCCAAGATCAATTTCATGACGAGAGAGAGCTTCCTGGCTGAGAACCAGATCGTAAGAACTCTTATATGATCTCAGGTGGGGAGGTGCAGTTCGAGGTTCAGGTTCACCACCGACACCCTCACGTTCACGGTCGCGTATCGCCATCGAAGTAGAAGCGCGCGGTCCTACAACAGTTCCTGCGCGAGTACGAATGTCTGAGCCGTTTCCACGGCTCCGTATGTTAGAAAAATGTCCCTCGTCTTCATCGTTTTCGTGCTCCCACCCAAGCCTACTTTGACTCCGAATGCCTGTTCGGCTGATACTTCTTTCTATTCTCTCAAGTCTCTGTGCCCGTTCTCTATCTCGTATCACTTTTTCCCGAAGAGGGGTATTTTCGTCGAAAATATCACCCCTTCGACCCACAGCTCCTCCACCCTTGAGACCTGCAGCTTTAAGGCCCTCACCAACTAGGCTCCTTCCAACGCCAACTGTAAGAGCACTATCTGCACTACCCCCGGTGCGCAGAGTTTGTCTGCGCCCTTGAGGATTAGGAACATCCTCATAATCTTCATCCGCCTCCCCATCTGTTCGGTGGGAAGACGCGACCGACATATCCTCGGACACCCAACGCCCACCGGTTTGATGTCTCCGGAGAGTCGACGAACGTTGTAAGTTCGGCCGTGGGTCGGAAAACGGATGTCTGAGCGAGGAATGAGTAAGCGTGTTGTTCAGATTTTTTTGTTGGCGAGGAGATAACTGCAAGAACTTCATGGTGGACGAGGGACGGGACATAGTATGGTGGGGTGTTGTAGGTTCAATGGAAAACTAAGAGTCATCAGAGCAAGGGAATGAAGACAATAAAGAAAAGACGTACCCGACTATTCTCATAATCGGATTCAGTGTTGTCTATTGGGTTCGAGCTTGACGAACTACCTCCTCGCGATGCGGATGTAGTGGAAGCTGAAGCTGAAGCCTCAAAAAATTCTTTTGGAAGTGGCTGTCTTTTCTTCGAATTGGCAGTGGGGCTGATACGACCTCGAGAGGACGCTACCGCCGCAAGCGCAGCTTGTGCAACATCAGGAAATCGTCTGGATGTTTGAGAAACTTTATATTCATCGGGTGAACGCATCCTTCTTCCAGATGTAACTTCTGCAAAGTCCGAGGCGGCCATGGAAACTCGTTTGCGAGATCTGGCAGGAGATTCTGATGAGCTGGATGAAGTGGAGTTTGATTGTTTGATGGAGAGAAGAGCTTTTCCTGGCGAAGCGGGGGCGGATACCAGACGAGTACGGTGGAGTTTGGGAGTGGAAGGACGGGCGTCGGAATCTATTAATTCTCGCTCCGTCTCTGAGCCAGAGTGATGTTGTTCCAAAAACCGATGTCGCGAGGTAGAAGAAGAAGAATCGGAACTGCGAGTGTGGGCGGAAGGTGATGGAGTATTTCGAGAGTAAGAAGACAGTTTATCAATAGTCAATCTTGTCCTTTCCTTCAAAGTCAGAGCACGTTGTATTGCCATAGTATTTTCATTGACGGACACCGATTTAAGGGAGTGGCGACGGTTCAACCTGGCTGTATCGTCTTCTCCATTTCCATTGTAATTGTCGTCGTCGTCATCATCATCGTTGGGAGGGTCATCGGTGAAAGAAGCATGAAATGCTTTGAGGTGAGATGCATTTATCATGCTCGTCGTCGACTTCGTTGTGCCCCGAACAACGATACTCGCTGGATCGCCTGTGCTGCCGCTGCCAGTTGAGTTTGTCGCCGGAGGAGACGGTAGTCCGGAGCCTGTTGAGCTTACCGGACTCGGAGGTTCTGGTAAGTCCGGGATCCCTGGAGGAGTGGAAGATAGATGAAGGGGATCACTTCCGAGGTAAACAGCAGAATTTGGGCGGGTATGTCTGGGGCGAGTCGTCATTGAACGACAGTAAAATTGACGAAAAACAATCGAAATGAAAGTGGATGTCAAGAAAAAGACATCAAAAGACGCCTTCGTCGACCGCGGCGACGATGGGAGAACAAGAACGACGATGAGCAAGTAAACGAAAATGACACTGACAGAACTGAGAAAATAAGTATCCCAGGTATGTAATTCAAATTGCCGCGCCTCGTGCAATGTAAACAAGGCAAAACCAGATGCAGGCTTAGCGCTTAGCTTAACGCGCACTCAAATAACTCCAGCCATTTACATTATACGCAGGGCCAGCGAAGATTGCAGAATTGGAGTAAATAGGGCATCAACCTTCAATCTCAAGCTGAGTCAAGCGTAGTATCTACTTGAAATATGACGCTTTGACCTTGAAAACAACTCGTCCATTCAAGATCAAACTTCAAAGCTCAAGATAACATTAGCGTCAGTGCGCGACAATATCCAAATGTTATTCATATTACTACGTAGAGCTCGATTTCGAACCTTTGTAGACTCATCTTTCAGTGGCAGCGTTCCAGACCCTGGCCGAATGCGATCTGCACCCTCCCTACGTCTGCGCCCGAAATTGCTTATGTCGGTCTCGAAAGATAATAAGCGTTGGCGGTCCAAAAGGTCAACTTCCAATAGGGCCTTCTGATCTTGAATCGAAAGAATGGTTATCATATGAATTCCGTATCAACTGAAAGATACATACGCCATGAAAACCTCCGTGGACAGTGGAACCAGCTGAGGGCCGGATTCCGAACAGAGAAAAACGGCTTGAGTCGTCTGCCCGCGTTTGAAGAAGTGGTAGACGTATCAGGTAGATGTATACACGGTCCCACCCGTAGGTGTAGTCCCAGGACGGAACAGCTGGTCTCATGGTCGAACAGCTCAACCCGCAAGGAAAACGTAGATTGCCGTCAAGCCACCGAGGCAGAAGTGTACTACTATGTAGTGCATCCTGTACTAAATCGACATTTGTTGATGCCGCTAGCTGTAACCTTTCACGATGTAGACGGAACAATACGTATGCAATGAAGACACCAAACGGTGCAGGATGTTCAAGTTTGATTGAATCCTGTTGCATCTTGCCAGCTTGCCAAATCCGACCTATGTATGTAACGTTAAAATAAGAAAAGACAGTGGATTGTGCGGTACCTTGAATTCTCCATCAGCGACGTCACTACGGAAGACGGGCTTCCAGTGCGATTTGAAAAGGGGGGACACTGGAAGCTTGATATGTATCTTCAGGGTACATATCTCTATCTCAAAGTTCAAACGACAGCCCCACAGGTCCTCCCACTCCAAGGCGAACGTGTAAATTGCACAATTAAAGTCATGAATTGGTGGCTATCAGTGGGTACGAAAATTGCTTTGTGGAAAGTGCAAGCAATCAGATTCTGAAGGAGTAAATAATGCCACTTACCCGTTCCGGCGATGATCATTTGGTGACAATCAATTCAACTCAGCACATGGGAATATCACGACCGTAAATCGGGACTGAGGCTCAGAGATTTTTTGATAGCATATAGCCATAAAGAAAGCATCTGGGAAAAGATTGTCGAGCTGGGCTGTCGATTCTGAGTCTTTGGCAAGTTACTGCACCAGCGAGACTCTGTTGAAGGAGTAACTTCGTATTAAATATCGTGCGAGACGATGCAATTGCAAAGCATGCTTTCCGATTGTCTCAAGCATCTCCATTATTGGACTCTATATGGTCCAGATATGATCAGGCTTTCAAAGCATATCGAAGTCGGCAGGCCAAGGTGTCGATGTTACTTCTTGAACTTGAGTCTTGGTCACCATCTATACCTTGTTCCGACAAGCCAAGGACCGAAACTGCGAATTCCCACGTTCTATATCTTCGTCGCTCTCCGTAAGTAGTACCCTTTGCTTATCCTTTGTTCACGAAATCGAAGGCACTTCCGAGGATGACAAAGTATGTACTGATTCTGGCACGATTCGTGTAATCTAGGTTTCCACTACATCATGGAAGGCTAAGTCGTTTCGCTTACAGAGGGTGGAGCTTAAGTTCATGGAGTAATTTCATAACAATTCATATCTTACCACTTTGGAAAGGAGCGTCGTTGAAATCCTCTTCCTCGCCCAATTTGGAAAAAAGCATTGGTTATGCCCTTACATAGACTTGAAATGTCTCCAACGAAGTGATGCAGTGCTGCTGTCGTTTCCGCCGATTCCTCCCTGCGACGTCACCTAGTCTTGACTTTGTCTCCACCGTATATAAGAGGCTCGCGGTCAACATAGCAAACCAGCGATCATTTCTACTCCCCTCCACAGACTATCTACTCTTCATTTACAACACTTGTATCTCTTTCGAGAATCGAAATGCCCTCGAGCTTCCGTGCAGACGCTGTGCTCTTCGATATGGTATACCTTCATGCCCTTGTTAATGTTTGGCTGGCTGGCTGACACGCCCTTCTTTACAGGATGGCACTTTGACTGACTCTATTGCTGCTGTTGAAGCCGCTTGGGGAAAGGTCGCGAAAGACCTGGGGCAAGACCCTGCCTACGTTATAGCTGCTACTCATGGGAAGCGGGCCATCGACAACCTTGCTCAATTCAAGCCCCAAATTTTGCCCCACCAAATGGAGAGCGAAGTACAAAACTTCGAGGAATCCATTCTCTTTTTCGCCGACGCGTTCCAAATTCACGGTCCTGGCTCACGACGCGCCTCTCCAGTTACCCTTAACTCCGATTCAGCTGTAGACTCGGAGGCTGCCACTCCATCTCTCACACCTGGAAGTTCGGCGACATCTTCGCGTGCTTCTTCTTTTGCTTTCGACTCTTCACGTCGTCCGTCCTTTGTCGGCAGACTCAGCAGCGCTTTAATGATGTCTGCTGTCCCTGAGGCTGATATCGTCGATCAGTACGACCCAGACTTCGAGGATCCCTGCATGGTGGAGGATCATTTAAGCGTGGTCGAAAATCAGTGGATTGAAAAAAGCAAAATTCACCAACTCGAGGCATGGCAAATTGAAGCTGCTGCCGTCGATCGTTCTGTTCGAATTCTCCCTGGCGTGAAGAAGATGATTGACTCTATCCCTGCCGGTCGATATGCTGTTGCAACCTCCGGTGCTAAAACATACGGTTCGTATGGGTCGTTTGTTAAGCGGCGTATCTTTGATAGTAATTATTTTTTGTTTGTCTTCATAGCTTATGGCTGCATGACTCGCGTTGGTATTATCCCTCCGCCCGTCACCATTACTGCCGACGACAAACGGCTGAAAGCTGGGAAACCCGCCCCAGACCCATTTTTGCTCGCAGCGAGCTGTCTAGGTTACGACCCGAAGAAATGTGTTGTGTTTGAAGATTCACCGAGCGGCATCCGAGCAGGCGTAGCGAGCGGGGCAACCGTCATTGCTGTCTGTACTAGCCACGAGCGTTCGAAGATTGAGAACTGCGGCGCTCACTTTGTTGTCGAGAACATGGAGAAGGTGAAGTGCGAGCTGGTCGATGAACAGCTACATTTTACCATTCTCGAGTGATTCAATAGTGCTACTGATCCCTTCCATTCCATTACATACTTACCCACACGTCAACTATGCTTACTTTCTCTAAACTGTCTTGATCATATCCTTCCCACTTACAACAAATGGCTACCTTTACATACAGTACCAGTAGCGTATTGATGTATACCGTTATAGTTACTTGTATGTTGTATCGAATTAGAAAAACAAATGTAACATCATACCCGGCTTGGCCGGCCCAAAAACCGGAATTCCTCCCACTTATACTTTGCTGCCAACCACGACGTAGAGTCCAATTACACTAATGACTCTACGCAGCGCGGAAACGCGCAGAAGACGATTAGTTGGGCGGCCTCTACTGCTCACTGTCACTGTCTTCCTGTCTATCGGTGTCTTTCTTGTGAGTTTGCATCCGTCGTATGTTATGAGTTGTGTTTCTGAATGGACTGGCTTAGTTTGGCTACGATCAAGGGTATGTCGAAGATGAAATAGATTGTACTATATTCCTCATGCCAATCCAGCGTTATGTCCGGTATCATCACTGGACCTCATTTCATGAAATACTTCGATAGGCCAGGCCCTATACAAGTAGGAAGTATGGTCGCCGTATTGGAAGTTGGTGCTTTCGGTATGTTGTCGATTCTACGAACCAATTCTAGATCTGAACGATTTGCAGCAACATCTCTAGCCGCTGGTCGAGTAGGAGACATCATTGGTAGAAAAGGCACGCTTTTCATTGGCGCTCTCGTTTTCACCATTGGTGGTGCTATCCAGACGTTTACAACGGGGTTCTCCGTGATGGTGCTTGGACGAATCGTCAGCGGAGCTGGGGTTGGGCTACTTTCGTTCGTTTGTTCAACTTTATTCGATTGGTGCACAGTAGTTGATCACAACTCATAGGACAATTGTGCCAATATATCAAAGCGAGATTTCACCCCCAGATCATGTAAAGCATGCCGCGCCGCCTGTCCTACACACTACTTACTACTCGCTTCTGAACAGAGAGGTGCTCTAGCCGCAGCTGAATTCACGGGCAACGTCTTTGGTTACTCCATTTCTGTTGTGCGTCGTAATGCCCAAACGAAATCATCAGAAAATTTGACGCATCACCGTAGTGGACGGATTACTTCTGCTCATACATCGATTCGGACTACTCGTGGAGGATACCTTTGTTGGTTCAATGCGCTATAGGCGCGCTTTTGGCTGCGGGAAGCCTGGTTATGCCCGAATCTCCAAGGAAAGTACATTTTCCCGACAATGTTGCTGGTCCTACTGTGTCCTGTCTTCTTACGTTGACTGTAGGTGGCTAATCGACACTGACAAGGATGACGAAGGCCTTCGTGTCATTGCTGACCTGCATGGTGGAGATTTAGACAATCCCGTTGCAAAGGCAGAATATCGAGAAATCAAGGATAAAGTAATTTTAGAGGTAAGACTAATCCATCTCTTCTGGAACATTACTCACTCGAGCTTCAGCGGGAATTCGGGGAAGGAAGGTCCTATGGAATGATGTGGCGCAAATACAAGCAGAGGGTCCTACTTGCAATGTCTTCGCAAGCATTCGCTCAATTGGTATCTCTTTCCCTCAACCTTTTGATTTCATTGCTAACTAAATACACAGAACGGAATAAACGGTACCGGTCCTATTATGATTGGCGTTCTGCTGACTGATCAGATTTGTAGTCATATCCTATTATGCACGTAAGTTTTGTAAACATGGGATATGTCGCGATTATTGATCTTCACCGTAGCTAAGGTGTTCGAAGGTAATATCGAAGCACTTGCTACCGTTAAGTTGTTTTAATTCAAGTCTTGATTTAGAGGCTGGCTGGCTAGGACGTCAAGCTATACTAATGTCTGGTATCAATTCAATTGTGTACGTTCTCAGTACTCTACCCCCGTACGTCCTTTGTCTACTCTCTTATGATTTGTTCGATTGAATTCTATTTAAGATGGTATTTGATAGATCGTTGGGGACGGCGGCCTATCTTGCTTTCTGGCGCTGTGATTGTAAGCTTGACTTGCACAAGAAAGGCTGAATTTCTCATACTATCATACCCAGATGGCTATTGCTCTATTTGCGACTGGCTACTTCATGTATCTAGATCATCCAGAAACCCCCAACGCTGTTGTTGTCTGTGTCATCATCTTCAATGCAGCGTTTGGCTACAGGTAACTATGAACCTCTTTTTGTATAACTATGTACTGATAAACCATTAGTTGGGGCCCAATTCCATGGTTGTATCCCCCCGAGGTAGGTCTGGTGTCTTTGGAACATATATGCCGGACAATAAATCAACATAGATCATGCCTTTGACTGTACGAGCAAAAGGAGTCTCATTGTCAACCGCAACAAATTGGGCGTTCAACTTTCTCGTGGGAGAGATTACTCCCTACCTACAGGAGGTCATTACTTGGAAGCTTTACATTATGCATGCATTCTTTTGTTGTTGCAGTTTTATTCTGGGCAAGTCATCAGGCATTTCCATCGCATTTGTCTTTTAACCAGATACAACATCGATCACAGTTTATTTCCGTGAGTAGCACCGGATCACTCCTATGAAAACGCTGAAAAACCCCTTGTCTTTCTAGTCTATCCTGAAACGAAAGGCGTTACCTTGGAGGACATGGATGCTGTGTTTGGTGAAGGTCTGAACGTGGTTGTTCATTTCCGTTACAGGGACTCATTTCTCAATAGCTGGGACAAGCAAATTGCCAATTGCGCTTAGTTCTGTTCCAGAGCGTTCGACTTTGCTTCCCCCAAGCTCAATCTACCCTCCAAATCAATCTAGAGTGCAAAGGAACAGTCAATCAAATTCGAACTCCCATAGTTGGCTGGGACGACTTTTCAAGCGGAATAATAGTCGCAGGGACATTCAGGAGTACCAAGCCCTCAATGTGGATGAAGAGGAGATGACATTGTCGATATCAGACGGAGGTGGATTTGCTAGGCGTATAGAGGACGAGGACGAGGACGACGATGTCAGGGGATATGAGGTCGTGGGTAGAGATGTAGGTGCCAGATAATAGGACATGTATGATTATACCTTTTATCCTATACTAGTACATCTTATACAGTCATAATCGTGTAATTATTTATTCTCCTGGAGTCCTTTATAACAAGTTACAACTTCATACATACATACCCTGGCTACAAATCAATTTAATGTACGCGTCTTTGTCTATCCAGTGGCATAGATGATAGATTCATGATTGATACATGTGATCGTGACCAAACACCAACTACTAATTAGTAATAGTACAATGCAATGGCTACCGACGCACTTCGTGCACAAGTTGCTGCTAAATGGCAAGAATCCTTCGCGCGTCTGAACCAAAATGAGCCAGGAATCGTAGGATTGCTGAATTTCAGCCAGGTACGTTTTTGGTCCTATCCTTTTTCCTATCATATCTAATCATATACTCCAGGCTTGGAATATTGCCAGGGAATCTATTCGCCCTAGGGGACTGAATGAACGTGATCCTTCTACGCGATATGGTACTGCCCTTGAACATTCCATATAATGCTTGTCCTCAACATGTTCAGATAAAAGCACTTTCCAAGCGTCATTCGAACTTTTGAACAAATGTCGGCGCCTTCCAATTCTCTTAGAAAGTTTTCTTGGTACGTGGACTGACAAAAATTGGAGCTTCCAGCTACCGACACTTTGTAGAGGATATGAGAAGAGAATTTCCTGTAATCAGAGAAGAAGTTGAACGATATACGCTCGAGTATGAAGTATGTTCCTCGCTTGTCCAACCCTTCGAGTTCCACTCACGAAATCTTCAGCGCACATCAAATACGAGCTTCATCTTGGATCTTGTATTCCGACTCCTTCAATGGTACAAAAGATGGCTTCCGATGCAAGAGTGCGCTTAAATTCCATTGTATTTGAGACTTTCTTACCATGTTTGCTCTTTCTAGGTTAGGTGCCACCCTTCATTCCGCCTTCGTTCTTTCATTCCAGACCCATCTATTTTCTGTTCTCACCCCGACATTTGTCCGAGGATTCAAAGAATTATGTGCTTCTACGTTACCATCTACGGACCCGGAAACAGATGGACCAGTCCCAAATGTGGAGATGTGGCAAGCCTTCGAAACCATTGGCCTTTTGGACAGATACGAAAATATTATTGCCAGTGTGGGGTACGAACATATCGAAGCTCATGTGTTCTCAACCTGTACTGGACAGTGGTCAGAGCCTATGCTGGGACAATTGAGAAAATGGATGACGGACAAAGTTGTTCCTTGGATGTTGTTGATGTATGCGAGAAACGCTACTACTGGTGCGTCCCGGCATGCTGCATATTATCACCCCCCCTTTAATATGTCTTTGTTCAGCGGATGACGCTCGTGCTATGCTGCAAAATGTTGGGTCTAGATTCGACTTTCACATGGCCAAAACACTTTGTGACTTGCGGTACGTATGTTGCTTTTGCGTTTTATCTCATCTGATTTCCTGTACTCAGGACGAAAGAGATTTTCGATATCATCATCGATTTCCCTGACTCTTCTGGGGCTCTGCAAGATCTTAAAGTAAATCATATACAATGACAGTTGTAATAATAATAACTGACAATAAACATTTAGGAATGTCTCCATCGCGTTGATCAACGGGCCTCTCTGGTGCACACCTTGCGCAAAGCGTAAGATTTACATTGAGTTAGGAAACTCTTATCTGGAACTGACAATGGTGTAGGAACCGCAAACGTCTACTTCATCCTGGAGCTGATACACGCCTGATACTCACACAATATGTTGCCACCATTAAATGTTTACGTCTCATAGACCCTCCAGGAGTACTACTTTTCAAAGTAGCCGATCCTATCAGACGATATCTTCGGTATGTGAAACACATAGTCTACGTCATTTTCTTGAAAGGGTCCGTTGATATTATCACTAGGGAGCGACCTGATACTATACGATGTATTGTATCTAACCTTGTCGGAGATGATGACAGTGGCGATTCTCTTGTAGACGAAAGCGAACCCATACAGGCTCTTCAACAGACAGAATTGGAAGACTACACGGATCCAAATTGGGAACCAGAACCCGTTGATGCTGGACCAGGTAAAAAGCTCTTACCTTAGCGTTGTTTTTTTTTTTGCAATTACGCAATATGGCAGACTTCCGCGCAAACAAACCCAGCGACGTCATTAGCACCCTCGTCAGCATTTACGATTCAAAAGACCTGTTCGTTAAGGAGCTTCAGGTGCTTTTGGCCCAACGCCTACTTGCTATCACGGACGATAACACTGAGAAAGTAGAAAAGGAGGTACAGATGAAATTTTTAGAAATAATGGACATTGAACCAACTTTTTTCCCAGCGTCGCAATATTGAAATTCTGAAAATTCGCTTTGGAGAGGCTGCCTTACAAGTCTGCGAAGTCATGTTGAAAGATATGACAGACTCTAAACGTATCGACGGGCATGTCCAGTCGCAGAAGGCGGTAGGTCTTTCTTATCTTTAGTTTCACATTTGACTCAATAAACGCAGTCTGTCATCCATCCAACAATTATATCGAAAATTTTCTGGCCCATGCTCGAGGCAACGGGAATCATCATGCCTGGACAATTCCGCGCGTTAGTTGATATCAACATATAGAATAGAGCGCCCTGACTCACGGCTGAATAGATTTCAAGAGGAATATGCAAAAGAGTTTTCCGCTTTCAAGCCGGACAAGAAGTTGCGCTGGCTACCACACCTAGGCACTGTTCATCTGGAGTTACATTTAGAAGATCGAACGGTCAAAGTAGACGTCCCACCATTAGAGGCTGCTTTTATCGAACTTTTTTCTCAACAAGGTAGGTTCTTAGCAAATATTGCATCTTGGGCATTCTTTTAATGGTTCTTTTATAGATGTCTGGACAATGGACGCACTGATTGCGCAAGTCGGGTCCTCAGTCGACAGAACAGCAGCTCTCAAAGCGCTCTTGACATGGGTCGACTTGGATGTCCTCAAGGAACAGACCGAGAACACGTTCAAATTACTTGAGGTTGCGGAGACCGTTGCGACTGGAGCTCGAGAACCAAGAGGCGGTAAGCGAAGTTTTTTTTTTTTTGAAAACATTCTGTCGGACTACTATGCAAAACGCTAGTCACAACATCTGCGGTTGAACTTCCGTCGGCACCGAGCGTCCAACAGCAACAGGCTGAACAGATGAGAGTATATTGGAAGGTACGTCTCGATCCAGGCCACAACAAAACGTATTCTAAAAAGGGTCCAGTTCATTGAAGGCATGCTGACAAACTTGGGCTCGCTCTCCATCGATCGAATACAAACAATGTTGAAGCTTGCGCCCGGCTATGACCAGACCGTAGAACAATTAGGTATTTTCATGGAGGCCGCTCGCCATGAAGAGCTGGTAGTGGTTCGTGACGGTATGTGGAAGTTGACACCTAAATAATTCCACAATTTTTTTTCTCTGTGGAGCATTCACAATGCTCTTGGGTGCGCACACATAATCAATTTACAAGGACTAGCCGAAATTTATCAATCCATGAGGTCTGTTGATTTTGAAAGGTAGGCTTGGCTTCCATTTAGGATTTCCGAAGGCTTCTTGTAGGCAGCTTGAGGTACATATACCTATACCGGATTCTAAATGTATTCAATGTGGGCCACTCGTGATATTTTTCCTGAGCTAAGGCCTGACTCTCAGTGACACTGACTTATCTACAGCTTTCTCAGTCCGCGTGTTCTATTCGTTGAAGTATTCAACTTCTGTATCAAGGGTCCTGCTACTTACATTGACAGTGCTCTCAAGATCGTGAACTGCCCGTGGGAGCGTGATACCATGGTACAATACGATTGACTGTTCAGTGGAGACGGTGGGTATCCAACCTACATACGAATGTCATTTGAGGGTTCAAACTTAGACATCACTGTTACCTAAGGCGTTTCTGTTGAAACGCGTGAAGTGTTTGTTGTAGTGTCGGGAGGCTTTGGGTCAAACCTGAATACGAGTCTATGAGCGAATCCCAAGCTCAAGCGGGTTGCTACAGTACACCTCTTGAACTGTTGTGTTGGTGTTGATGATAAATTTGGGGGGTAGGCCGAGGTGCGCTAAAATGTATAACCGTCACTAGTACTCTGATAGATTCAACATGCACCCTCAGCGTCATTTTTCTAAATATTTGAATGCATAATGAAATATTGAATGGCCTCCTCGAATTCTGACTTCGGAAGCAACATACGTCAGTGGTCCTAAAATATGTATATGTTGGATGTAAGTAAATGCGCCTGTAAATGCGCAGCGCTAGTTCTATATGGCGCTTGTGTTGGGTGAAATGAAGTCTTGGGTTGAGGATAATTTAATCTAACGCACAATTTGGCAGGGTACGGTGACGCGTATTTAGTCGATCACTCCGAGGATGCGCGATGGAGTGAATTTGAATTTTGACCTCTATCAACGCCAGGCAACACCGTATGGAAAACTCACTCCAAACTGTTACGACGTCATAGTTCCCATATCCCGAACAGATACTTAAGTCCCGAATTCTGATTGAACAACGCAACGACAGAAATCGTTACACGAAGACTGTTAATCAACGCTTTTCGAATACGTACCAGCATTATTCACACTGTCTTCCTCCAATCAAAATAAAAATTGTATGTTCCTAGTACGGTCTTCAGGCGTGAACTACCCACTAATCAAAGTCAACAAATTAATTTATTTCTCAAGATACCGAATTATCTGACACTATGGTCGAGTCCGTGGCTTCAGACGAAATTCTAAGAAATATCACTCCGAAACCTTCATTGCATCTTGGTGGTGACGCAATCGGTAAGTGCCACGTGTATCTCATTGCACCCGACCTCGTGGGTTGATTTTTTTTCCCGACGCGATATTGGCATTTCGGGCTTGAATTGATTTCTCTCTCTGTCTCTATACGAAAAGTTATGCCTGTCTCTTACTTTCTGCACCTTTAGATTTTTTCTCCCGGTCTGGTGGAGGTACATCAGGTGCATACTCTTCTCTAATGTTCTAGATCTTTCTGTTAACTTGACTTTTTTTTAGTTTTATATGCTCTCTCCTAAACGATCTCCTCACATAATCTCGAAGACTCATCAGAATTGGCTAGTCCACACAACTTGGGCGCAAGTGCAGCATTAATGCCGGGTGATGCTAGTAGTAGAGGCATGTCAGATCATGTCGGAGGAAGTAATAGACGAGCATCGTCTTACAGCCAGTCTAATCAACCCAGAAGGCCCCCTCATAATACTACTGCTCACTCTCAATTCTCGCTGGAAAATCCTCCTGGGTCCACCCATGGTCCTTCTCCCCATTATCCTCCGCCTTCTCAGTATGGCCATCGGTCCGGCTTCTTTGGACAATACACGATGTCCCCTCAGCCTCCAATGGCAATGGCGCCCTCCAATCCAACGTACGGGTATCCACATGGATTCCAGAATTTGCCGGAGAACACTATGATTCCTCAAAATATACACGCGAGTTATCAGTCCATGTTACCTCCGGCACCTGTCTATTCGTACCAGCGCCATGGCTCAGAGGGCACCTCACCAGGATTTTCTAGCCAGCCCATGTTTTCTCATCCTTCACAGGGTAATTCTCCCTCTCCTCCTATGTCTTCGCCATCTACCTCACAAAACACCACTCCACCGTACCCCAATCACGGGCAATTCCACTCTTTACGTTATCCCTCTTCCATGTCACCCTCTCCATATCCTTATTCCCACCATTCTTACTCTTCTTCTCCTGTGTATCAGTCACAATATGCACCGGCGCCTTATCCGCCGCATTTCACTTCTCCGGCTGAGATTGAAGGTCAGGGTACTTGGTGGTATCTTCCTCATGCAACGCCGAACGCTCCATCATATCCTGGACATTACCCTATGAACTATTCTCCCGTTCACCAAGAACTGGAAAATACATACACAGCCACTCCTGGAGCGTCTGTTCCAGCCAGCTATCCGATATCCCCTGTTCGATCTCCTGCTTCAATAAATTCTGCGCGTAAGCCCCCTTCCTCCCTTGCCGCTTCCGGAGAAGAAAGCCCCGCGCATCCTTCTCCTGGACCCATTGCTTCTTCGTCGAAATCTGTCTCTGGAGAAAGACCGTCCGCCGCTCGTCGTCCTTATCATCCCAACCCGCCATCTTATCGTTCAGAATGGGTCATGTGGGCCGGCAATGTTCCATCGGATGCTACCCACGATGAACTATGGCGGTTCTTCAGTCAATCTGATGATACAGCCTCCTCTTCAGGAGTTATTTCCATCTTCCTCATTTCGAGGTCTAGTTGCGCTTTCGTTAATTATGAGAATGAAGCTAAACTACATGCTGCGATTGCTAAATTTAATGGGGTACCATTGCGTTCTCATGATCCCCGGTGTCCTCGATTAGTTTGTAGGGTCCGGAAAGTGGATGACGATCTCAAGGCTGGTGTTGGCGGGCAGCGTGGAGTCGGTATGCATGCAAAGTGGTTAAGGGATCAGCGGGAAATGGCAAAGGGCAAGAAAAAGGCCACCGATCTGTCGGACCACTCAGACCTCGACGATTCAAATTCTTCCATTGCTGCTCTTTCTGCCTCTGTATCGAGTGATGATGATACTCGACTACCTTTCGTTAAGGGGACACATTCCAATAGCTCCGGCTCTTACGCCTCTACGAATTCAAGTTTACTTACTCGGCATTTTCCGAAACGCTATTTTATCCTCAAATCTTTGTCACAAGTAATGATCTATTTTTCTCCCTTCTTGAAATTTTGTACTGATATATCGTTGTTCTCCCAGTATGACCTTGATCTCAGCGTTCGAGAAAATCTCTGGGCCACTCAGAAGCACAACGAGGGTATCCTAGATCAAGCTTATCGTACGAGTAATGAAGTTTACCTGATTTTTGGTGTGAATAAGAGCGGCGAGTTCTATGGATATGCGAAGTAAGGTCTAATCTGCTTTGTATCGTTTTTAATACTTAAATCGTGATAAGAATGGCAGGACCAGTGCGTAAAGGAGAGCAGCGTGTCCCCTGGGCTAGTCGACCAGATTCATCCGCATCCTCTCGGTCTTCCCTCTCCCCCATCACTAGTCGTGCCCCTATTTCTGATACAATATTAGAGGAGCCAAATAGTCCTTCATCACAAGAAAATCCGGCTTCTCCTCCTGCGAGAAATTTTTTTCCAGCGCGTGAAAATCGACTGGTGGAGGCTTCACCCGTGCCAGTTTCACCTCCCTCGGTGCCTCCGCAGCAATCTAGTCAAACTTCAGTTGCGTCTGCGCCTGCCGAGCTAGGTACTCTGCATCACAGAATTACCATGAGCACTCCCTCCGTAAAACTCAGCCTCGACAATCGCTGGAAACCCAAACTGCACTCTGCTCAAGCTCATTTTCATAGTGCGTCGCAGGAAGACTTCGAGCTGGACGAATCTGCTCCATTCCGGGCCATACGTAGCGAAAGCAGCGGTAACAGACTGGATGAGGATTTATCCCGAATAAGGCTGAATTCAGTGGAGGAGGTGGAAGAGAGAACAGAGGATCTGGAGAAGGCCATGGACGGAAAGCCTGAGACCTGGGGCGAACCTTTCAAGGTCGAGTGGCTCTGCACTGATCGACTTCCCTTCTTTCGAACCCGTCATCTTCGAAATCCCTGGAATCACGATCGAGAGGTCAAGGTTTCGAGAGACGGAACAGAAATTGAACCTAGTGTAGGGGAGCAATTATTGCAGGAATGGAGTAAGCTGGTAGAGGACGGAAGTCATCAGGATTCCGATCCAGCTCCAAGCAACGCTGCTTCAGTTGCCAAGCCAGCTTCAAAACGATCCGGATCGAGTTCGAAATTGGCGCCTGCTAATCCCGGACCAAAAGGTGCAAAAGACAGAGAACCGGGTCTGTCTACTTCACGATCATAATATACGAATACAATCGTTGAAACCACAACCAAAATCCCGCGCCGCCAACAATTCACTGAGCTTTTTGCTTGGCGCAGTAATGACACATGCACAGTCAGGCTGATCTCCTGTAGTGTTCATTCACGAGACAGGATCTGCTTGTCATTCACGATACAAGAACTGTCACACTCCTTTATAATTCACGTCTTCCGGTGTTTCATGGGGCCTTGTATAGGCACGTCTTGTTATCACCACTAATCGCTTTCCATCGTGCATTTCTCACTGTTTACTTTCTGGTTTTGTTTTGTGTGTCCTCAAATTCTCAATTCTGTAGCAATAGACATCCACGAACAGTATTACTGTAGCACTTCGTATAACTGGCAATACACACGTGCGCCGTTGTGCGCGAGTTCCCTCAACTCTAGAATGTGGTGCTTATACGCATTGAAAATAACGCTAACGTCAGACTTGCGGATTCTGGTAAGTGATATAACATGCATTCGCATGTGAGCCTCCTTCGTCCGGCTCGGAGGGGGCCTTCGGCCCCTCCGATTCAAATACGGCTCACATGGGGTGCTCGCTTCGAAGTGCTAGATCCAATATTCTTGGTCGGTGCTGGCGCACCTCCATAAACCAATTATTAAGACACTATAATGATTACACAAGGATGATATACTGAGCAAGTAAGAATGTACAAGGTAATGGAAGGAAAGTCGCGACTGAACTCGATGACGAGGGATTTACAGGGGATTACCAAAAATGGCGGTGGCTGTGACCTCGTGGGATTTGCGAATATAGAATTGACGAAATTTTTCACCCTATGGCCAGTATTGCTTCGCTTCGCTCGCAATTATTCTAAAACGGGGTTGGAAGTGCTACTCATTCAACACATTTAATGTAACCATGATTCACAATTCGGATCTATCGTAATTCGTCACTGGTCCATGTTCCTCAGTTTGAGGCAGCTTGAAACCACCATGCCATAGTTTGTCAAGATCCCCTTGCGGATCGTACATTTTCTTTACTTGAATCATCTTCTTCAGTGTTTGACCGTCGGTGGACCGCACCATCACGGCCTCTGAGCCTGATGCGTAATTCATGTATATGAATGGACTAAATAAACCTCGCCTTTTAGCTTCGTCTTCAGCCCACTTCAGCAATGCTTCAGCACTGGTGTTCATAATGTGGTCGTCGGATGGGTCTAACCAGTCCGTTGTAATTAACATCACTGGGGTAACATCAGTAAAGTAGACACGCTCAGATTTTTTGAGGATACTGACCCCAGAGATTGCCCTCACTCTCCTTCAAGCAAGTAGGATTCCCTCCATTTTCAATACCGGCGGAAGCCAGCCTAGCAGGTACGGGCTGCACCGAGACGGCCCAATGAACTCCCGCATGGCCATGATACGGCTCGAAAAGTTCTACGCCTCGTGCATACAAGTCCAGATGAAACTGTGCATTTGCTTTGTAGGTCATCGTAAGCCAGCGACTACGTCCATGTTTCCCAGGATCTGCCTCTTGAAATTCTTCGGTGATGTCGGTAAGATTCTTAATTCCCATCATATCGACGAGAGGTGTCAACGATTCGAAGCCAGACCACAGTGCAGGGTATGCCTCTGGCTTGAGATATGTCTGGAGCGTCCAAATGATGTAGTCCTTCGCTTCTGGATTCCATGCTAGACTCAAGCCAAAAAAGCCTTTGGGATCTTCAGCTAATTTCTCGGTGAAGGTAACAAGACGCTCCAGAAGGTTCGGCGCATCCTTGATCGCGAAAAACTGCGATCCGCCCCAAACCGGACCTTGTGAGAAGGTGAACATATCAAATCGGGTCACGACGCCAAAATTTGTGCTGCCCAGCTTCAACCCCCAATATAAGCTAGAATGCTGTTTCTGATTGGCGTTGATGATGGAGCCATTGACGAGGACCACTTCGTAGCTCTGAATATTGTCACTTCCAAATCCATGCTCTGCGGATAAGAAACCTATTCCTCCTAAAAATGGTGAATGAGCAAAGCTCAAGATGATCATATATATCCGTCGCTCACCTCCTAGGAGAAATCCTCCCACTCCAACATCACCCACCCTTTTGCACGAATTAATAATTTTGTCTCGTGTCGATGCTATATTCTATACTTACCTACCACCAACAGTCGTGAGATTCTGCAGTTGCAGTACAGTGTACACGTCTCGCCATCTTGACCCTGCCCCAAAGGATACGACGGATTTGTCCGCGGAAAGCGTTGGAACACCCTTTACTTGTTGCATGTCAATGGTGAACCCCTCTGAGCCAATATTTGACGCGCCACTCCATGCCATATGCCCTCCTGTACGAACGGCGAAATGACATTCATGTGCGCTTGCAAACTTGAGTATACGTGAGACATCGGAAGCGTTGTTTGGAGAGACTCGGCATGCTGGTGTCATTGTGGCCTGTTCACCAGAATAATACGAGGACTGTTGCGCTCGGTAAGAATCGCTAGATGGCCAGAAGACTTGTCCGGGGAGCAGGGAACTCAGTGCAGTACACTGAAATATAGAAAGAAATTAATTCAATGTCATGGATTGTTCAGACCACGCACACATGCTTTTGCCTCCAAATTGATTGCAGGGGTCCCAAAGGCTTCCTGACGAGCGAGGGCAATATTTGAGTAGAGACCTGTAGTTAAAAATAGGGGAAGAAGCATATTCTCTTGTTGTGGAGCAGAAGCAAATGCAGACCGCAAAACAGGCCGCAAAAACAGAAGGATTCCGCTCGCTAGTAATAATAAGGGCCTTCAAATTTTATAGATTTTTGATTGAAGGTCTGAAAGTCCACGTTTTGCAGGGTCATTTGGCATGAAACACCTTGCAGTGAGGCTTAGTGGATCCTCGTTTGTCTTAGTCCGCTCTAGTGAGTCCCGATGAAGCGGAGATAACGGATTGTGGAATAGTAACCGGACATGCCACTACATGCCAGGAGCGCCAGAAGACTTGAAACTCAATTGAGAATTTTTGAATTAATACACGCTATATGGCCTGATGGTCTAGGAGTATGATTCGTTGTTAGGGAGTTAAAGCCATTCGACGAGGTCCCGGGTTCAATTCCCGGTCAGGCCCTGAAATTTTTTCCTTGGGGAAAGTAAATTCGTGGTTCTACCTACTCTTCACTTACAAAGCCGTGTAATGATTTTTATTGCCTCTCTAGCGTCCTCGAAACACTCCTGTTCATCATCCATTTTCCATGATTGTTCGTCTGCCAGAAGGATCAAGGCTTGCACCTTATTTTTGAGCCGCACTCGATATCCTTCAGGCGTGCTCGAAAAACAAAAAATGGAACTGTATTCAATTTCTGTTGCAACTGAAGCAATGATGCTGCCGCTGGACACCAAAACCACAAAGTCAGAATTATGAAGCTAAGTGTAATGCGTTGCCATACCGGGTGTCGATGTTCGGGATCTTTTTCAGTCGACCCCACAGCTCTTCACGCTTCGTAAATACGCGGTGTATGGTTTGTCGTATAGCGCCAACGGCAGTGCGACGTATTGTGGCCTGTAAATTACGCGAAGTTGTTTCGGCTAACTCACAGAGAGGGCTACATAGTAACACAGGGTGCAGTAAAGCATTATTTACCGTGGGAAATGGTGAAATAATGGTGAAATAATTTCCGAAATTTTGAACATTATTTTTGCTACTTATGCTAAAGACATTTTAAGAGAATGAAAATATAATGGGTTGGATCTTGCTCATATGTCCACCATACAGGTGCTTAATAATGGTAAAGTAATGATGAATCAATGTGACAAATTGTCACAACATAATTCGATCATAATCAGTGAAATCTAACACTAGAGAAATAGAAAAAATTCTGTAAAATAATGGAAAATTCTAGGAGCATTTGATCAATATAAGCAAGAGTATATATGCAATAAAATTGATGGAGTTGTAGAAGATTAATGGTGACAAAATGTTATATTATGACTTCACAATAATACAGGGAAAACTTACAGTAGAGAAACACACAATCAACAAAATAATAATGATGTCCTTGACTATTGTTTTTCTATAGTAATTAGGCAAAGATACAGTGAATTGATGGTAAGATAATCTGAAGAATTGACAAAGAATAAATTCAACATAAGAATAGTACAATGCAAGAAAAAGGATGGAAAGATTATGCTGGAAATATGATCACTATGCAAAGCATTATAGGGATAATTAATGCTAAAGGATATGAAAAACAATGGAATTTAGCAGTTCAAGTCTGTTATCATCATATTTTAAATAACAGGTGGAAATAATGAGGAAAAGGCACAAAAGCAATGAAGAAGTTTACAATGAAATAATCATGAAGCACACTGAAATAATTGCAAGAATAGTTTACTAGTAATAAAGTATAGAATAAAGAAAATATGAGGAAATGATGATAAAATAGCATTCTAAATAGAACAAGCATACTTTGACAATGTATCAAAAAAATAATGGAAAAGAGACAGTGAACCTACAAAGTTCTTGCAATTTAGGGTTCAGCATTGTGATGAAAGAGGGTGATACAAAATAGAGCTGAAATAGAAAAATTCAATGGAGAAAGATGGAGTTGGATCAAGATAGATAAAACTGGATGGAAATTGGGAAACTTGATAGAATAGATAGATGAAACTGGATGGAGTTGCAAGAACTGGAATCAAAGAACAAAGGTTGACATGGAAGAGAATAGATGAAGTTGGATTGAGATGGATCAAAATGGATAGACTTGGACTGAGTTTGATAGAAGAGATGGTGTTGCATGGAGATGGATGAAACCAGATGGAGTTGGATGGAACAGAATAGATGGAGTCAAATCGGGATGGATAGAATAGATGGTGTTGGATAGTTTTGAATGGACTTGTATGGAGTTGGATGGAACAGAATAGATGGAGTCAAATCAAGATGGATGGAATAGATGGTGTGGGATGGTGTTGGATGGAACAGAATACATGGAGTTGAATTGAAATGGATAAACCTGGATGTGTTGGATAGACTTGTATGAAGTTGGATGGAGTTGGATGGAACAAAATAGATGGAGTCAAATTGAGATGGATGAACCCGGATGAACTTGAACTGAGTTTAATATAGATGGTGTTGGATTGAGATGGATGAAACTGGAAGGAGTTGGAGGAACTTGAATCAAGTTTGGCGATGGTTGAATGAAGTTGAACCGAGATGGATGGAGTTGGATGGGACAGAATAGATGGAGTCGAACTGAGTGGGATCGAGATGAATGAAACCGGAAGGAGTGGAATGGACTTGTATGGAGTTGAATGAAGTTGAACCGAGATGGATGAAAGTGGATGGAGTTGGATGGACTTGAACTGAGTTGGATCGAGATGAATGAAACTGGAAGGAGTGGGATGGACTTGTATGGACTTGAATGAAGTTGAACCGAGATGGATGAAAGTGGATGGAGTTGGATCGAGATGAATGAAACTGGAAGGAGTTGGAGGAACTTGAATCAAGTTTGGCGATGGTTAAATGAAGTTGAACCGAGATGGATAGAGTTGGATGGAACACAATAGATGGAGTCGGAGTGAGTGGGATTGAGATGAATGAAACTGGAAGGAGTGGGATGGACTTGTATGGACTTGAATGAAGTTGAACTGAGATGGATGAAAGTGGATGGAGTTGGATCGAGATGAATGAAACTGGAAGGAGTTGGAGGAACTTGAATCGAGTTTGGCGATGGTTAAATGAAGTTGAACCGAGATGGATAGAGTTGGATGGAACAGAATAGATGGAGCCGAACTGAGTTGGATCAAGATGAATGAAACTGGAAGGAGTGGGATGGACTTGTATGGACTTGAATGAAGTTGAACCGAGATGGATGAAAGTGGATAGAGTTGGATCGAGATGAATGAAACTGGAAGGAGTTGGAGGAACTTGAATCGAGTTTGGCGATGGTTAAATGAAGTTGAACCGAGATGGATAGAGTTGGATGGAACAGAATAGATGGAGCCGAACTGAGTTGGATCAAGATGAATGAAACTGGAAGGAGTGGGATGGACTTGTATGGACTTGAATGAAGTTGAACCGAGATGGATGAAAGTGGATGGAGTTGGATCGAGATGAATGAAACTGGAAGGAGTTGGAGGAACTTGAATCAAGTTTGGCGATGGTTAAATGAAGTTGAACCGAGACAGATAGAGTTGGATGGAACAGAATAGATGGAGTCGGAGTGAGTGGGATTGAGATGAATGAAACCGGAAGGAGTGGGATGGACTTGTATGGACTTGAATGAAGTTGAACCGAGATGGATGAAAGTGGATCGAGTTGGATCGAGATGAATGAAACTGGAAGGAGTTGGAGGAACTTGAATCAAGTTTGGCGATGGTTAAATGAAGTTGAACCGAGACGGATAGAGTTGGATGGAACAGAATAGATGGAGCCGAACTGAGTTGGATCAAGATGAATGAAACTGGAAGGAGTGGGATGGACTTGTATGGACTTGAATGAAGTTGAACCGAGATGGATGAAAGTGGATAGAGTTGGATCGAGATGAATGAAACTGGAAGGAGTTGGAGGAACTTGAATCGAGTTTGGCGATGGTTAAATGAAGTTGAACCGAGATGGATAGAGTTGGATGGAACAGAATAGATGGAGCCGAACTGAGTTGGATCAAGATGAATGAAACTGGAAGGAGTGGGATGGACTTGTATGGACTTGAATGAAGTTGAACCGAGATGGATGAAAGTGGATCGAGTTGGATCGAGATGAATGAAACTGGAAGGAGTTGGAGGAACTTGAATCGAGTTTGGCGATGGTTAAATGAAGTTGAACCGAGACGGATAGAGTTGGATGGAACAGAATAGATGGAGTCGGAGTGAGTGGGATTGAGATGAATGAAACCGGAAGGAGTGTCACGAAGCGGCAGGGGCGGAGTGACTAACAGAGCGGGAAAGCGGAGCGACTAAGCAGAACGGTGAGGCGGAGCAACTGGACAAGGTAACAAGGCGGAGCGACTAAGCAGAACGGCGGCAAGCTGGTCCCAGATAATGACAGAGATATATTGAGTATCGTAGTCATAGGTAATAATAAGTAAGCACATACCTGGTCCCAGATAATGACAGAGAGGTCAAGATAAGGGACCAGGCTGTGGAGGGTTGGCTATATATACATAATCCGGTCTGCGAGAAACAACGATGTAATACTGTACAGTTTAGGAACAAGGAAGGTGGCGGAAGCCAATAGAAGGAGAAGATGGGTCAGGTGGATCAGTAATCGATGGATCAGTAATCGATGGGGGTTTGACAGTGATGGGATGATGTATCGTACAAGCAAAGGCGTCGAGACGGTGAGAAAAGGAAAATGATAGGGGCTGCGTACTTTATGACATTACCCCCCTCCTTATGACCATTGCCCTCGATGGTCAAGGCTTTGCCGCTGTTGGGTGTTTTTTATGAAAGGCCCGAACAATTTTTGGTGCTCGACTGAGGTTGGCTGCGGGTTCCCAAGAGTTGTGCCCTGCGTCGTAACCTTTCCACTTAACCAAATATTCCAACTTCTTCCATCGAACTCGGCTGTCTAAGATCTCCTCTACTTCGTATTCCGGTTCGTCTTCATCCTCTAAGTATACCGGCTCTGGTGGTGTTGGTATTTCGCCATTAATGGAGTTACCTTTCCAGGGGTATAGTTTATCGACATGGAAGACGGGATGGAGGCGATCTAGGGATAGGGGAAGGTCAAGGCGGTAGTCTAAAGGGCCAATTTTCTCCAGAATGCGATAAGGGCCAAGCTGTCGATCTCCTAACTTTTCACTGGAAAGTTGAAGGTTAATGTCCTCTGCACTGAGCCAGACTAGGTCTCCAACTTTAAATTGATGAGCTTTCCGCTTCCCGCGTTCATATCCCTCCTTCTGTTGTTTCTTTCCTAGGTGTAAGGCAGCTCCGGCATCTTGTCGCGCTTCTCGGAGAATCCGTATACGGTCATCCACAGCTGGAATACCGCTGCGTTGGCCCACTGGGATATTGAACAGGGGAAGATAGCCGTAGGTTAGCTCGAACGGGGACATGCCTAGCGCAGAATGAGTCCGTGAGTTAATCACAAACTCCGCCATGGGAAGGTGCTCTGCCCAGTCGTCTTGTCGTCGTCCTACATAGAGGCGGATGTATTTCTCTACTTCCTGATTTGCTCGTTCGGTTTGGCCATTAGACTGAGGACGGTATCCGGAGGTTAGATCTGATTTAATTCCTAGCCTAGCGAGAAGGGATCGCATGAGTTTAGCTGCAAACTGGGGTCCGCGGTCGGATTTAAAGTGAAGAGGAAGACCATGGAGACGGAAGATCTCTCGGTAGTAAATATCGGCAACGCCTTCGGCTGTGATGGAGCTGGTGCAAGGAATGGCGTGAATTTGTTTTCCATACAGGTCTGTGCAAACCAAGACAGCATCATAGCCTTGGGAGTTAGGTAGCTGTGTTATCAGGTCAACCCCTACCTCTTCCCATAGACCGGATGGTACATCTAATGGTTGAGTTACGGCCCGTGGGTGTCGCTGGATCTTCTTACGGGCACAAACCTCGCATCCCTCAACGTATTTTTCCACAAAAGAGCGCAACGTAGGCCACCAGAAATGGGTACTGACCAAGTCGAGTGTCCCGTGTAGTCCGGGGTGTCCTGCAGTTGGATGGTCGTGGCATTGACGGAGTACCTCAGTGCGTAGGTCGTCGTTTGCTGGTACGTATACTCGACCTCGGTAGTAGACCAACCCATTGTCTTCTTCCCATTCGGCTATCCCATTGGCCAAGCGCTGTAGTCCGTGCTCTTTGACTGTTTTGAGACCCTCCAATACCTGTGCCTCCCGTTCTGAGGCTTTCCGGATACGATCCTCTAAGGGGTTCTGTAGGATCGAAGCTGCAATTTTTACGAAGTGGCCAGGTTTAAGGACTGTCTGTTGTCGGTTATCATCGCTGTCCGATACATGATGAACTGCCATGCGGGAGAGAGCATCAGCTTGGGTGTTTACTCTACCAGGGCGGTGGATCATATGAAAGTCAAACCGTGACAGATAGAGGGCCCATCGGGCTTGTCGGCGGGTGAGGTCTTGTGCAGTGCGCCAGAATTCGAGGTTCGAATGGTCCGTAATGATGTCGAATGGTTGAGGGAGTCCTTCTAGAAAGTTCCTCCAATCCTTCAGTGCTTCAATGATAGCAAGCATTTCTCGATCGTAGATTTCGTAGTTCCGTTCCGCTGGCTGCATGGATGCCGATCTGAAGGCTACCGGATGCCATTGGCCATCGTCTTGCTTCTGCATAAGGGCGCCTCCCGTGGCAAAGCCTGATGCGTCTACCTCGATTCGAGTAGGCCTGTCTGGTGTCCATAGAGCAAGGATCGGTGCGGAGATGAAGGCTTCTCGAAGGGTATCAAATGCTTTCTGTCGAGTGTCGGTCCAGGTAAAGCTGGTGTCTTTCTTCGTCAGGTCGTTCAGAGGTCGTGCTATTTTGGCAAAATTCCGGATAAAGCGTCGGTAGAAGTTTGCAAATCCCAAGAACCCTCGTAGTTCCCGAAGATTAGTAGGGACTGGCCAGTCGCGAACAGCCGCTACTTTTACCGGATCCATTCTCACCTCCCCTTCTGAGATGATGAGTCCGAGGTATTCAATCTGTTGTTGTTCAAATTCGCATTTTTCTGGTCGTAGGTAGAGGTCGTGCTTTTCTAACCGGGTTAATACTTCCCGTACCATTCGTCGGTGTTCCTCGAGATCGTTACTGAAGATAAGGATGTCATCTAGGTAGACTGCCACCTTGCCGGCTGCAATGAGATCAGCAAATATAGCATTCATAAGTGCTTGGAACGTGGCAGGGGAATTTGTGAGACCAAAGAACATGACCTTAGGCTCGAACAAGCCTCGGGTTGTTGCGAACGCGCCTTTCCATTCGTGCCCCTTCTTAATCCGTATGTTATTGTAACCCCAGCGGACATCAAACTTCGTGAAGTATCTGGCTCCCTGAAGTCGACTAATGATGTCAGCAACTAATGGGAGAGGGTATCGGTTCTTCACAGTGTACTCGTTCAGTTTCCGGTAGTCTTGTACGAAACGGAGTTTCCCATCCTTCTTCTTTACGAAGAAGACCGGTGATGAGATTGGTGATTTTGAGGGGACGATATAGCCTTTCCGTAGGTTTTCTTCTAGGAAACGATCCAACTCCTCCTGCTCGTTTAGGGACATGGGATAAATCTTGGTACGCATGGTTGCCGGTGCTCCAGGTACGAGATCAATCGCATGGTCCCAAGGTTGGTGGGCAGGTAATCGTTCGGAGGCGGATTCTGAGAAAACCTTCTTGAAATCACGATACTGCTCAGGGACCATTTCTTCGAAGGTTTTAATGGGTTTGTCTCGGTTGGCTTCCTCTGCTAGCTGCTGGGAGTAAGTGAATCCTGCGGCGCACCAGACTTCCTCCGTCTGTTCCTCTAGGATTCCTGCTTTTACCCATGCCCGGCGAGTTTTATGATTGGCTCGAATTCGGTGTATTGGTGGTTCTTCCACCGCTGCTGATTCACTTGGTTCAAGGGTCGCTTCTAGTGGCACCTCAATGTGGGGGTTTTCTGCGGGAGGTTCCAGTTCCGGGAGTTCGAGGATCGGGGTTTCTGTGTGAGTGGCGGCTAGATGAGAGTACAAGATTTCCTCGTCTGGGACTTCTTCTATCGTTACTCGAGGAGGCTTTACTGAAAGTCGTCCTTTCTCCCAATCAATCTCCGGATTTACCTTCCGTAGCCAGGGGAGTCCAAGGATGATGTCTTCACCTCCTAGGTTGGTGATCAGAAAGTCCATCCATCGCTCTTGATTATCCACTGTGAGTGCTAGACGTGCAAAATGGGTTATCCGTCCAGCTCGGTTAGGTGTTCCATCGATATTAAAAACGTCGATTGGTTTATGGAGGGGTGCACATCTTACATGGTTCCGGGTGACAAAGTCTTGGTTTAAAAACAGGGCGGTAGCTCCACAGTCTACCATGGCTGCAGTTGTTATACTGTGATTCCTTCCTCTTAGTCTCGCATGAATTCGGAAATGTGGGGAAGTAGAGTTTAATTCCCGGATCGACGATATTGTACATGATGGGTGCGAGTCATACGAGGAAGTAGCGAACATAACAAACTGATTACGGGGTACTCTCGGTGCAGCCGAAGCGGGTACCCTCTTTAAAAACCCTGTTGAAAGCCAGAGGACGAGGAGGACATAGCGTTAGCACGATCAAGTAATTCCCTTATTTGACCAATCTGATTGGAAAAGTCCTGGTTAGGGGGGCTCGGAGTAGCAGCTACGGGTGCAGAAGCAGATGTTGGGGTCGAGGACGCGATTTGGACGGATTCGTTTGGGAATAGGGAGAATGGCGCGGGTCCCGTAGCGGATATCTGTTGGCGTCGAGGTTGCTGGCGTCGGCCTCGGTCTCGTCCGAGTCCCATGAATTTGTCTTGGCAGACTGCTTCCAGATGTCCTCGACGTCCACAGTAGCGGCAGGTGGTTTCTCGGTGTGGGCAGTTTTGCTTGACATGACCTTGGGCACCGCAGCCGAAGCATCGTCCTCGCATGCGAGCTAGGAATGCTTCCCTAGTATTCCCATTACTGGTGTGGGTTGCATCAATGTCCATAGCGTGGGGGTCAGCAGGGGTAGTATGAGCGGTATGCGTGGGAGGGTATCCAGAGTTCCGGCCAGTCATGGTGGGATCGTGCAGGTAGACATCCACTGATATGGCCCGTTTGATTGCCTCCTTCAGAGTCGGAGCAATTCCTTGGGCAATGTTTACGGTGATGAGGTGTTGTCGGATCTCTGGGAGTAATGCAGTGAAGAAACGTTCCCGCAAGTCAATATCAGACATTTCAGTCCGATCTCCGATATCCTTGAACTTCTGAGCGAATTCCGCAACTGTCTGTCCTTTACTTTGCCTGAGATTCTTGATCTCACTACGGGCTTCCATACCTGGGTCCATTGGTTCAAACCGTTGGCTAAATTCCTTCAGAAACGCCTCCCAATTTCCTCCAAAAGGGGGATTTTCCGCATTGAAATGTAGCAGATGGGGAGTTGCCCAATCTCCGGCACTTTCTGTGAAGAAGCCCAAGGCGGACTTGATGAGTTTTACTTGGCTTTTGGCGAGATCCGGTTGTTCTGACGCCCAATTCTGGAACTGAGCCATGAAGCGACGGGCTTCAGCGCCATCTTTACCCTTGAAAACCTCGGGTTTGTTCATGCTTGACTTAGAGGATGAGCGTTCCTCCATAGCTGTAGCAAGGTTAGCTACTTGTCTGATGAGCTGAGCCATGAGATCCTCCGCAGAGGTGTTTGGGGCAGGCGGGATAGGAGTCGACATGATGGGAGTAGGCAATCGGGGCTGGGGAATCGGCAGGAAGGTTATATTGCTCACAGTGAGTGGCTCTCGGATTGAGTTCGAAAGGGCGTTGGGGCAAGGTTGAGACTGGCAATCGCGCCAAGTATCGTCGTTGTTATGGGCGTGAGCTTGGTCTCTGGGGTCAAGTGCGTGCGGGAGTGCGGAGCAGTCTATACTGGCAACAGGTGTTTCAGAGTCGGGCGGAACTGGGGAAGACGTGGTGTCTATAGACCCTGCAAGGACAACCTTATCGGTAGGCTGTCAGTGCAGTAATAGATCTTGACCTAATGTCACGAAGCGGCAGGGGCGGAGTGACTAACAGAGCGGGAAAGCGGAGCGACTAAGCAGAACGGTGAGGCGGAGCAACTGGACAAGGTAACAAGGCGGAGCGACTAAGCAGAACGGCGGCAAGCTGGTCCCAGATAATGACAGAGATATATTGAGTATCGTAGTCATAGGTAATAATAAGTAAGCACATACCTGGTCCCAGATAATGACAGAGAGGTCAAGATAAGGGACCAGGCTGTGGAGGGTTGGCTATATATACATAATCCGGTCTGCGAGAAACAACGATGTAATACTGTACAGTTTAGGAACAAGGAAGGTGGCGGAAGCCAATAGAAGGAGAAGATGGGTCAGGTGGATCAGTAATCGATGGATCAGTAATCGATGGGGGTTTGACAGTGATGGGATGATGTATCGTACAAGCAAAGGCGTCGAGACGGTGAGAAAAGGAAAATGATAGGGGCTGCGTACTTTATGACAAGGAGTGGGATGGACTTGTATGGACTTGAATGAAGTTGAACCGAGATGGATGAAAGTGGATAGAGTTGGATCGAGATGAATGAAACTGGAAGGAGTTGGAGGAACTTGAATCGAGTTTGGCGATGGTTAAATGAAGTTGAACCGAGATGGATAGAGTTGGATGGAACAGAATAGATGGAGCTGAACTGAGTTGGATCAAGATGAATGAAACTGGAAGGAGTGGGATGGACTTGTATGGACTTGAATGAAGTTGAACCGAGATGGATGAAAGTGGATAGAGTTGGATCGAGATGAATGAAACTGGAAGGAGTTGGAGGAACTTGAATCGAGTTTGGCGATGGTTAAATGAAGTTGAACCGAGATGGATAGAGTTGGATGGAACAGAATAGATGGAGCCGAACTGAGTTGGATCAAGATGAATGAAACTGGAAGGAGTGGGATGGACTTGTATGGACTTGAATGAAGTTGAACCGAGATGGATGAAAGTGGATGGAGTTGGATCGAGATGAATGAAACTGGAAGGAGTTGGAGGAACTTGAATCAAGTTTGGCGATGGTTAAATGAAGTTGAACCGAGACAGATAGAGTTGGATGGAACAGAATAGATGGAGTCGGAGTGAGTGGGATTGAGATGAATGAAACCGGAAGGAGTGGGATGGACTTGTATGGACTTGAATGAAGTTGAACTGAGATGGATGAAAGTGGATGGAGTTGGATCGAGATGAATGAAACTGGAAGGAGTTGGAGGAACTTGAATCAAGTTTGGCGATGGTTAAATGAAGTTGAACCGAGACGGATAGAGTTGGATGGAACAGAATAGATGGAGTCGGAGTGAGTGGGATTGAGATGAATGAAACCGGAAGGAGTGGGATGGACTTGTATGGACTTGAATGAAGTTGAACCGAGATGGATGAAAGTGGATGGAGTTGGATCGAGATGAATGAAACTGGAAGGAGTTGGAGGAACTTGAATCAAGTTTGGCGATGGTTAAATGAAGTTGAACCGAGATGGATAGAGTTGGATGGAACAGAATAGATGGAGTTGGAGTGAGTGGGATTGAGATGAATGAAACCGGAAGGAGTGGGATGGACTTGTATGGACTTGAATGAAGTTGAACTGAGATGGATGAAAGTGGATGGAGTTGGATCGAGATGAATGAAACTGGAAGGAGTTGGAGGAACTTGAATCAAGTTTGGCGATGGTTAAATGAAGTTGAACCGAGACGGATAGAGTTGGATGGAACAGAATAGATGGAGTCGGAGTGAGTGGGATTGAGATGAATGAAACCGGAAGGAGTGGGATGGACTTGTATGGAGTTGAATGAAGTTGAACCGAGATGGATGAAAGTGGATGGAGTTGGATCGTGATGAATGAAACTGGAAGGAGTTGGAGGAACTTGAATCAAGTTTGGCGATGGTTAAATGAAGTTGAACCGAGATGGATAGAGTTGGATGGAACAGAATAGATGGAGTCGGAGTGAGTTGGATGAAACCGGATGGACTTGAACTGAGTTTAATATAGATGTTGTTGGATTGAGATGAATGAAACAGGAAGGAGTTGGAGGAGCTTGAATCGACTTTGGCAACGGTTGAATAGTGGAGTAGTTCGCCGCCATACATTCTCCAGCCCAAAGTGCGCAAGCATCCTGTCAAGCCCATGCCTTGGGCCTCCATTCCGCCGCTCGGTATTCCGAAGATCCACCCTTTATTGTAATCTCTTTCTTATTGTTCTTTCTCGCTACATATACCCTTTCATTCTAGTCTCTCCTTATTGTCTTTTACTTTACCCTGCAGGACTACACGTATAGCTCCTAGTAGTTAGTCTGGCGCTCTGCACCGTTGCGCAGCTCCGTAGATATAAATACTGCCTGTATGCTACTGTAGTTCCTCAGTTTAATTATCGACTTAGATTCCCTCCTTAACTCTGTGCTCCTTTAAGTCTTCAGGCTCAACGCCTTGAAGTACTCTCTCTATAGCCTTTGGACTTATAAGTTCTTTGGCTTGCTCCTCGTCACTGGCATTACTGCCGCTCCGACTTGGCTGTAGCTTAGCTCCTCCCTCTATACTCTCGACCTCCGGGGACTAACGGCATAACGGCGGTGTTGTTAATAACTTCACTACTGTCCCATTCGTCTTCCACACTTAGCCACTCTGTGACCTCTGGCACGGTTACATGGTATACATGATCTTAACACATCCTTTGGAAGTACACCTGCTGGGATATGGTGATTGCCTTCAATACTGGGCCCTGGCATAGGCAATCTTCGCACATCCCTTGGACGTCTCGGTTTGTGATGTGGAGGCCGTCGACCAGCTTCCAGTTAGACATGCATAGGATACGCTGTATCCCTATGTGCCCTAGGTGTCAGTGCCATGTGTGGATATCGACTGGTCGGTCTCGTGTCCAGGAGTAGTTTGCTGTTGTGGGTCCCGGCTCTAGGACCACTACCCCATACATCTTATTCCGCCCAAACCCTTCCAGTATGATCTCCCTGCTCGATTTGCGTACTGTCATTACTCCTTGCCCCCAGTCACCTGGCATACCTCGGCTATCCAGTGTTGGCAATGAAATCAGGTTATGGCCAAACAATAGTGTGTGCTTCACTCCTGTAAGCTTTACCGTTCTTTTGACATTCCTGACTTGCATGATAAATTGTATTGTTCCAGTGCCTCTTATCTTGAACTTCCCGGTGTTGCCTGAGATGGCGCTACTTCCACCCTGCCCTTTGCCCAGCACTTTCTGGCAATGTGCCTGGGCTTGCTACAGTTATGGCATGTTGTCAAGTCTATGCCGCGGGCCTCCATTCCGCCGCTCGGTACTCCGAAGATCTGCTCTTATTGTAATCTCTTCCTATTGTTCTTTCTCGCTACACATATCCTTTCGTTCTAGTCTCTTATTATTGTCTTTTACTCTTTCGTCCTAGTCTTTCCTTATTGTCTTTACTCTACCCTGCAGGTACTACTTGTATAGCTCCTAGTAGTTAGTCTGGCGCTTCGCACCGATGCGCCGTTCCGTAGATATAAATACTGCCTGTACGCTACTGTAGTTCCCCAGTTTAATTATCAACTTAGATCAACTTAGATCTCCCTTCTCAACTTAACTCTTCTCTAAGTCTTCAGGCTCAACGCCTTGAAGTACGTTCTCCTCGACCTTAGAACTTTAACGTTCTCTGGTCCGCTCCTCGTCACCGGCGATACCGCCGCTCCGACCTGGCTGCTACTTAGTTCCTCTCTCTCTACTCTCGCTCTCCGGGGACTAACGGCGTAACGGCGGTGTTGTTAATAACTTCACTACTGTCCCACTCGTCTTCCGCACTTAGACACCCTGTGGCCTTGGCACGGTTACACGGTGTACATGATCTTAACAGTATAATTAAACTCAATCCGTTAACGTCGTACTGACATATCATTTTTTATGCCTCCGAAAACTCGAGCTCAATCTAGAGCTAACTCCGAAGAAAATACTTTCTTCACTACAGCCCAATCATTTGCCCCATTCTCCGACTCTATCTCTGCCATCGGTCAACCACGTCGCCGTAATCGCGGTTTCGGTCCAGCTACAGTCCCAACTACGTCAACTCTTCCTGAAGCTATGGAAGAGGAACAACAATTCGAATACAGCACCTTGTACACTGGTGACGGACAACCTGTCCAAGTCTTGACCCCTCGCCGTGGACAACCCCCCGTGGTCGCTCCGGCTCGGGGCCGGTCTACTACTCGAATTGATTCCCCAATCCTCCAAGCCATAGCCCGCCGTACGGGTAAACAACCCCAACGTCGTGCTACTTCTGAATCTCCTCGTGACCCACCTCCTCATTTCGATTTGGACACCGGTGACCACGATGATCAAGACCCTCCTGTCGACCCCGACGATCCGGGCGCCGACAACAATCATGACGATCTGGATGACGATTCTGGCGGTTTACCGCGTGGTGAGCCTGGTGGTCCCGGCGGTCCCGGCGGTCCTGGTGGACCTGGTGGACCTCGTTCTCCCATATCTCCTGACATCCCCAACGAGCAACGTGCTATGTTGGAACTCCTCTCGGGGTTCAAGGGTTCCATTGAGACCCTTGGCACCGTCCTCGCCGCTCTCGGCCGCCCTTCTGACAGCTCTGAATCCAAGAGCAAGGTCAAGGAGCCAGAGGTATTCGACGGTTCGGATCCCCGTAAACTCAAGACGTTCTTCGTCAATCTCGCCCTGGTCTTTAATGACCGTCCAAAGTACTTCACCGACCAAAGGAAGGTGAACTACACCCTTTCCTATCTCAGTGGGTCAGCCAAAGAATGGTTTGTCCCTGATATCCTCGACCCGGATCTCGACTCGCTGCCGGCCTGGACGTCCTCCTTCAAAGCCCTTGTAAAGGAGCTTCAGGACAATTTCGGCGTTTACGACGCCCAAGGCGAGGCCGAAGATTCTCTCGGTAATCTGAAGATGAAGGAAACCGAGAACATCCGGAAATACAATATCCGGTTCAACACCCTGGCTGCTAGTACCAACTGGGATTCTGCTGCCCTGAAATGGGCTTATGGACGAGGCTTAGCTGAACGCATTAAGGACGAAATGGCGCGTTTGCCCGAGCCGGCGACGCTCGCCGATTACCGTCAAGAAGTTCTTCGTATTGACAATCGTTATTGGAAACGCGAGGAAACTAGAAAGCGTGAGGCTGGTAAGCCTTTTGTTGCTCGGAACCCGAAGAAGGGTTCCTCGGACTTCAAGACTGGTTCTACTAACCAGCAAAACAACTCTCAGCCATCTGGCTCTTCGGCGCCGTTCACGCCGAAACGTAAACCCTTCTCTGGTGGTAAGCCTAACAACAATGGTAAGCCCCAGAACTCTTCGAATTCCGGCCAATCCGGCGGTCAGCGCCCCGCGTTCAACCATCTAGGAGCAGATGGTAAAGTACTTCCCTCCGAACGGGAAAGAAGGATGAAGAACAACCTTTGTCTCTTCTGCGGTGGTAAGCATCAGATTGCTGACTGCAATAAGCGAAAGGCCCGAGAATCGAAGGGCCGCGCTGCCGAGGTTGAAGAAACCCCCGAAGCAACCATTGAGGTTGTTGAAGAGGATTCGGAAAACTAATCCGCAGCTCTTGTTCCCCGGTACGAAACGGGAGCTGCGTTGATCAGGTTCGTACCTCACCTGGGGAGTTATATCTCAACGCGTCCGCTCTTTCTTCCATTGAACGATCTCTTGTAATATCATTAACTACTGAATTTCCTTTATCCGATTCGGCCGCGCCGGCCGAACCCATCTCTGCTCTTCTTAAATTTCCTACTCTTGTTGATTCTGGTTCTACTGACTCTTTCATCGATACTCGTTACGTTTCTCAGAACTCTATTCCTACGACCAAAATTTCTCCTGTTAATCTTCGTCTCTTTGATGGTTCATTATCTTCTAAACCCATTACCGATATGGCGAATATCGCCGTTCGGTTCCCTTCCGGCGAGCTGCTTCTCTTACCCTTTTATGTTACACATTTAGATTCATCTTGTAAAGCAGTACTAGGTTACAGTTTCTTATCCCGCTACAATCCGTTGATTGACTGGGCATCTCGAAACATTACGTTCCGTAACACTTCACATCCTGATTCTCCACAGACGTCTGTGCCTTCTGCCATCAACCCCGTTGCTGCAAAGGTCGCTGTTCCGCTACCGGAACCTTTGCCGTCGGTTTCACCGACAATTCTGGAGACCCCTCCTGGGGACTCACTTCGCCCTCGCTCTCGCTCCCGCTCTCGCTCCCGCTCT